GAAACCCGAGTCACAGTGGTCGAAAAATGGCTTAAAAGAGCTAATGAGTTGCTTCTCCAATGAGAAAACATTCGTTGTTTATCAGTTTGTAAACAAACAAAATGATCGTGTTTACCTGCCAAAGAGGTTAGCTGAAAATGTGCACCTTCGGTTGGCCATCAGAACGCAAGCGCCGACCATGGTGATGGTGTGCTGAATATTATCGCCTTAAATTAAAGCCTTGGGCACAGACCTTGGATATTGACTTTGTTGCAGTTTTTTTTTTATCTCATCCTGTATTGGTTGTCTGAGATGGTCCCTCAAAAAATGTTGAGAATATAAAGGCGACCGTTTCGTCTGTGTTCAATTTCAATTCTGATTTTATTTCAAACATATGTTTCTAATCGCAGCCACACAATTATTCTTATCTATTCTAGTATTGAATGGGGAACATTGCAGGACTGCTTCACATTTCATTCAAGTGGTCTTGTACATTTACTGAGCGCATCAATATCTGTGCGTGTGGGTCATAACCTTTATTATCTCACACATTATCGTATTCGTTAACGCACAAGATCACCGAATTGTTCTCATATCGTATTTTATGGTGGTTGGGAAATATGTAATATTAGAATATTTATTGTTTATTGCTGGATTTTCCCAGCGCCCCAACCGCACTCAAAAGTATGTACAAAGTATTTTGTAACAAATATATTTAAAAAGTGCTTTTTTTTAATTCTAAATTTTCCATGCGTCTCTAGAAGGCAGGTTACAGGGTAGATGCATTTATTCTCAAGAATAATGACATTTTTGTGTGTTTATACTATGCCAATCGGAGGTTGTAATGATATGCATTTTTTTCAACAATTTTTACAAATTTGAATATTTTTTCACTCAACATTTTCAATTTCAAAATTGATGTAACAATTCATTGTCCCAGCAGCTGTTTCGATACAACGCAATTAACTCACTCGTATGTGCACTCATTGAGTTTACCCATATTAGATTCCGGTCGCATATTACTCACCCTAGTCAGTTTTGATTTGAATCATCTTCTCAAGATTCAATTCTAGTGATTCCCCTTCTAGGGTGAATAATGTTCAACTAGTTACTCATTCCAAACAAACACCAAGTACATAATAGCTGGAACTATGAATAAAGTGGCAAGGGCACCAACAGAATTGGGAATTTTTCTAAAACGTTTCTGAGCGTTCCTCAGAATTCATATCGCTATTTTCTATTGCTGAGTTCAGACATTTACATCTTATACAAATTCGAATATGTAACAATAAAAAAAACCAATTGTTGCACATGTGGCACGGTAGAAGAATACAGTCATTTCAAATAAGCATTGCCATCTTTGCATTTTCTGTAATTTACATTGTCAAATTTCACTGCAACGAAAGCAGGTTCCCATCTCTGATTTGTGTATGCACAATGGATTTATGAATATACATTTTGACAAAGAGATGTTGTCAAATGAATAATTTTGAAAAAAAAAATATGAACATATGATAGCACGACTTTACCTTCTTAATTCTACCATGATTGATGTGTCAAAAGTTTTAAAATGTTTTTTAAACTAGATTTTTATATGTTTTCTAATACAACGCTAATCGGAGGTTGTTACCTTATGTATTTTTCAACAGTATTAACAAATTTGAAGAGTTTTCATTCAAAATTTTTAATTTCTAAATTGGTTTGACAGTTCATTGTCTCAGCAGATGTGTCGATGCGACTACCTGTATTCTTCTACAATAATATGGTGTTCCCATGGTAGAAAAATACAGGTAGATGCATCAACGCTTCGGAGCATTGATATGTCAAAATTTTTTAAATATATTTTCAAATATAAGTAGATTTTTCTATGTTTTCTTATACGAAGTCATTCGGAGGTTATTATAAAATGACTTTTTTTTAACATTTTTTACAAATTTAAATAATTTTTTATTCAACTATTTTAATTTCACAATTCGTTTGACAGTTCATTGCCCCAGCAGCTGCGTCAATGCGTCTACCTATATTCTTCTACCATGCATTGTACAATAAAAAGGTAAGGTAGAGCTACCAGCTGATTACAATTTTTTGCTGAGTGTGCCCGATTTCTGCCAATTTTGTGTATGTATTTATTGTTTTGAAAAATGAAAACAAAATATTTTCAAAATCAATGAATGGAAGAGACTTAAATTGCGGGGTGCGTATTAATGATATTAACCAGATTTGCCACGGAATTGAAAAATTGAACACTTTGGATCATATTTTTGAGAGAACATTTAGACATTTCATTCATCTTTCGCGATATTTGACTTAATTTAAAAATGAACAAAAAATATCAAATAAATAAAAACAACTTGTTGGATATAATTTTGAATAATTCTGACAGGAAGCGGGCATAGCCTCAGGGCTGTATTTCTGTAGTTTTACGAAGCTGTTATACCTCATTATTGTACCATGGGTGCAAATTTGAGAGACTAGATTTAATGTCAAAAATTGTTTACACTTTGTCAGCCATTTGTTTATCCTTTGTAGTTCAGCTGACTACCAAGGGTTGGAAGGGGGACCTTACATTTAGAAAATTATTGGGAATATATAGATATCTTGTTTGACTGGCTTAAGTGATAGCCTGGCTTCTTTGAAACAAAAAAAAAATAAGAAGTTTTAGGTTGACTTAGTTTAATTTCGGCCCGTTATTCATACTTCTTCACCCGACACTCCTTTCATATTTTACGGAGAAGCCAGCCGATGTAAAAACATAAAGGTGGGCATACGTAAAAAGTATATTGGCTGCTTCTTCGTAAAAAAACAAAATAGTTTTAGGTTGCCTAAGTTCAATTTCGGACCGTAGTTTATACTTGTTCACCCAGCCAGCTGATGACTCATGGCACAATTACAAAGGTAACCTCATGCAATCATTCGATTGCAATTTTTTTACTTGATATGAGCGTACTGCTGGAAAGAAATGTAGATTTCTTTTCAACCTCATTTCAAATTATAATACCCAACTCTGCTTTTTTCTGTAATTTACCTATAGAATGGATTTGTAAATAAACATTTTGACAATGAAATGTTGTCAAATGAATAATTTTGAAAAAAAATTCAAAGATATGATAGCAAAGCGTTACCTTCTTAATTCTACCATGGGTTTGAGTATGGAATAAGTGGTGGGATTTCATGTCAAAGTATCATTTCGCGGCACCTAGAACAATATGAACACCGACAATATCGCCGAATTATTTACTATAATAATGGTAGAAGATTGTCATCCCGAATTTGGCCTTGCTTACATTCATGGTACAATGAAATCAAGGTTACCTCCTTTCAAATAATCATTCCCAGCTCTACTATTGTTTTTATGTGTCTAGGAACGCGGTAAATAATCTATTATTTATTATTTTTGTAAAATATGCCACTCGTCATACGTAAATATTTCAGATATGAAAATAAATTTTATTCGGAAAATGACATGGTCGAGTACTTCATAAAAGGGTTGCCATATCCGATTTAGCAAATGAGTCAACCTCTATTGTTTTGCCATGCGATGACTTAAGCCAGTCAAAAAAGCATTTTAAAATTGTTATATTTATTCTCATCTTAAAGGTTAAAACACCTCAAACTTAAATCGTAATTTCGGTGTGAAAATACAACACTGTTGTCATTTTTGTTGCATGGATCCTAAAAATACAAAGCTGCTGTCAGCTACAAATTGCACTTTTTGCAATATTTGGACGTGACCGAGTGTGATCTCTCGGTAAACTCATGGCTCAATAAGATAGGTTGCTCAACTTTAAACTAAAAAATGCAACTCTACGAACACAAAAAAAAACAACTTTTTGCTAAAAATTTTATTATACATACCATGGTAAAAGAATAAAGGTAGTCGCATCGACACAGCTGCTGGGACAATGAATTTTTTTTGGAATTAAAAATAATTGAAATTTGTAAAAAATGAAAAAATGCATATCATAACAATTTCCGATGAAATGAAGCGAACGTGTATTTCTGTAGTTTTACGAAGCTGTTCTACCCATGTTAAAAGAATATAGGTAGACGCATCGACACAGCTGCTGGGTCAATGAACTGTCAAACCAATTTTGGAATTGAAAATGTTGAATGAAAAATTATTTAAACTTGTAAAAATTGTTGAAAAACGCGAATTATAATAACCTCCGTATGACGTCGTATAAAAAAAAATTTAAAGATCTACTTATATTTGAAAAAATATTTATTTTTTTTTTTTTGACATATCAACGCTCCCAATCGTTGATGCATCTACCTGTATTCTTCTACCATGGTTCTACCTCTTTATGGTACGGTCATACCCTCCCGCCATCTATACCACTCATAACTTAAATCTATGCTTGGGGATTCGCTTAATTGATGCTCTGCCAATGCCAAATTATAAACAAGTTTCAGAAGTTTAATACTTTGACAGAGTTAATCTCATTTGCCAAGTCGATAATGGCAATCCTTTTAGGACACACTGTGGCCTATTTATTAGATCTTCCGATGAAACCAGCTGATGTTACCCAAATTGTCGAAATGAGGGCATCTCAATCACAATAGTAGTCCTTCGTTCCACATACACGATCTGTTAGTGGACAAGACGAATGACATATTTTTTTGTAGAATACAAACAAATAAAAATGTCTGACATTAATTTATGATTAACATTATTCTCGCGATCTATTACTTTATGTTACAATTTTTTTTTTTTTTTTTTTTTTTTTTTGCCGTATTCAATTCAATTCAATTCAAAAACAATATTATAGTTTTTACTATTCCCTCAAACGAGAGAATTTTCATCATTATGTTAAGCATGAGATTATCATACCTTCTCCACTTCTAAACAAATCGCCAATATTTTCAAAAAATTCTAGCAAAATTTTTACAAAACTATTTGTTTATATCAAAACTCCTCACAATTGACACAAATTGATGCTGTGGCCATGCCACTCTACCTATTGGTGTGTGTGTGTTGCATGCAAGGTGAGTAACTGGTGTCATACTCTCACTCTCACAGCACTAATATGCGCATTCTTCTATTGGAATTGTTTTTGTTCACAGCAGAAAACAAAACGGAACGGAAACCGCTTCAAAATAAATAAAAAGTGCATCACGGAACTAGTCTGGCTAATCTGCAGATAGTATCTGGCCAGTTGAAACATGGAAATATCACACGAAACTCGCTTGGCACCACCCGGAGGAGCAGTCTTAAGAAACGGCTGTGGTTTAGGTGCAGCAGCCGGCAACTCAACTTCTCCACCGGGGAGAAACCACCATAATCGCAGCAATTATTTTCCACGGCGACACAAACCCGAAACCTCGCTATATGACGAAGTTATGGGAACTTTTGATAAGTCGTTCGTTTATCTGAAACCGAAAGATGGAATTTGGTCATTACCGTCGGAGGACAATGGCCGTGGACTCTTCTCCGAGTACTATCAATTCGATAGTTTACAAGAATTGAAAATCAAATTGAACGAAGTGAAGAGCCAACTCAATGACTATCCCATTATAGAATGGTCGGCTCACACCAGACGTAAGAATCCGGCTGGAGAAATTCCGTGGCGTCTTAAAACAGACATTAAGGCGGAATTTGTGACCATTGCCTGGTGTAAACTGTTTGAATGTTTGAATAAATGTCCGGAAATGGTCAAGGGACCCCAACTGAATTCATTGCATTTGTGTGAAGCACCAGGAGCATTTATTACGGCCCTCAATCATTACCTGTTTACGCGGTATAGTGAAAATGAGGTGAGTGACATTATGAAATGAAAGGTAAGACTTTAATGTTTAGAAGAACTTGAAAACGACTCCATAATATGTTGCTAGAGAAGTGGAAAAGTTCCAATAATCATCTATACGAATGGGCCTACTATTTGAAGATGTATGGTTAAATAGATTTCTTTGTCCCCTTTCAGGTTCAATGGAAGTGGCTGGCCACAACCTTGAATCCCTACTACGAGGGTAATCCAATGGACAAAATGATACCGGACGATCGTTTTATCCTGTACACCTTGGAAAATTGGCTGTTTCACAAGGACTTTACGGGAAACATCATTAGCAAGGCGAACTTGGAACATATGAAACAGCAATGCGAACAACGTTTGGGTGAAGTCCATTTGATTACCGCCGACGGATCTATAGATTGTGTTGATGCGCCCGACTGCCAAGAAGAGACCGTAGATCTGTTGCATTTTGCAGAAATTGTAACCGCATTGGAAATCCTCGCCGATGGCGGTAGCTTTGTTGTGAAAATGTTTACTCTATTCGAAGCAACATCGGTGTGTAAACTGTTTCTGTTGAATTGTGTCTTCCAGGAGGTGCAGGTTTTCAAACCCTGTACCTCAAAGCGTGGCAATTCCGAGGTCTATGTCATTTGCCTAAATTATCAGAAAAACAATGCGGCCCTGCAAAGCATTCTACCAAAATTGCGTGAGCAATTAAATGGCGGCAAAGTTTTGATGCCGTTGTTTGCCAAAGCTTCGTTGCCTAGGGAGTTTCTGTTGCAACACGAAATAATGTGTCGGCTTTTCATGAGTTACCAGTCAAAAGCCATAGAGTCCAATATCCAGTCGTTTGAGATAAAACCCACCAAGGTGAGAATCAAAAACTTACAGACTCTGCGGGCACTGGTCTGCGATGAGTATTTCAGACGTTACAAAGTCCGAAAGTTGCCGGAAAATCTAAAAATCCTATATAAAAGTAATGCAGCCATTGACAAGGGCTATAAAGTGCAAATCTACAATGGATCTTATTCGGAAAGAGAAATGCTCAAATGCATCACAGTGGAGGAGCAAATATTTCAATTACGAAAACAATTAAATGATTTGGAAAAATGCTTTGCTGACGCATGGGACAGTTCTGATCATGAGTTGAAACCCAGCGGTGATGGTAACAGGCCTCTACCAATTACAATATACAATGGTCAGCCCATAGCGACCTTAAAAAGTTCCCTGTTTACACACATTCACATGCTAGTAATGCGTGAAAAATTGAATGGAATCTATGCCACCGATGTGTTATGGTATGGTGATCCCCAAGTTGTGTTTCCCAGGGAATGTTACTCCTTGAAATATAATGAATTCCACGGGCCAAACTTTTCTGAGCAACAGGAAAAATTCTTTAAATTGCTATTGGAGAATCTGCTCAAACACCAGCCCAGCGTAGTGAAATTCCAAAATATGCCCATTCTCAGTCACTATGCTGCATCCATAATACGTTATTTGTCGTTGGGCGTCTACAAATCTTTGGAGTTTTCCTACCACCCTGTTTTTGAAATAACTCTGGCCGAACCCTGTGATAATTTCGCCAGCCTCACAGAGCATTTGTATAAGGCGCTGTGCTGCAGCTGTAGTGGAGATATTTTATGTTTCGTCAACATTCTGGAGTTACATTACAACAATTTCAATAAATCTCTAAAGCACTATAATAATACATTGCTATTGGAAAACTATAAAAGTATTTTAGGAAATTAAGTTTTTTTTTTAATTTTATTTTCTCCCAAGTGGAGGAACAAGTAATGTTTATATTAATACAATATTTTTTTATACGTATAATTTATAATATATTTACATGAACTCTGTATGTATGAAACCTGAAGTCAAATCAAAATTATGCACATGTATTTTATTTTAAATAAAATATTTGAGGCAAATTAGGAAATGTTTTTTTTAATTTTCGAAAATGGAATTTTGCTGTGGGGTATTTAATATACCCCATACCCCACAGTCTTAGTATGGTTTCCTGCAACGTTTTTTGTTGGACTTGACTCTAAGACCACTAAACTAGTTGGTTAAAAGTTATGTTTCAGGAGCGGGCGAAAAAAATATTCTATATATTTTTTTGGCAAATGCAAGAACACTACTGCAAGGCGTCTAATTAAGTGTTCAACAAGGAAACTGAAAAAGTCTACTGCAAGTAACTTGTGAAAAATATAATAATTGTTAATGATATAAAAGTTATAATATATATTAATGTATATATATATATATATTGAAGATAATAAAACAAGTAAAATATTATCTGTCGGTTTTGCCGACAGATTTATATCCCATCCTTGAGTTAAAATTATTCAAACCGTTGACACTTTATGGGAGAGATTCTGAAGCAGTTGGTCAATATTGACGAATTCGTATCTGACCTAAGACTGATTAAAATATTACAATGTGCCAGATTTGGACTATATGGACTACTACTTTATTGGGTTAGATGAAAAAAAAACTGCAAACAACTACAGAATGCTGTCATTTCCAAGCCACTCGTCCGACAGCTGTTAAAATTATTCCAGTGACAGCTCATTTTATTGTTTACAAACGTTCCAAAGCATTTTGGTGAGAAGTTTCCAAAAAAAAGTTATTCCTGATGGAATTCAAGCGTTGAATTTATATTTGGCTAGAAAACCACAAGTGGCTATCGTTAGAGCACTCCAGCATTTAAATGTGAATAAATCTTTTGTGTCTCATACCATCGCTTGTTACCGTGATACTGGTAGTGTGGCCCGACGTCAAGGAAGTGGATGGTAGAAAACAGCAACATCGGCAGAAATGGTTCGAAAGATAAAGAAGCGATTTGATTGAACATATCGCAATATTCCATTCGGCAAATATTAAAAATTGAGCTCGGGGCAAATCCATTGAAAATCAAAAAAGTGCAAAAACTTACACCTCAACAGAAAGAAAATAGCCTCAAAATAGCTAAAAAGAGTTGCTTCGCTTGGTCGTAAGTGGTGAACTGAAGAATTTGGTTTACTCCGATGAGAAAACATTCGTTGTCCAGCAGTTTGTAAACAAACAAAATTATCGTGTTTACTTGCCAAAGAGGTCAGCTGAAAATGTGCACCTTCGCTTGGCCACCAGAACTCAAGCGCCGGCCATGGTGATGGTGTGGGCCGCCATAACAGCCGATGTTCGCTCTCTGCTAGTATTAATCGACCGTTTCTTCAGAATAAATGCCGAATATTATCGCATAATGATTCTGGAGGGTGTATTAATGCCTTGGGCATGCAAACATTTTGACCGCAGACCTTGGACATTCCAACAGCACTCAGCACGCGCCACCCAAGAATGGTTACCAAATGAGGTTCCTCGCTTCATTTTCAGCGCACAATGGTCACCAAAACTCCGGATACAAATCCGTTGGACTATTGTGCCTAGAGTTTTTTGAAAAGCAAGGTTGGCGCTAAAAAATACCAAAGTGTCGATCACCTCAAGGAAGCGCTTCGCCGTGAATGGGCCAAAATACCGCAGAGTAACATTCGGACAGCCTGTGACGGTTTCATTGGAAGGTCATAATTCGTCCCAAAGGTAACCAATTCGAAAACTAAATCTAAACTTATTCTAAAATTTGATGCTATTTCCGACAGTTTTTGCTTTCATTCAATAAAATTTAAAAAAAAAAAAATTAAAAATTATGGCGTTGGACTTTGTATTTGTGAAATTTGAAGAGAGTGGGATGTTTATTTCGCTTTCTTTGAGCATTTTATGTTTCAAAATCTTGAAGCCTATGTGGGACCAGGAACCAGAGAAATGGTCCGATCCATCTACCATCTTTATAACAGGTCTTGTGTTGATGGAAGTATTGATATGTACCAAGTCAGAATAAAATCGGATGTTAATTTCGCGTTTTATGAGCTTCATGGATATTCAACATTTTGTGGGTGAGGTACCAGAAGGTGTAGACCGATATATCCCATCTTTCCAGCAGATCTTGTATTAATAAAAACAAGTAAAACAGCTGTAAGTTTGGCCGGGCCGAACTTTGAATACCCTCCACCATTTGGAACGAATTTGGCAATTTTCAAAAAATAAATTCCTTTAAAAATTCTTTTAAAATCTTAAAATTACCAAATGTAATGTAGGTAAAATCATCATTCAATCATCATCATCTATACCAAAATGTGGACCTGCACAGAAAATTTTCTGTCATAGGCTGTAGTATTCATTATGAACTTCAAATATTAAATTTGAAACAATTCCGGAGAATAATGTCGCTAAATTAATCATCAAAATATCGAATATCGGGAGGTACCGTTATATGGGGGCTATACGAAGACGGGGACCTGCACAGACAATTTTCTGTCTTAGGCTGAACTATCCATTACGAACTTCAAATACCAAATTTGAAAAAATTCCGGTAAATAATGTCGCTAAAATCAACAAAGTACTGAATATCGGGAGGTACCGTTGGTGGGGGCTATACGAAGACGTGGACCTATACAGACAATTTTCTGTTTTAGGCTGTAGTATCCATTTCGAACTTCCAATACCAAATTTCAAACAATTTTGGGGAGGTAGAGTGATTTCCAGAGAGGGAGGTAGAGTGATTTCCAGAGACGGACGGACATCGCTAAATCGACATAGAATTTTATGCTGATCAAGAATATTTATATATTGTGGGGTCTAAAATGTATATTTCGGGGTGTTACAAACGGAATGACAAACTTAATATACCCTACGTTCTATGGTGAAGGGTATAATAATATTGAGATGTCTGTAATTTGAAATCAATCCGACTCTTACATCACATATTATATGATTAATAATTATTTAAAATGTTGACCCTTTGTGTGTAGGGGTGGACCGATATATCCCATCTTCACAGTAGATCTTGTGTTAGTAGAAATAATGAGATGTGCGAAATTTGAAAAGAACCGGAAGCTTATTTCGGATTTTAATGGTTATTCAAAATTTTGACCTATTGTGGGGGAGGTACCAGAAGGAATGATCAGATCTCTTGAGATGTGCCAATCTGATTGGTATTGGATGATAATTTTATGAGCTTCATGGGTATTCCAGATATTGACCATTTTGTGGGAGAGGTACCAGAAGAAATGGTCTGAACTCCACCTTCTTTATAAGAGATCTTGTATTAATAAAAAAATATTGAGATGTGTATAATTTGAAGACAATCGGACTCTTACATGACCTTTTATAAGAGAAATAATTATTCAAAATGCTGACCCTTTGTGGGAGAGGTACTTGATGGAGTGGACCGATATTGTCCATATTCGTACTTGAAATAGCATTGATGGAAATATCAGGATTTGCAAAATTTGAACCGAACTTGATTATCCTCTCTCTTTCAGTGCAGTAAAATTTTTTTAGGAAATGTCGGCCTTTTTTGGGGGAGATACCAGAACGAGTGCACCGATATTGCCCATCTCTGAACTCGATCTAAGTTTGATAATAATAATAGTTTGGCCCAATTCAGATACTCCCTTCGAGAGTTATCGTGCGCACCACGTACGGAGGGACACCGCTAGATCGACTCCAAATGTTCTGATACAGATTTGGTCCAAAGAGACCTAGGGTCTAAAACCGTTATTACGATGAGGCCCGTTTTGACCGTATCAAATGAGATATCTAGCCGTATGGCTGAGGGTATAAAACTAAATAATATTAAATTCCCTAATTAATTATTTACTTTGTAGTTGTTAAAATATGTTGTAGATATCCGCAAAAAGATTATGTCTGTTGACTGTTTTCAAATTGTCATGTAATTGAGAAAAAAACACACACAAATAAGTCGCATTCTGTCACGAGAGGCTTAAATATATATTTATAAAAACCTCATTCAGAACAAGTTTAAACCGAGTTTTTGTTCAGCCAAATTTTAAGCAATGAATACGCTTTCATTGGTATTTCTGATTGCAAATTGGATTGGCAGAAATGTGGTGAGTGAATAAATCATATTTAATCTGGTGTTACAAGAAAACTGGAATAAGAAGAAAGGATATTTTTTACGATGGAGTGCCTTAATTCAACGAAAATAATCCAAACCAGTACCAGCACTGAATAGAGAATATTGGAAGACTAATTTGTGATGCTTTCAAAACTCGGATTTAACTGCCATTCTAAAGGTGCAAGTACATAACAAGCTTGAAGTCATGGCTAGGCATATTAATGTCAAATTATAATGGAAAACGACGGCAGGATTTTAGTGCGGATCTGTAATCCCTTTATGAAATGTCACAAAATATGCCTAGCCATGACTTCAAGCTCTTTATGTACATGCACCCTAAGTGCATGTGTACATTAACTTCAGAATTACTACATGATCTGTCCCAGAACTGCAACAATGTACAATTTTTTTTTTTTGTTAATACGATAACTGTGTTATTGGAAAAGGTTGCAAAACTTTTTAATTCTTGCAGGTTCTGGAACAGACCAATAGAAGGATTTCTTCATATGGCCTGTTTCAGAACTGCCAGAATGTACAACTTTTTAAATACGATAACCGTTTTTCCCTGATATTGGAAAAATTCGCAAAACTTTTTGATTCTTGCAGGTCCTGGAACAGACCAATAGAAGGATTTCTTCTGCTGGTTTTTCGTAAAACAACAAAGGAGTTTATGGATGATATAGTTCAATTTCGCCCCATAGGTTTGGCTTGACAGCGAAATAGGTGCAGCGCATCATGTGAATCTGTACCACAAGCTGGGCAGATGTTCTGCAATCCGAGCCGAATAGGAATCAAGACGGCTGCACCATTCGGATCGTAACTAAGCCAAACAAGTAAAAAAAAAACATTAGTTCGTCCGGGCCAAACGTTTAATACCCTCCACCTTAGGGTAAAGGAAACATTAGAAGAAATGTGGCAAAAACCATTAAAATGCCGAATATCGGGAGGTACCGTTATATGGGGACTATACCAAAACGTGGACCTATAATTACAATGACTCGCCACACAAACTGGGACCCATTATGATCTACAACTATCAATTTTCAGAGATATTCTTGAAAAAATGTGTCAAAAATCATCAAAATACCGAATATTGGGAGGTACCGTTATATGGGGACTATATCAAAACGTGGACCTATACATACAATGTTTCGCCACACGAACTAGGACCCATTATGACCCACAAATACCAATTTTTAGACAAAACCGTGAAAAAATGTGGCAAAAAAAATTAAAATACCGAATATCGGGAGTTACCTTTATATGGGAGCTATACCAAAATGTGGACCTATACATGCAATGTTTTGCCACACGCACAGGGACCCGTTATGAACTACAAATACCAATTTTCAGACAAATCCGTGAAAAAATGTGGCATAAATCATCAAAATACCGAATATTGGGAGGTACCGTTATATGGGGACGATACCAGAACGTGAACCGATATATCTCATTTTCAATACCAACCAGCCTAGACACAATACAAATTGCTCTGCTAAATTTTGGAGCTCTACGTTAAATAATGTGGACTGTATTGTGGTTTCACCAGACAGACAGACAAACGGACATCGTTAAATCGACTTAGAATTTTATGCTGATTATGAATATATATACTTTATGGGGTCCACGACGAATATTTCAGGATGTTGCAAACGGAATGACAAAGTTAATATACCCTCCTTTCCAAGGTGGAGGGTATAAAAAGTCCGTCTGTCTGTTGAAATCACGATACAGCCCACATTATTTGACGTAGAGCTTCAAAGTTTGACACAACAATGTGTATGTATGTCTACGATGGTTGGTATTGGTATAGAGGTTCCTGTTTTGGTACGGCCCCCATACAACGGACCTCACCCACTTTATGCTTTTTTGAAAAGGTTAACAGCATTATCCAAACGGTCTTACTGGTATTTGTAGTTTAAAGTGGAACACGTTTGAATTCAGATACTTTTTTTATATAAAAATGTTTTCTTTGCCCAAAGGTGGAGGTATAAACAGATCGGCACGGCCGAACTTAATTTTTTTTAATTGTATTTTTTTTTTTAATCACATCCTTTGTAGTTTAAACTACTACTATTCTTGGCGGGTTTTTGAATGAAACAGTTTGGAGGTTATACCTTAATAACCGAGCAATTTTTCTCTTCTTCCAGCTTGTATCGGGTCAATTCAATTACTGTATTGAATTCCTGGAACCCATGGTATTTGCGAAATGTGACGATCAGCCGGATCATTTCCTATATAAAGCTGTTGATATCAGCGATCTATCTTTTCAGCATAGCAGAGAGGGTGATTTAATAGTCAAAGGACCTATTAAATTTATCACAACTTTACCAGAGAATTTACCGGTTAGTAGTCAATGCTTAGATATTCTTCTACTAAAACTTCAATTTCCACCCATGCAGGTTACAATTGAAACTTACAAAAAAGAACGAGGCGAATGGCAGCCGACTCTTTTCACATTGAAACGGGAAGATGTCTGCATTTCGTTATTTGATGAAAGAGAATTGTGGTCTACCTATTGGGAAAATACACCAAAGGAACAAAAGACATGTCCATTTAGCAAGGGGGTAAGCAGTTTTATGTGGAAATGATAAGGAATATTAATAGCAAGCGTTTTTTTTTTTACAGCAAATATTGGATATGGACTTTTCTGAGCAAATATCTCTGAATATACCCATGCCCAATGTGGATGGGGAATACAAAAGTCGCATAGAATTGGGCCATCAAGGTGATGAATTTTATATGTGTGCTGTTGCATTTATATTTATGCATAGATTATAGTTACAAAAGTTTGCGGGAAAGCATTTTACAAATAAAAAGTTTAACGAGTCGCTCCATAAATGCTAGAATATAAAAGTTTTTACTACGATAGTCGATTTTCCCTTTGTGATATTGAAAAAGTTTCCAAATTAGTAGAATATTGCAGGTACTGGAACAGAGCAATTGCAAAATATTGGGTCATCGTAGACACCTATTGTTATACCCCTGGTACAAAACAGGTGATAGAATAAAGCTACGCCTTAAATATATTTGTTTCATATTTTTCCCTTAGCTGTCCAAACATATACATATGCAGATTGTATCATGGTAGAATAATTTTCAAGATAGGGCATAGAAATCACCTGAATGCATGTTTTTCCTATTGTTATTAACACTGAAATATATATACAGGGTGAGATGAAAAAACTTCAACTGTTAAAATTATTCCAGTGACAGCTCATTATATTCTTTACAAGCGTACAAAAGCATTTTGGTGAGAATTTTCCACTAAAAAAGTTATACGTGATGGAGTTCAAGCGTGATAATGTGATTTCTTTATATTTGGCTGGAAAACCACAAGCGGTGATACTGGTAGCGTAGCCCGACGTCAAGGAAGTGTATGGAAGAAAACAGCAACATCAGCATAAAATGGTTCGAAAAGTAAAGAATCGACTTGATCGAGCGTGAGCTGAACATAACTCAACGTTTCATCCGCAAATATTGAAAAATGAGCCTGGGGTAAAGCCATTGAAACTCCAAAAAGTGCAAGAACCTACATCGCAACGGAAAGAAAATAGTCTCAAAAGAGTTAACGAGTTGCTTCGCTTGTCCGAAAGTGGTGAACTGCCGATGAGAAAACATTCGTTGTCCAGCAGTTTGTAAACAAACAAAATGATCGTATTGACTTGCCAAAGAGGTCAGCTGAAAATGTGAACCTTCGGTTGGCCACCAGAACTCAAGTGCCGGCCATGCTGATGGTGTGAGCCACCATAACAGCCGATGGTCGCTCTCCGCTCATATTAATCGACCGTGGCATATCGAATATTATCGCGAAAATATTGTGGAGGGTGTATTAAAACACGCACGCAAACATTTTGGCCGCAGACCTTGGACATTCCAACAGGACTCAGCGCCATCGTAATCAATAATGGTTACAAAATGAGGTTCCTCGCTTCATTTCCAGCCACCAAAATCCCCGGATACCAATCTGTTGGACTATTGTGTCTGGAGTATTTTGGAAAGCAAGGCTGGCACTAGAAAATACCAAAGTGTCGATCACCTCAAGCAAGTGCTTCGCCGGGAATGGGCCAAAATACCGCAAAGCAACATTCGGGCAGCGTGTGACGGTTTCATTAGCGATGTAAAGGCCACAATTCGTGCCGATGGTGGCCAATTCGAATAAATCTAAGCTTATTCTAAAATTTAATGCTATATCCGACATTTTCAGCGTTCACTCAATAAAATTTAAAAACAAAAAATTAAAAATGATGGCGTTTGGTTTTTTTGCAGTTTTTTTATCTCACCATGTATTTATTAAATTCTCTTTATTTTTGCTTTTGAAATAATATCGCACAAAATCCAACAGCAAATTTGACAAATCATAACATGTGAATACCCCTGAGGCTGCATGAATGCAAAGGGCTGTTATGACAACTGAACACATCCCATGCAACACAGCAGGTTCCAACTAAACGCAACAGCTGTTCGCAAGTTTGTTTTGATCTTTGGCATTGTAAATTCTAGAACAGGCAGCAGGCGGCATAGAGGACCCTAATCCACAAAAATATGGCAGAAATTAAGGTAAAAAACAATAATTCCCATAGAGAAATGTTTAATAAACGATTGTGTTTCGAAAGGTTGAATTTGCCGTACAAATGACTGGAGAACAATGGGAAAATAACATACGAAATGCCCTAAGCGGCATGGGTAAATTGGAGGTGGACAACCAGCAGGGTAGAATAATTGTACATACCAAAGAGCCTTGGTATATGCTGCAGGAGAAAATCGAGGCCAGCGGTTGTAAAGCTGTATTGGCTGGTTTTGGCGGGCAATCGGCTGTTTCAATTATTAACACTACGGGCAGTGATGTGGATCGTTGTCCCATACAGGGTGTAATACGTTTTACCGCCATACGCAATGACAAGCCGGGTGTTGTTGTTGACGGGGTTGTGGATGGCTTGACGCCAGGTTTACATGGCATACATGTTCATGAAAGTGGCGATGTATCCGCCGGCTGTGCATCTGTGGGGGGACATTATAATCCCAGGGGTTCTCCACATGGCTCGCCCAATGATGATGCCTCTCAGCGACATGCCGGCGATTTAGGGAACATTAGAGCTGATGACAATGGTCGGGCTACATTCCGCTTTATGGACAACATTTTGGAGGTCTATGAAATTATTGGACGTTCTGTTGTTATAACACAAAATCCAGATGATTTTGGGCGAGGTGGCAATGAACAGAGTCGTGTTGATGGTAACTCCGGCGAAAGGTTTGTGGTGATTTATATTTAAATGAGTTTTTTCTTTTTATTTCATTTTACTTTTTTTGCGTTGTAGAATCGCTTGCGGCATTATTGCCCGCTCGGCTGGTATTCTGCAGAATTTCAAAAAGATTTGTGCCTGTGATGGTGTCACTTTGTGGGATGAACGTTATAAGCCTATAGCTGGTGGTACAAGAGCGCAAAAGTTATAGCTGCAGGATGATAGATAATAAGTATGTGTTGAATAGTTTTTATAAATTGGTTAAGGCATTTAAAGTTATACGTACCATTAAAAATATGTAAATAAAGGACATTAAAGCGATTGGGAGATGATTATGTTTAAATTTGAAATTTGGTTTGATATAGTGACCAGTGTTGCACTCTTGATTCTTTCTTCGGCATAAGAAGTAGGAGATAACTTATTTTCGAATTCTTTTTCCAAATTTAATTTTGGATGAATCGATGCTTCAAGGGGCTTACTATGTAAACTGCAATTATGAAGCCTTGAAACATTCATCGTAAATACTTGTCTAGCATAAAATTCCAAGTTGATTTTCACCGCGTTCAATCTCAGCGTATTTTTTTTTTTTTTTTTTTTGTGTTAACGAATCTTTGTGAATGTGATTCTGAATGTAAAAATAAAAAATCTCCTTCGGTGGCGGATTAAAATAAACATTTTTTTGCTCCAGATTTACTTCGACGTTTCTTGTGTTGATTTTTTTCCTTTTATTTCATTTTACTTTGTGAATTTCCTCGTTCATCTGATATTGAAACTTGATTATGGAACAACTTCTGGATTCGAAATCAGAATCGTATTCAAGTATAACAAATATCTAGTTCCATTGCTGATGTTTATACTCCGGACTAACTCCTCTGAAGGGAATATTTTTTTCTTTTTATTTCATTTTACGAAGAATTATTCCTCCATCCTCAAGCATTTAAAACTTTGGAATGTATTTCATTATGATAGAAATTTTAATTCCACATAAACTCCCAAAAGTACTCCGCACTCAATTGCTATCCTCAATCACAATGCTTTCATCGATACCAACACCTTTGATACCCTTTTTGATTTGCTGTAAACGTTGCTTACATTTACTCTTATAAGATTGGACAATTTTGCCACATAAAACGGGTGGGGAAATTGAGATGGCTGCATGTATCTGTATAGAAATAATAAAATTGAAAAGTAATTAAAATAACTTTAAAGACAGATATGTAACTACCTCCAAATAATCCAATTCCGCTTCATAGGCAATGCATTGATCCAACAAATTCATGATATTATGAAATTCTTCAGCTTTAAAGAAAAATTTCATTTCACCAATATTGTTTTTATACCAATCCGCATATAGATCTAAATTCTTTGATATATCCATTGTCACAGCATTGGAGGCTCGAGCTGTAAGCAGTAAATTCATCATGGATCGTTTGTATGGCAAGGTGGCCAATTGTTTCAAATGGGCTTTGAGGTGTTCTGAAAACAGTTGTTTTAAAGGATTTAAATAGCTATGAAATTCAGTACAGTTGAAATCTATACTTTTACTTCTAACATAAGGTCCTGCCTTTTCATTATTGCCGCTACACAGTGTTTGCAATAAAATCAAATAAAATTTCCAATTGCGGAAATTCTCAACACTGGCCAATTTTAAGAGGTAATTCAGACTATCTTCAATGTTATTCGAAAGTAGCTACAATTTCAAAAAGTAAATGTTATCTTTATACGTTTTAGGTCTATATAATAAAAATCCCTCACATTATCATAGAGATCCTTGGGAAATTTTAACTCATCAACTCCCTCATTTATCCAGGAGGAAAAATTTTCAAATGCAGCACTCACACCGCTTTGTTCCAACCTTATTATAACGTCCACATGTTTTTGTATGATTTTTATTAGGATTTCTCCTAAAAAGAAAAATAATAAATTTAATTTAAGAAAAAATAAAAAATACTCATACCCGGCACACTGCTGCGCATATATTTCGCATAGCCTAAACTATTCAATTCTGGTTTCTCCAACAAATCTTTAAATAGATTTTCCAATGACACTTCCAGAATATCACTCAAACGTATTGAATTTCCAGAATCTAGAAATGAAATAATAATTTAGATTTTTGTTGAAATATTTTTTTTTTATAAAATTCGTAATTGTTTTACTTTGAGTGCATCCATTACTCATGGACAGATTTGTCTAATGGTAAGTTTTAAAAATAAGGGCCTGTTTTTGTGCATTTATACAAATGTGAATGCGAACGAAAAACAAAAGTCCAAATGTGTTTTTTATCCTCTTTTTTTAATTAAATCAAAAATTAATATGGTATTTTTCGTTCGCATTCGCTTTTGCATTGTCCTACAGAGAAAGGCCTTAAATAAATAAAACTAAAATATTTGCAAAGTTTTACCCATTGTGGAATTAATAAATAAATTTGTGATTAATTCAAATTCCGATTCGTAGAAATCGTTTAATACCAATTGGACATCTTCATTGCTGTTGTAACTGAAACGAAAACGATTTTTATGAAAAGTAATTTTAAGAAAAAAAAAATTAGTACTTTCAGAATTTACCATAAAATAAACTCCGTTGCCGTCAGTATCCGCAAATCGTGTAAAATTCCCAAGACAAAAAGGCTACCAATATTCCAGGGTAGTTTGCAAAAGTATTTGGCAACCAGCAACTGTTTTGAATATCAAATAAATAAAACATTGATTAAACAAATAAAATTAATGAGTTAAACGAATAATGAAAAAATAAATTTAATGGATTTCTGTTACAATTTAATGGAAATAAATCCGATAATGAGGGATTTATTTTAGTTTGAGTAAAACTGTGATTTTGGATCATAACGATAGGAGAATTATGTCTTGCAGAAGAAAGCGACATAGACCCATAGTTTTGAAGATCTTCAAAATCTAAGTCGATGTATGCATGAACATCCCTTTGTCCATGTATTGTTGTAAACAACGTATAGGTCGATATTATTGTCCGATCAAAATAAAATTGTACACAAATCATTTGTTGAAATTGTTTATATTCGATCAAAATTTAGATAAAGCTCCCATAAATATCTTCGTTCTATTTCGCTTTTATTGTGCACCTAATGAAAATCGTCCAAGATATAGCTATAGCTCCCTTATATATTGAATGTAAAAATTTTTACTACGATAACAGATTTTCCCCTTATTGGTACCGAAAAGTATTGCAAAACTAGCTCATTCTTGATGTCAACTATAGTTTAGTAAAAATTCCCGGATTTTTTTTTTAAATTTTTTCCAGAGTACCTACCTCATTTTATACTGATTCGGGGAAAATATTTCTTTCTTGGGGGATGGGCCAGGATACCCGGATTTTTAAGCAGAAAAGAAAGCTAATGAAAATACCTATCCAACAAGTGGTCACAAGATGTAATTGTTTAAAACGGTTTCTGAGTTGCATTGAAGTTGTTGATTTTTTGGATACGGATTTTTTAAAAAATCGACCAAAAGTCAAAAAGGTCCCATTTTGGGAGTCCACAAAAGTTATAGATTTCACTATAAACTTTCCATATGCTACCATATGTGTCATTATCTTTGTTGAATCAAGAGGTATGGCTCATTGAACCCGGACGAGCCAATATTGTCCATATCGGTTTAGTTGATCCGAAAAAAATGTTTTCCCGGAATCAGGGTGCAAATACCTACCTCTGGAAAAAATGTATCTTTCATGCGACGACACCGGTTGGAAAATTCCAACCCCCAATAACCCCAACAAATTGTTAGATCTTGTATTCATAATTTCCCGCCAGAACTTCAGCTTTGCGTATACTATTTCTTTAACTTTAAGGGGCTTAGACTGCAGCAACTCTAGTTCCTTTACTTTGTCTCACCTTTTCTGTGGCATTTAACGTTTTTAATAGTTCAGCAATTTCAAACCTCTGACATTGATTAACTCTCTCCGTGTTTTTTTGCAAGGTCTGAAAATAAACCGAAAATTATATTCACTGCTCTTACTTAATTAAGCATAAAAACTTACCTGACAGATTAGTTTCAAGCTGGGTCCGATTTGATAATGCATTTTGAACTATTTTCATTAATTAATCTATTTTTGTTTCTGTTTGAAACTGCTTTTCAATTCAAGGTGCCAGCTACTTCAAGGAGACTACAAAGCTGTCATTATATTATCACATCGCCGCCATAGAAATGGAAAGTAAAAACGAAGCGGGAAATCAAAACAAAAATAACGATTAGCAAGAGTGATCAGAAGATCGATATGGGAGAAATCAAATGTTGCCAGATTTTTGTGTCAGTACAGGATGCCACTTTCACCGGTATAAGTGTAATTATCGGGGAAATTGTGGATTTGAGGATTTAAAGATGCAATTTAATAATGAGGTATTATTACTGGGTTGAATAAATGAGTTTTGGGTTACTTCAATTCACATACGTTGAATTACCCTCAAAATTGAGTATTGTTTGAAAAGTGTTGCTATAATCGATTATTTGTGGGACCTTTGTGAAGTTTTTTAAGGGAATACTGCAAATTTTTGAAATTTTTAGGAAAATTTTATGTTTAAAAAAAAAAAACATTTATTGTGGACCATTGTAAATTTATTAGGAAAGCGGTAAATAAATCATCGTAAAAATGTATAAAAATATTAATTGAAGGCCCATTGCAGAATTTTGGTTTAAAAGGCAAAGGCAAAAATTTTAAATAATATATTTCGAGGGTCAAAAGAGACAAAAAACGCGGCTAATAAAAAAATATGCCTCGAAAATATTTTCTTCTATTTTTTTATTTAAAAAAATATGTCGAAATGTTGAAATGGTTGGTTGATAAAATTTTACTCAGATGAGTATTAGGCTGGAAATACATAAAGCGCATATTTGGCTGGCTTAAGTCATCGGCTGGCTTCTTCGTAGATGAACAAAGGAGTTTTAGGTTGACCTAGTTCGATTTTGGCCCTAGGCTCCTTTGTTCATTTCCGAAGAAGCCAGCCGATGACTTAAGCCAGCCAAATAAGCGCTTTATATATTCCCAGCTTTAGGTTAGCAGAGCTTTTTTTATTGAAAATGGGCTACGTATGGGTCCACGTTTTTGTATTTTGATGATTTGTGTCACATTTTTCACCGGAATTGTTTCAAATTTTGGTATTTAGAGTTAGAAATTGGTACTACCTCTTGTGAGATAAAATTTCCTGCATAGATCCACCCCTCCATATAATTCTACCTCTCTATATTCGTTATTTTGATAAATTTGGCTACATTTTTCAGCAGCATTTTCAGCAACATTTCTCTAACTTGGTATTTGGATTTCGTAATAGGCACCACTTTCTCTGGGAGATAAATTGCAGTAAAGGTCCACGTTTTCGTATGTAACCCATATAATTGTACCACCAAATATTCGAACATTTTAATAACATAAGTAGTGGAATGTATTAAAAATTTGGCCCTGTTGCACTTAAAGTGAGAATACATAAAACGCTTTTTTGACTGGCTTGAGTCATCGGCTGGCTTTTTCGGAAACGAACAAAGAAGCACAAGGCCAAAGTCGAACTCAGTCAACCTAAGACTACTTTGCTGCGCTACGAAGAAGCCAGCCTAAGTCATCGGCTGATCAGTCAAATATTTCTATCAGTGCTACGTCAGGTGTGAAAATGAATAATATCGGTCCAAGTCAATTAAGCACCTCCCCCAAAAAGGGTCAAAATTTTGAATATTTATAATTCTTATAAAATGTGATGATGAGACCGATTGTCTTTGAATTACGCAAATCACGAATAACTTTTTTTCTGGAAAATTCTCACCAAAATGCTTTTGTAATACAATGAGCTGTCACTGGAATACACAGCTGTCGGACGAGTGGCTTAGAAATGACAGCAGTCTGAAGTTGGCTGCAGTTTTTTTCTTTCTTTCTTTTTTTCTCTCTGTGTCCACAACGTCCAAATTGTCCCCACGTTTTTTCGCTGAGTGTATTTGATAAAACGACTGATATAAATTTTGTTAATATAGAGATCTCTGGTAGATATATAAGCGAGCATACTACGAGCGGGTGGATGAATGTTTTTGGATGGACGGATAGATAGATGGGGCGACAGATATTTCAATTTAATATTAAACTTTACAGTATTCAAGTAGAGAGCCATCACGACGCACAACAAAAGAAGAACGGAACGCTGCGAATTTTGACAAAAAAAAAATACAAAAAATAAAAAAGAGTGATAACACAAATTTCATACGTTTCGAAAAATAAAAATCCCATTTTGAATTGAAAATAAAACTAAACTAAATAAAAATTTCAAAAAAAAGAGAAAACCCCGCACACACAGCAACAATATCAATAAGTTAGCAAAATATCCATACATATATAAAAATGAATCTTGTTCTGCTGTGAGAAAAAGTAATATCTGAAATACAAACACACACGTATATATATTTAACGGCATAAGAAAAAAATCTCAAAACAAAAAAAATATTGTCAATGATCCTCAACACAAGTGGATAAAGTTTATTTTTATTGAAAACAAAAAATAAAATTGAAAAAAAAAAGAAACGAAACAACAACACCAATACCCAAAAAAAGTAAATCGCACCAAAAGACAATCATCAACACACCAGCTCTGTGACAAACGACGTCAAATATTGTTGTCGTTTTTGTTGTTTTTGGTGGAAAATTTGAAAAGAAATTGAAAAAAATCACACAATTTGGGTATTTCTACTAAATCCCCTAGAATTTAAAGTAACGCCTGACGTAAACGCCCCTCCAGCCAGCCTCAAGATGAACGACATTAGCATTATTTTGATTTGTTTGATGTCCCTGCCGTTCATACTCTTCATAATGAGAGTAAGTTTCAATTCTAAAGAAATTAATGTTTAAAATTCGAAAGGAAATTTTAATATATTGTGTAGGAAAGATATTTTTTATTTCTTTATAGAAGTAAGGTTCAATTACTCACAAAAAAATCGCTAGATCTTCTACCGGACCGAACTTTGAATACCCTTCACCATTTTGAACGATTTTGGCAATTCTCAAAAACAATAAAAAGCGTAAAAAATACTGTTAAAATCTTAAAAATACCGAATGTAGCTGTTACATTAGGGTCTATACGACATGGACCTGCATAGGTCATTACAATATTCAATGCGAAACTTAACAAAAAAAAATTAATAAAATCGATGAATAATGTAGCTAAAATCATCAAAATATCGAATATCGGGAGGTACCGTTACAATTTTTTTGTCACAGGCTGTAGTATACGATACGAACTTTAAATACCAAATTTGAAAAAATTCCGTTGAATAATGTCGCTAAAATCAACAATGTACCGAATATCAGGAGGTACAGTTATATGGGGCTATACGAAGACGTGAATCTGTACAGACAGTCTCCTATCATAGGCTGCAGAATCCATCACGAACTTCAAATGCCAAATTTGAAACAATTCCCGTGAAAAATATCGCTAAAATCATCGAAATACCGAATATCGGGAGGTACCGTTATATGGGGTTATATGAGGTTAGAGCTGGACCTGCACAAACAATTTTCTGTCACAGGCTGTAGTATACGATACGAACTATAAATACCAAATTTGAAAAAATTCCTGTGAATAATGTCGCTAAAATCAACAAAGTGCCGAATATCGGGAGGTTCCGTTATATGAGGGCTATACGAAGACGTGGACCTGAACAGACAATTTTCTGTCTTAGGCAGTAGTATCCATTACGAACTTCAAATGCCACATTTGAAACAATTCCGGTGAATAATGACGCTAAAATCCTCAAAATACCGAATATTGGGAGGTACAGTTATATGGGGGCTGTACGAAGACATGTACCTGCACAAACAATTTTCTGTATTTTGCTGTAGTATCCATCACGAACTCCAAATACCAAATTGGAAACAATTCCCGTGAAAAATATCGCTAAAATCATCAAAATACCGAATATCGGGAGGTACCGTTATATTTGGACTATACCAAAACGTAAACCTACATGGCCCATTTTCAATACGAAAAGTCCTGCAGACATAATATACATTTGAGTAAAATTTTATCAATCTACTTCAATTCGTTCGGAAACTAGAGTGATTTCCACAGACGGATAGACGGACAGAGGGACAGACGGGCGGACAACGGACAATCGACATAGAATTTTATGCTGATCAAGAATATATATACTTTGTGGGGTCTAAAATGTATATTTCGAGGTGTTACAAACGGAATGACAAACCTAATATACCCTCCATACTGTGGTGGAGGGTATAAAAAAACTGTAGATCTTGTCATAGGTCAAATATATATATATATATATATATATATATATATATATATATATATTTTCCAAAAAGAACTATAGGTCTGCTCAACAAGATATCTATAGTTTTTGCTATAAAAGGCACAACTTCTTAATAAATGTACTTATTCCCCATAGCTAACATATAGAGATTTTGTATAGAGGTTCGGTAACAAATTTTCAATTGGGCGCCAAATTCCCTTTTTCAATATTTATAGATCTTCTCATGGAAGATAATTTATTCTTCTCATATATGATCTGTTAATCTCATTAAGTACGGACTGTAGGTCATAAGCTTTTTTCAATTGGGCGCCAAATTGTAAATTTTATAGAAGGGAAGTACTTAGAATACTCGACCTCCAAGAACTTACATGGACCTCAAACGTTGCATGAACAAAGTGTTTCAATGTTAGGGGAGATAATACTTATACTCTTCTTAATGTCATTCTATAAAAAATTGTTAGATCTTCTAGAAAACTGTAAATCTATTTACAGAAGCCTTATAGATCCTGCTATGGATGCTTCTTTAGATATTAGAAGATTTTGATTTAAAATGGATACGGACAAAATTCACCTCATCGAAATAATGGTTTTACACCCTAAGTCTCTTAGGACCAAATCCGTTTCAGGATATTTGGAGTCGATCAAGCGATGTCTGTCCGTCCGTCTGTCGCACCATTTGTTCTGGTGCCTCCCTCACATAGGGTTCAAGATTTTGAAAAAACTAAATGCTCAAAGAAAGCGAAATTAGCTTCCAAATCCATTCATCCATCTCCTCAAATTTCCCTCATACAAACATTTTATCTAACACAAGATCTGTTGTGAAGATGATATATATCTGGGAACCCCTTCTGGTACCTCATCCACAAAGGGTCACAATTTTCAATACTCTTATCTGTCATAACTTGTGAAACAAATCAATGATTCTTTACAACTAAATATTTCTCTCAACCAGAAACTTGAGATGAATATGGAGTTTATGTTTTCGCATAAATTGGATATAAATGTTCGATTTCCTTTAAATTTTGCAAAAATAGGGCGAAATAAAAAAAATTGCAACAAAGTCAAACGCCATAATTTTTACATTTTTTTTTTAATTTTATTAAATGAAAGCAAAAAATGTCGGAAATTGCAACAAATTTTAGAATAAGTTTAGGTTTGTTCGAATTGGTCACCTTTGGCACGAATTATGACCTTCAAACGACCAATGAAACCGTCACACACTGCCCGAATGTTGCTCTGCGGTATTTTGGTCATTCCCGGCGAAGCGCTTGCTTCTGGTGATCTTGACACTTTGGTATTTTTTAGTGCCAACCTTGCTTTCCAAGATACTCCAGACACAATAGTCCAACAGATTGGTATCCGGAGATTTTGGTGGCCATTGTGCTCTGGAAATGAAACGAGGAATCTCATTTTGTAACCATTCTTGGGTGGCGCGTGCTGAGTGTGATGGTGCTGAGTCCTGTTGGAATGTCCAAGGTCTGCGGACAAATGTTTGGCTTTAATACACCCTCCAGAATATTTTGGCGATAATATTCGGCATTTATTCTAATGCAACGGTCGATTAATACGAGCGGAGAGGGACCATCGGCTGTTATGGTGCCCACAGCGTCACCATGGCCGGCGCTTGAATTCTGGTGGCCAACCGACCTCAGCTGACTCCTTGGCAAGTAAACACGATCATTTTGTTTGTTTACAAACTGCCGGACAACGAAGCCGACTTTAGGTCAAGCGAAGCAACTCTTTAACTCTTTTGAGTCTATTTTCTTTCTGCTGCGGTGTAAGTTCTTGCATTTATTGGAATTTCAATGGCTTTATCCCGATCTCATTTTTCAATATTTTCTACCAGTATCACGGTAGAGATCGATGGTACGAGACACAAAAGATTTATTCGCATTTAAATGCTGGAGCGCTCTAACGATAGCCACTTATGGTTTTCCAGCCAAATGCGTTTGTACGCTTGTAAACAATATAATGAGCTGTCACTGAACTAATTATAACAGCTGTCGGACGAGTGGCTTAGAAATGACAGCAGTCTGAAGCTGGTTGCGGTTTTTTCATCTCACTCTGTACCGATATTTTTATCTGTATTAGATGAAGTATGAAAATGGAATACTTCGATCCGCAATATCTGTCAGGTTGTAATATTTATATGAGTTTTAGGATTTATAATACAATAATAATAATAATAATAATAATAATAATAATAATAATAATAATAATAATAATAATAATAATAATAATAATAATAATAACAATAATAATAATAATAATAATAATAAGGACAATAATAATAATAATAATAATAATAATAATAATAATAATAATAATAATAATAATAATAATAATAATAATATATAATAATAACATTATTGTTATTATAATAATAATAATAATAATAATAATAATAATAATAATAATAATAATAATAATAATAATAATAATAATAATAATAATAATAATAATAATAAAAATAAGGACAATAATAATAATAATAATAATAATAATAATAATAATAATAATAATAATAATAATAATAATAATAATAATAATAATAATAATAATAATAATAATAATAATGATAATAATAATAATAAAAATAAGGACAATAATAATAATAATAATAATAATAATAATAATAATAATAATAATAATAATAATAATAATAATAATAATAATAATAATAATAATAATAATAATAATAATAATAATAATAACATTATTGTTATTATTATTATAATAATAATAATAATAATAATAATAATAATAATAATAATAATAATAATAATAATAATAATAATAATAATAATAATAATGATAATAATAATAATATAACAATAATAATAATAATAACTAATATACATTTCTTAAAATTGTTAGTTTTTTTATAAATGCCATTAAGTTCCTTTTCTGCTGATGATGTTGTCAAGTTGGGCGCCAAATGCCATTGCAATGAACTAAATTTGAAATTCTCTCAAATTAAAGGGAAATATCATAGATTTGCGTCCACATTTTTGTCATTTCCAGGCTTTTGCATTGAAAACAAACAATTCTTGACTCACTGGCCTTGTAGAGTTAAAAAATAAAAATATTAAAAAATAAATAAATATTTTAATAATTGTACGAATATATTAAATATAATAAATACATATTTTGATATTTTCCACAACACATGTTCGTATGCATGTCTGTATGTGTATATTCTCACACATATGTTTGTCATTTTGTGTGGATTTTTTTTGTTAATATCCCCACACAAGAGTATATATTTTTATGGAAATGTCGTTTTTCCAAAGACGTGTGTGAGCGTGTGACAAAAACTTATTCGGCCACACGTTGAGGAGTCATTTGGATGGACCGGCAGGCTGGCAGGCTGGCAAACAGGCTGCCATCGTGTCCACCAAACCAGCCAGCCAGCATTGTGACATATTCACGAAGAGGCAAACGAAGAAAATAAAAACATAATAAAGCTAAAAATAAAAAATTGACAAATATGCCACCTACGCAAGCGAAAACATTTTCAGTTTTCTATTTTTTTTTCTTTTTGGTTTTTTTTTTTTTTGCATTCGCCATGAAAATCTTTGCTCTGGAAAATATCATTATTTGTCTTCGTTTCTTATGTTCTCAATAATGGATAATGAAAATTTTGGGTTGGGGTTAAAAACAATTTTTTTAAGTATTTCGAAAAAAAAATGGTTTTTATTCATAAAAATTATACTTTACGAGTTTATGACCTTGTACAAGAAAAACACTGGAGACCATAAAATTTTGAATTGAATTGTTTTCATTTTGCCACACACAGAACACAAAATGGAAACGAAAACACAAATCTGTCTCATGTCATATTTGTCTTCTGAATCACCAAGTGACATACATACATTTGATAATAAAAATATTGGTGGTTAAAACCAAAAAAAAAAAAAAAAACAAGTATAGAATCAACATGGGTGGTCCACCAGAATATCCCAAGGAGGGTGTGGAAAACTTGACAAGTTTTAATCCGAAGACAACAAACTCAAGAGTTTACTTTAAATTACGATATGGCGAACTTCTATGGGAAACTATTAACTGAAATTGGGTCTTCAGTTTTTTTTTTTTTTTTATATTTGTGTCTGTTATGGCTGTCCATGTGGGCTTTTCTAAATTGGGCACCACGATTGGGATTTTCTAAAAGGTTTGGTTCAGTAAAAATTTTTTTTTGCAGCAATGTCTGAGTATAATTTTTCCCGTTAGATACTATTAGTCACCTAGCACCCAATTATACATTTAAGCTCACCTAAGATTACCAAGGATATAGCAATGGTATTTAGACTACAAGAGCAAAAAAAAAACTTTAGAAACTTCCAAGTAAAACAAGTAAAAAAGCATCAAAAGCATCGAATTTGGTAATTGTCAAAAACAATAAAATCTGAATGTAGCTGTTTTATTAGGGTCAATATGACGACATGGACTTACATATGTAAATTTGAAAAAAAAAGAAACCGGTGAATAATGTAGCTAAAATCATAAAAATACCGAATATCGGGAGGTGCCGTTGTATGGGGGCTATTCGAAAACGTGGACCTGCACAATTTTCTGTCATAGGCTGTAGTATTCATTGCGAATACCAAATTTGAAACAATTCCGGTGAATTTTACATTTTAGTAAAATTTTATCTATCTACTTCAATTTGTTCGGAAGCTATAGTGATTTCCACAGACGGACGGACATCGCTAAATCGACATAGAATTTTCTGCTGATCAAGAATATATAAAATGTATATTTCGAGGTGTTACAAACGGAATGACAAACTTAATATACCCTCCATACTATGGTGGAGAGTATAAAAATCAGCAGAGGGATAAAGCTCAAATAAAAACCTGCATAAGTATTTTTTTTTTTGTAGTAGGTTGTAGTACCGATTCCGAACTTCAAACACGAAATTCGAATCAATGCCGGAGAATAATGTAACTAAAATCCTCATTCTACCGAATATAGAGAGATACCGATATTTAGGGGCTATTCAAAGTTCGGCCCGGCCCTTTCTGCTTTTTACATGTTCATTTGTGTCTTTGTTGTATTTTTTTTTTCAAATTTAAATTTTTCTTAATTCTAAAATTGAATAATGTTACTAGTTCAAAGTTTAATCAAATTGACGTGTCGAAAATATAAATGGAAGCTCCAAAGAATGTAATCAAATAATTTGAGCGCCAGAAAATTTTTTTCTATTCGATCGCCAAAAGTCAAAACCTATTCTTTTAAAGAATGTAATTTTATCCCAACGTTAATTACTATACAGTTTAAAGATATACCACCAAGAAAACCAGAACTGACTCTTCCTAAAGTTTTCTTTCATCGAATGGGTTTACTCTTGGGCGCCAAAAATCATTCCCATATGGGCTGAGCTTTGTATTTGTTTTTTTAAACAGCAAAATCGAATAAGACGTATATTTGAATGGTTGGCAACACTGAAATGTAAATGTTAGTACCAATATTTCCAATCGTTATTTTTCCGTTGGGCTCCAAAAGTCAAAAATTATTTCTTCATAAAAATTTATGTTTTTCTAACGTTACTTTCTCTGAAATTGCGAAGGATGTCACCAGCGACACATTTAAATTTTATTTTCATATGGGCGACACAAAACTTTTTCCATTCTAAAAATTAAATGACAATAATTATATTGAAAGTCAAACATCAAAAACTATTCCTCTGAAAAATAATGTCACAATTTTCTTTGAAATTATTAAAATTATCTCTATCGAAACAATAACTGATCGATTTTATGCTTCATTTTAGCATTTTTAGGTTTTCCATTCAGGCGCCATATATATTATATCATTCCAGATATTTTCATCAACTTAGTTTTCTCTCCTATTGGGCGCCACAGTTGTATAAGAATTGCAGTCCAAAATTCCATAGAGCTGATTATTCTAAAAATTAATTAATAGCTTTAGCCCCCAAACGCACTTTTCTAATAGGGTGGCAAATGTCAAAAATTTGTTTATCTTTCTCTTCAATACTTTTCTTTTTCCATTTGGGCGTTTTTTTTTTTTTTTTCATTTGAGCTCTTTCTTTCAAAAGTTCAATAAAACTGAGTTCTCTAAAAATTAAAAAAACTAGTCGGACGCCAATATTTAAAAACCAGTAAAGAAAGTCTAAAAGTCGGGCTGGACTGGACTTTATGATATCCTACACTCTTTTGCATATTTAGTAGAACTTCATATAAGAAATAAAAATATAACAAATTGGATGAATATGGGAGCTATAGCTATTTCTGAACCGATTTTCATTTTGTTCGACATACTTGTTTCTGTGCTCAATTCGGTCGTAAGTGTCAAATTCCATCCCATTTGGGCTAATATTACACGTTTGGTGCACAATAAAATACAAACCGGACGATGATATATATGGGAGCTATATCCAAATCTGGAACCGATTTAAATCAAATTTGACTTACTTATTCCCAGGCTTACATGCAAAATTCCATACTATTTGGGCTGGTTTTAAATGTTTGTTGCACAATAAAAGGCAAATCGGACGAAGATATATATAGGAACCACATCCAAATTTTCACCAATTTCCTTCAATTTCAATAGGGTTTGTCCTTGGATCAAGCAAATGACTTGTGCAAAATTCCATCTGGATCGGGCAATAAATGCGACCTGTCTTTGTTTACAAAAATACATAGATAGGCAGACGGACGGACATGCATAAATCAACTCAGAATATGATTCTATGCAGATTATCAAAAGGTACTATGGGTCTATCTCGTTTCCTTTTGCCTGTTACAAATAAATGCTCAAATACATAATACCCTGACCAACTTGTAGTGTAGGGTATAAATATAGTTTCTCTGAAACTTAATTTTCTGGAATTGTGACAGATGTTAGTAGCGACCCGAGTGTATATCATTTTTATACCCTCAGCCATATAACTACAGAGGGTATATATCATTTTAAACGGCCAAAACGTGCCTCGTCGAAACCAAATCTGTTTTATGATATTTTGAGTCGATCTAAAGGATACCGCAATATTATTTTCAAATTTAAATTAAAGGTCAACACTAAAGGTCAACATTGTCATAGAAAATAATTTACCTTGCGGAACAAGAAAGGATTATCCAATTTTGTGCAAGCTTTGCAATTTGTGGAGACTAAGGAACATGTTCGCCTTGAGTAGAGAGAACAATTGTTTTCCCATTTGGGCGCCAGAAAACATTTTTCATTCGGACTCTGCTCCCTCTTTTAGAGTATATAGTGATCTAGAAAAGTAATTTATATAGGCCTTCTATTGATGGAGGTCTTTCATATTTGTTGTATTATTAAAATTGTGTTCAAAATGTAAACAATTTTCAAATTTATTTTAAATTAAAATAATTTTCAATTCTTCTTCCAGATTGCCATTTTAACATACAAATACTTTTTAATGTCACGTCAATTGAAGGCCGTGGAACAACAATCGGGTGAGTACCTTCAAGAATGACAAACCTCATGTATATAATATTTTTTATTTTATGTTCTCCATAACTTTCTAATACATTTCGGAATGTAGAAAATTAAGAATAGACATCTCATTTCTGTCACCCACAGAAATTTTGTACTTAGCTGGTTTGACAATGGCACGGACCGAGTTAAGGGTATTTTGAGGACTGTCATCACATTTTCATGTGAAATTGGCTGTCACATGGTATTTTAAATTCTCAATTTAAATTATAGTTTTAGGCAGCAGAAATTCAATGGTGGTGTTAGTGGCAGTCTTTGAGACATCAATTGGGCGCCACAATAATTTTACACGTTATTATTGGATATATGTTGTTTTGACATTTTCCAATTTTATTTTTTTTTGGTTCCCACAATTTTCAGCTGCCTAAGGCCAACCAAATATTCCATATCACTACGTGTATATATAACGGAGATTGCTAATTTCAAATGTCTCCCTCTTCGAGCAATCAATCCCGGTTCATAGACCTGTGATAACATTGGGATATCTTTATCCAAAAAAGTGATTTTAATTCGAGATAATAAAGTCAAAATTGCATTGCATCTCTTATCGGTCGATGTTTTAGATTTTATTTTACCATTCTCGTTGTTGTTGTTGTTTGATGACAAAAGGTCGTAGAAGTTTATTTGGTTACAGATTTAAGATTTGGCGCACAATAAAAAAAAAAAACAAAAAAACGCATCACATCCGCCACATGTTTGGACCGACAATGGGGCCAGTTACCCTTCGGGCGTTATAAATTGTATTTCTTGGCACATTGTGACAGAATATAAATAATGAATTAAAAATTGAAGAACACAAATGAAAATTTTTATAACACATTAAAAATTCATGAAATATTGAAGAAGATACAATAAATTGTTGTAAACATTTCGATAAAAAAAAAAGAGTGAAAAACAAGGAATTGGATAATTCGCAAATTTCTTTGTCGGGACAAAATATAAAAGAAAATTCCATAAAATTAAAAAATCTAAAAAAAGATATTTAAAAAATCACGTCTCCTAATATTATAAAATAATTCCGCTTTTTTGTCTTAAAAAAAAGATATTTAAAACAATTTAAAAATTATCGGTCGGTTGTGCCGACAAATCTATACCCTGAACGAATGTCAGTTTATTTAAATCAATGTTGGCTTGCCTAATGATTATTCAAACTGTTGGTTCTTTATGGCGGAGGTTCCGAAGGAGTGAGCCATTTCTTTTCTTACCTAAGTCTGATATAAATAGTACAACGTACCAGGTTTGGACTATAAGGGCTACTTTCTTAACTTCATATTTGATATGTGATAATTTTTGGAAAATGTGAGTGAGGTGCCAGATGTAGTGGACCAAAATATTCTATTTTTAAACATCTCTAATAAAATATTGGAATATGCGACTGAGAGAAATACTAAAATAAAAACAAATTTTGGAAGGAAACGTTAACTTGTTTCGCAAGTTATGAGAGTATGGAAAATTGTTACCCTTCGTGAGGCAGGTACAAAAAGAAGTTGGCCCATATCTATAATCTCTACACTAGATCTTGATATCTAGAAATATTGAGATGTGTGGAGTTTAGAAAGAATCAAATGCTTATTTCGGCTTTTATGAACCTTTTTTGTTATTCAGAATTATGACGCCTTTGGTGGGGAAGGCCCAGAAGGAGTAAACCGATATCTATCATCTTTACACCAGGACATGTGTCAATAGAAATATTGCAATGTGCCGAGTTTGAAAAGAATCGAATACTTATTTCGCGTTTTATGAGCTTTATGATTATTCAAAATTTTGACCCCTTTGTGGGGGAGGTACCAGAAGGAGTGGTCCGTTCTATGCGTTCTTCGTTATTCAGATCTTGTCTTGGAAGAAATATTGAGATGTGAGAAATTTGAAGAGAACCGGACTCTTATTTCGCTTTTTATGAGAGTTAAATTTATTCAAAACCAGAAGAAGGGACCAGAAAGGACCAGAAGGAGTGCGCCGATATTTACCCTCTTTACGCCAAGTCTTGTAATAGAAAAAAAATATAGTCATGTGTGAAATTTAGAAGTAATCTGACTCCTGTTGCATATTTATAAGAGTTATAATTATTCACAATTTTTGAGCCCTTTGTGGGGGAGGTACCAGTAGAAGTGGACCGAAATATCCCATTTTCATGTCAAATCTTGTGTTGGTAGAAAGTTTGTGATGTGCCGAGTTTGAAAAGATTCGAATACTTATTTTGCGTTTTATGAGCTTTATGGTTATTCAAAATGTTGACCCCTTTGTGGGGGAGGTACCAGACGGAGTGGTCCGTTTTATCCGTTTTTCATATCAGATCTTGTGTTGGTAGAAATATTGCGATGTGAGAAATTTGAGAGAATCAGAGTCCGATTTCGCATTTTATAAGAATTATATATTCAAAAATTTGAAACCTTTGTGGGGGAGGTACCAGAAGGAGTGGTCGGATGTCTATCATCTTTACACTAGGTCTTGTATTGGAGAATATATTGTAATGTACAGAGTTTAAAAATAATCGAATGCTTGTTCCACATTTTATGACATTCAGGGTTATTCAAAATGTTGACCCCTTTGTGGGGCAGATACCACAAGGTGTGATCCGTTCTATTCGTTCTTCAGACCAGTGATTGTGTTGATAAATATATTGGGTTGTGTAAAATCTGAAAAGAATTGGAGTCTTATTTTGCCATTTATGAGGCATTTTGTTTATTCAAAATTTTGACCCCTTTATAGAGGAGGTACCAGAAGGAATGGACCGATATCACTTATTCTCACACCAAATCTTGGGTTAGTAAAAATATTGAGATATGTCTAGTTGGAAAGTAATTGCATCCAATTTTTGAATTTTTGACCTTCATGTTATTGGAAATGCTGACCCGTTTGTGGGGGAGATACCAGAAGAAGTGGTCCGTTTTATCCGTTTTTCATAACAAATCTACACAATATTGCGATTTGAGAAATTTGACAGAATCGGACCTTAGTTCGCATTTTATAAAAATTATAATTATTATAATTATTTATCCTTTGTGGGGGTTGGGGGGTGGGGGTGGTTGTTAAGAGAAGGAGTGGGTCGGTATTATCTATTTTCGTACCTGATCTAGCACCGATAAAAATATTAGGATTTGTTAAGTTTGTACAAAATTGGATGAACCTTTCTTGTTCTGCGAGGTAAATAATTTTTTGTGAAAATATTGACCTTTTTTGGGGGAGGTACAAGGAGGAATGGACACCGATATTGCCCATACCCGAACTTGTTCTAAGTTCGATAATAATATAACAATGTATCAAGTTTAATACAAATCGGCTACTTCCTTCGATAGTTATCATGCACCCCAGCAGGCTACGCAGACGGATGGACGAACACCCCTAGATCGACTCCAAATGGACTGAAATTTTAGGATTTTAGGGTGTAAGGTCGTTATTCTGGTGAGGCCAAATTTGGCCGTATCAAATGATAAATATCCATATGTCTGAGGGTATAAACATTTTCCGATTAAAAATCTTACTACTCTTAACAAAATATTTAGAAAACATCCAAGTCTTTCAAAGGATGGCCCCTTAAAAAAGGATTCTTAAAATTCCCAACTTTTGCTCTGATAATATTTGACAAAAAAATTAGGCTTAATTTCATCAAAAGACTCTCTTCGGTTCAAGTGGACTCGTTTCTTTATGCAAGCGATTTTTTTATTTTTCGAAAATAAAAAAACATTTTTCTAAACTCAAAATCGAATCGTCATCAGTAATTAGGTAGATAAAATCGAATATCTCACCCCCGCCCCTCCTTTCACTACACCCACACTCTTGCCAAACTTATTCTTGGATATATCAGGGCTATCTTATCAGTGGTAATTTTCTAAAAAATCGATTTCAGTATTGATGTCTAAGTGTACTTTACCTACCGAAAAGATAGATAAAATAATTTCGATTTACAACAAAAACAACAATGGATCCAAAGACCAGTAGCCACAGGCAGGTGATAAAAATAATGCTCGGTCTTAGATGGGTAAACTTCTTGTTTTGCTATTTTCCTTTTTTTTATCTATGGGCGAAAAGAAAAAAACCCGATTGTAATTAGCTTAAAGAGTGTTCAAGCGTTTTGATTTTTGTTTTCGAAGGGAATTGCGAATTTTTCTACACTTCCTATGGTCAGTTGCAAAAATAAACGGGTCATGAACACTACGACAACGCGACGATCCTAGTAAAAGTTAAATCAAGTTTTGAAAAAACCAAAAACAAAAAAAGTTATGTCGACAATACAATCGGTCATTCAGAATGTCTCCTCAACAACAACAGTGTCGGCCATGAATGTGAGCTCAACCACCACCATTGCCACTCCTCTTGGCATCAATGCGACCACGGTAAACTCGACCTTGCCCAGCTCCAACCTGACATTGTCGCCAACAATGCAGCCGTATTGGAATATCTCCGATTCAACCGGTTCCTATTGGAATATAACGGGTTATGGCAATTACTCTTCGAACTGGACCTCCTATCCGGGAGAATGGCAGCCCTATTATCCTCCTTGTACCTCTTGCTATCCCAGTGTTGTGGTAACACCCTCATATAGCTATTCATACTTCTCGTATGCCTACGTCTATGTGCTGTTCCTTCTATTGCTCCTGGCTGTGAGCTTGATTTTGATTAAGGTCAGTTGTTGTTGTTGTTGCAATTAGGGGTTTCCAAACAAACTTCCAAACTAAGATTCGTTTCGAGGCCAGAGACACAATTTCCTTTAGGAAAATATATATTGGAGGTTATGTGCCTCTGATCTCAGCCTGGTTTTTTGGGAAATTTCTGTGCGCTTTCTTCGGAAACTGAATCTTTATTTGGAATGCTTTTCAAATATCTCACGAGTTTTTGAGTAAACGAAAAAAAACTCAACTCTCTTTACTCTCTTTATTTTAAAGTTGGCCGTGAATAGACGCCGTGAGGCCCAGAGACAACTTGCTCTTCAACAAGCCAGAGGTAATTGTTTGAAAATTGTATTTATTTCGTATTTCAACTATCTATAACCTAAAAAAAACATTCAAAACAAAAAACACACATTTCCACAATGGTCATAAAAATTTGAAAATTATTTAAAAACAAAAACCTCCAAAGAAAAAAAACCATTAAAAATTTGTTTCAAAAATTCAAGTATTTAACTTAAGAAGAAAGAATACAATTTTTTTTTTTGAGCATTTACTCGAGTGGAAAATATTTTTGATTTTTAGTTACTTTATTCGACCTTTATTTTAAATTTGTTTTCAATGTAAGATTACTAAAATAGAGCTCGAAGTTTTTGTTGTTTTTAATATTATTTATTTATTATTTTCGATATTTTCAAACTCGAGCTCAATTTTAGTAAACTTACATTTGAAATAATTTAAAATAAAGGTCGAATAAAATAACTAAAAATCAAAAATGGAAAAATATATTTTTTATTAAAAATCGACGCCGTTGAGTTTCTTGAAAACATAATTTTTATAAACGTCACGTTTTTAAAAAGTTAAACCCTCCATCTTGAAAAGCAGGGTATATTTACTTCGACATTCCAATTGTAACATCCCTAAATATTCGTCGTAGACCCCATAAAGTGTATACAGGGTGAGATAAAAAAAACTGCAACAAAGTCAAACGCCATAATTTTTAATTTTTTTTTAAATTTTATTAAATGAAAGGAAAAAAATGTCGGAAATAGCATTAAATTTTAGAATAAGTTTAGATTTGTTCAAATTGGTCACCTTTGGCACAAATTATGGCCTTCAAACGGCCAATGAAACCGTCACACGCTGCCCGAATGTTGCTCTGCGGTATTTTGGCCCATTCCCGGCGAAGCGCTTGCTTCAGGTGATCGAAATTTTTGTATTTTTTAGTGCCAACCTTGCTTTCCAAAATACTCGAGACAAAATAGTCCAACAGATAGGTGTCCGTAGATTTTGGTTGCCATTGAGCGCTGGAAATGTAGCGAGGAACCGCATTTTGTAACCATAATTGGGTGGCGCTTGCAGAATGCGATGGTGCTGAGACCTGTTGGAATGTCCAAGGTCTGCGGTCAAAATGCTTGCGTGCCCAAGGCTTTAATACACCCTTCAGACTATTTTCCCGATAATATTCGGCATTTATTCTAATGTCACGGTCGATTAATACGAGCGGAGAGCGACCATCGACTGTTATGGTGGACCACACCATGAACATGGCCGGCGCTTTCAGCTGACCTCATTGTTTACAAACTGCTGGACAACGAATGTTTTCTCATCGGAGAAAAGCAAATTCGGCAGGTCACCACTTTTGGCCAAGCGAAGCAACTCTTTAGCTCTTTTGAGTCTATTTTCTTTTTGTTGCGGTGTAAGTTCTTGCACTTTTTGTTATTTCAATGGTTTTACCCCGAGCTCATTTTTCCAATAATTGCCAAATGCGATATTGCGATATGTTCAGCTCACGAACCATGTTTCGGCCACTGCGACGCGGGTTTCGATCAAGTCGCTTCTTTACTTTTCGAACCATTTCTGCTGATGTTGCACGTTCTTGACGTCACGGTAACGAGCGATGGTACGAGACATAAAAGTTTTATTCATATTTAAATGCTGGAGTGCTCTAACGATAGCAACTTGGGGTTTTCCAGGCAAATTTGAAGAAATCACACTATCACGCTTGAATTTCATCACGAATAACTTTTTTTCTTGAAAATCTCACCAAAATGTTTGTAAACAATATAATGAATAATTTTAACAGCTGTCGAACTGACAGCAGTCTGAAGTTGGCTGTAGTTTTTCATATCACCCTGTATAAGAGTTATAATTATTGGTCCTTTGTGTGGTCAACGAGTGGGCCAATGTTGCCCATCTCCAAAGTCGATCTAAGTTAGACAATAATATTACGATACGTCATGTTTGGATCACATCAAATACTCCCTTCGAGAGTTATCGTGCGCACCAGCCAGACAGACGGACGGACGTACATCGCTAGATCGACTCCAAATGTCCTGAAACGGATTTGGTTCAAAGACACTTACTTCCTAAAGCCGTTATTTCGATGAGGCACATTTTGGCCGTATCAAATTATATGGCTGAGGTAAAAAAATAATAAAGATTCGATTTGTAAACACTAAGTAAAAATTGATTTTAATTCAGAAAATGCCTCAGAAACATTTAAAACATTCGTGATTTTATTCTGAAAGTGCTTCATATGAGGTTTTAAAAAAATCCTCGATCTCAATTCTACTGCCAAAAAAGATATTTTTTTAAATCTCTAAAAAAATCGCGATTTTAGTACCGGTGGATACACACTATTACAAAATCGAATACTCAATTTAAAAAATGTTAAAAAAAAAAATAAAAATTGATAGATTTTCAAATGTTCCTTAGGAAACTTAAACTGAGCTTCTTATAGACATCGAAAAAATATTTTTGAAATATCCAAGCTTGTTAATGTGGTAGTCAGTCAAGAAAAAATTATAAAAATACCACGTTAGTGGACAGATGGTTTTTGGATAAAACGCCCCTACAAATCCACGTACTGTGGTCTTATGATGCTTGAATAAAGCTTCATAGTCCTTGAAGTAATATTCAAAAAAATCAAAGTGGTGTGGTTCCAATAAAACTTCTTAAAAATCTACTTTTTGAGTTCGTTGAATACGAAATCTTAAAACAAATTAATGTTATTTTTGGACGTCCTTAAATAAAAATTCCTTAATGGTTTCTGGATAAAAGCTCCTAAAATCCACGTACTGTGGTCTTATGATGCTTGAATAAAACCTAGTAAAAATCTCGTTTTGGGGTCTAATGACCCTCGAATAAAAATTCTTAAATTCGGGGTAAATGGCCCCTCAAGCACTGGGAAAGTGTTATAAAATATTCCTGAAAAAAAAATAAAAATTTAAAAATCCACGTTTGTTGTCTGAATAAAATTCTTAAAGAATCCTCTTTTTTCAACATGAAATTCCTTGGGTGAGAGTTCTGAAAATTCCTAAAAAATCAATAATTGTTGTCTGAATGAAATTTTTACAAAAATCCTCGTCTTTAACCATGAAAGTCCTTGGGTAAAATATTATTCTTAAATAAAATAAATTTTCCTATTGTAATTTGATAGTACTTAAAATTAGACAAGAGTGCAAATTTTGCAGAATAATAATCCAAACTAATAGACTGATAGTCGCTGAATAAAAATTCTTAAAAAGATCCAACCCATTGCCTTAAAAAGCCATGAAAGAATTCATAAATGTCCAAGTTTGCTTGTCCTGTATAAATTTCTTAATAAAATATCGTTTTTTACCCTGACAATCCTTGTATAAAAATCTCAAAAAATTATCGATTAAGGCCCTGATAGTTTTGGTACAAATGTTTTTAAAAAGAATCTTCGTTGTATTGTGTTAAAAAAACACTGTCATAAAATCTACGTTTATAGGCCTGTGGTCCCTGAGAAGGTATATTTTTAAAAGTCAATGTTTTTTACAACTAAGTCCCTAAAAATAATTTCTAAAAAATTAAATACATTTTTTTAGCACTGACAGTCCCTGAAAATATGTTTTTTTTTTAAAAAAAAACATTTCCAACCACCTCTACTTTAAATCCTGTCGTTGTTCTCCACCTGTTTGTTCGTATATTACAAAGCTTTAATTACAATTTATTTTACAAAAATAAATTACACTTAAGTGAATATCAAAATATCGTATTTAAAAAAATTACATATTTAAAAAAAAAAACAATAGCTACTTAAAATTAAAAATAGTATTTCACATTTGTTCATCCTGGCATTCAGTGTCAAAGTAACTCCTTGATGGCAGCCATTAGTCCAAAATTAAGTAGACCCAAATATAAATAATATACATTTAATTTAAATATTTCCCATCGTTCCCGCAATACGAGTCCCAGGCGTTTTGTCTTAGTTTTGGCCAGCGTCTTCTCTTCACCGAACGAGGAACGTAGACAGCACTTGGACATTACCCAGAATGAGGTCATGCGATTTTGTGTGTGCAGTGTCGACTCGATGCCGCGTATCAAATCATTGGTTTTCAAAATCAACAACATTTGTCGATCAACCTGTTCCAGAACATCCGAGATGTGAGGTAGTACAAGTGAGGTGTTTTGTTGTAGGGTATCTTTCTGTAATGAGAGAGGGGGAAAACAATTAGCTAACGAATTAAGTTAGGTAATATATAACCCACCTCTTCCTTGGAATATTTAACTTTGTTGACTCCCTTGGCCAGGGTCTCCCACGGCCGTCCCGTCACCATGCAGGCAAACAGTCCATACAGATCACCTTTTATGCCCAAATTCTGTGAATACTTTCTCATGCCCACACGATCCACACTCAAGATGCTCAGCCACAATTTGGAATAATCATAGCGGAACTTGTCGGTGAGATTGGCATACAGGCCATGATCGAGTAGAATTATTTCCACATCTTTGCCGGGTTGTTTGCGTACCAAAATATTACCCGGGTGAGGATCACTGTGCACAAAACCGGTATTGAATATCATTTCCGAATAGAGTTGACCAATTTTATTGGCAATGGAAAATGGATTGATATTGTTGCGTTTTATGTATTCCAAATCATTGACCTGGCCACCTTCAATGTATTCCATGACCAAAACCCTGGGGGAACAAAAATCCCAATGGATATGGGGTATCCGTAGCCATTTGTATTTTTGAAATTGCTGCTGTACCTTTTCGGCATTTTTACCCTCATTGAGGAAATCCAATTCGATGGGTAAGTTCTTCTTCGACTCATCCACCAGCCATTGGATTTTGAAGTCGGGGAATATAAGAGCCAAGACTTTTACAGCCAACTCCATGGTGGCCATATCTACCCGGGAATTGCCCTTAACATAGGGATGTTGTACTTTAACGGCCACCACTTCACCCGTCTTCAGTTTGGCCTTGTGCACCTGTGCCAATGAGGCTGTGCCCAATGGCTCCCTTTCAAAATCATCGAATATATCTTCGGCATTCCGTTTCAAATCCTGTTTAATGACCTTGTACAAATCTTCAATGGGATTTTGTGGAGCATTTGAGTGTAACACCTTCATGGTCTGTACAAACTCCTTGGGCAGCAAATAGTCCAGGGCTCCAATGTGTTGGCCCACCTTAATGTACACGCCCTTGTTGACACATATCAGCTGTAGCAATCTCTGCGCCGCCATGGTGTGGACACGGCTTTTCTCGGCCTTGTATTCCGGTGAGTTTTTATCCCATTCCCGATAGTACAGCTCACGTTTGTATGTCATGGCCACATCGATAACGGCCACCGCTGAACGACTCAGCCGAACAATGCCCAGGGAATTGATGTCGTAATCGTTGGTATGCAGACTCAAACCCGTGCCAACGGCACTGGCTCCCAGCACACTGTAGGTTAAGACGCGTCGTATCATCTCCCCGCTGCGGTTGTGTTTCTTCTCGTTGGGAGATGTGACACCTTCAAAGGTTGAAGAGACACTAAAATAGTAAACAAAACAAGATGAAATTAATAAAATTTGTTGTCATCTGTGGAAGAAGATGTTAATACAAAACGGCGTAGAGAGGGGGGTTGAGGTTGAGTGCGGTGCTGCATATATTAAATGCGTCTGTGACCCGGTCTTGTTTTAATGTTTGGTTGGTAAATGGTTTTTGACAATAGATTGGAAGAGTGATGTTTGTGTGCATGAATTGGAGAGCGAAATAACGGTCTAATGGTGGAGAGATGAATTTTGGTTATTGTTTGTGTTAATCGTTTACATTACTTAAACCATGTTAAACTGGTTTTAGACATAACCTCTAAAAAAAATGTCTCAAAATACATCGTTTGTTTTAGATCTTGATGTAATAAGTTATTAGATTTTCCAACATAAAAACGAAAAAACAACAAATTGAACCAAATTCTGAATAAGCTATTAATCTTATTCTATGACTAACAAATACAGGGTACAGAACCTGCAAGAATTGACTAGTTTTGCTATTTTTTTTAATATTATAAAGGAAAAATTGGTCATCGCAGTAAATTCTTGCATTCCCACGAGTGCTGGAACAGAACAATCCTTACTGGTTCTAAACAGAGCAATAGTAAATGAGAGCGAGTACAGAGGGATTTTGACAGTTAAAGCACCGAGAGTTAAGTAAAGTTTGATCAGCTGATCTATAGTCAGCTGTTTCGATGGTGATGTGAAAATTTTATATGCTTAGGCCTATGGCTACGGTTTTTTTTATCTAGGGTTTATATCATTTGATACGGTCAAAACGTGTCCCATCGTTTTAGAGCCCAGGTCTCTATAGACGAGACTCGTTTCAGGGCATTTGAAGTCGACTTCACGGGATACGTCCGTCTGACCGCTCACCTTTCTGGCTATATTATTATCAATCTTTTATTCAGTTCGGGTTCGGATGGGCAATATCGGTCCACACTTTTTAATATCTCACAGATAAAAACTCGAGATTTTCAAAGAAAATAATTTGCCTCATAGAAAGAAAATGATCATTCGATTTTGTTTAAACTTTGCAAAACTTATGGCTCGATTATGCATTGCCACCAAACTTGGGTTGCGTTATCAATTGTCAGCGCGACTGAACTAAAATGTTGTATTATAGAAGGCAACCCAATTGAGTTGTCGATAAACGTGTTATCGATCAGTGTATTTTCCATCTTGCGAAATCTAAACTTCAAAAATGTTAATAAATTCGAAATAACAAAACACAATTTAAACAATAAAAGAGTTTTAAAATAATAAGTTCAGTGGAATTATTTTTTGATGAAGAAGAAAATGTTCTATTCGACGAAGCTTGAGAGATAATTAAAATCCGTTGGAATTGCCATCGGTGCTGTAAGTATATGTCACGTCGGAATGGTCTGAATAATCATGTAACTATTTCAGGTTTAAGGCGTATTTTCGGCTTCCAAAAGATGCCGTAGTATACATAGTGGAGACTCTTAAATATGACTTCAAAATATGCTATAGATGAACAGCAATTCCTCCACTTCTAAAAGTTTGTGGTTTGCTCCAACGGCGATAGACGCACTTTTTCTATAAGTATTTCGAACTGATGTTTTGTTGTTACTTTCACCATATTTAATCTAAAATGATATGCAAAATGATTTAGTGAAGCTAAAAAATCTCAAAATCTCTCCTCTCAATTTTACTGTTTCTTCTTTGAAAACGTTCACTGCAACTGCAAATAGATGGTTGCTCAAATATGGGCGCTGTAGCAACTGAAATTCGCAACTTCAGTTGAAAGTTGCCATACATAATGCAATTTTCGCAACTGGCAACGCCACTCAACGATAGTTGTTATCCATAATCGGGCCATTAATATTGTTATCAGTGCCAAGTCGAGTGTAAGAATGGATAATATCGGTCCACTCTTTGTTCTACCTCCCCCAAAAAGGGATCAAAATTTCGAATAACCAAAACGCTTCTAGAATGCCAAATAATCATCTGATTCTTTTCAAACTTCACACGTTGGAATATTTCTATCAACACGAGATCCGGTATAAAGATGCCAAAGGGGGTCAAAATTCTGAATATTAAAAACGACTCTAAAATGCCAAATATGTATTCGATTCTCTTCAAATTTTAAACATCCCCACATTTCTAGCAACACAAAATCTGGTAAAAAGATCGGAGGTAGTGGACCACTCCTTCGAGTACCTCCCCCACAATGGGGTCAAATTTCAGAATAACCAAAACGCTCCTAAAATGCCAAATAAGTATACGATTTTCTTCAAATTTGAAACATCCCAATATTTCTAGCAACACAAGATCTGGTGTAGAGATGGGAAGTAGCGGACCAATCCTTTTGGTACCTCCCCCACAAGGAGGTCAAAAATTTGAATAATCATATTTCTCATAACATTCGAAACAAGTCAGCGATTCCTTTCAAACTTGGTATTTCTCAATATTTTTCTGAGCCAAAGAGCGAATAGCGATTTTATCGGTCCACTTTTTGTGGTACCTCCCCCACAAAGGGGTAAAAATTTTTAATAACCAAATCTCCCATAAAACGAGAAGTAAGCATCAGATTCTTTTGAAATTTCTCACATTGAAATATTTTCTTGAACTCTAGTTCTGGTGTAAAGGTTGGATGTAGCGGACCACACCATCGAGTACCTCCCCCACAAATGGGTCAACATTTTGAATAACCAAGACGCTTAGTAATATGCGAAATGCCAAAGAGCTTCCAATTCTTCCAGTAATATGCGAAATGCGAAAGAGCTTCCAATTCTCTTCAAACTTCACACATTGGAATATACCCATAAACAAGAGATCTGGTATGAAGATGAGATATAGCGAACCACTCCTTCAATTAACTCACCCACATTTTGAATAACCAAAACGTTTCTAAAATGCAAAATAAGCATCCGATTCCTTTCAAAATTTACACATGGGAATATTTCTACCAACAGAAGATCTGGTGTGAAGACTGGAAATAGCGGACCACTCCTTTTGGTACCTCCCCCACAAAGATGTCAAATTTTTAATAATTAAAAAAGTTTATTATTCTCCAAAAAGTTTAATTTTTGCCAGAATTTCCTTTAAAATTTGTACATCTAAATATATTTGTTCATATTTTATTCAGTGTGAAGATGGTATATAATGGTCCACACTTTCTGCTACCTCCCCGTTAAAAGGTTAACATTTTGAAAAATCATAATCATAATGTACACCTATTAAGTGGAATAAATCATTTACACCAAATACTACACATCGCAACTACTGGAACTCAGATTATAATTTTTCTTTAAAATCCTTCCCCTAAACCTCCCCCCTGGCTATAAATTATTCAAATATGTTAATTTAAATGTGACCTGGATCTTTCACATAGACGTCATTTTGTACAAACAATCAACCTCCACCCCAGCATTGTTGCTATAGCTGAGGTCTTCCTTCGCCAGTCTACTCATCAGCCACTGATAAGAAATTCAAAATTTATTTTATTTTTATCTACAGGTATTAATTTTGTCTTTTCTTGTTCTTCCATCGTTGTCATCATCAACATCAACCTCATAATGATAATGAATCATAGTATTGCTATGCCCCCACCTCACTCTACCCTCTCATCTTCAAACACTATTGAACTCAAAACCTATATCTGCTAACATAAATAAAAACATCGAAAGGAGAAAAAAGTTCAAATAGAGATGATAATTATGCGAAAAATTATGCATGCAAAGGCGGCAAACAATGAACTTGAACTTTTGTTTGAAATAGCCAAAATTAGAAGATGGTTTTTTTGTTAGTATCTTTTTTTTTTAAATATGTAAAATATTAATCAGTATTGCTGATTCATGTTGTGCATTTGGCAAATTAATAATATTAATTATTTAAAATATAGCTATTTTTACCCAAAAAAAAAACACAACACAACGACAATGTCAATGCAATCAATAACTTTGACCTGACAATGAACTCGGACTGTGTGCCATATATATTTTTTTAATTATGAACCAATTTTAAACTTACTAATTACCTTTACTGGACAAACTCCTGTTGAACAATGGTAAAAAGGCAACCATGAAAGTTACTTGCAAAATTTGCTTAAATATTTCCCAATTAATGCAAAAATACATATAAGTAGTTGTGATAAGATATCTCTATCTGTCATCCATCAAATATCTAAACCATCGAAGTCATGAGCTTTTAACATTATTTCTTTGATAAATTCAATTTAAAATGTTAACCTGTCGATTTAAAACCGTCGCAACGGTCATTTCTACAATAAAAGATTTTCTTCATTTGAAAATATACTTGGCATGTTGAATGCCTCTCAATGCCAACAAGTTGATTTGTCTCTTTTTCTCACTCTCACTGTGCCAATGAGCCAGCTGAGAAAACAATGTTGCCAATGTCGACAAAGTTGCAAACAAAAGTCGCTTTTAGCAAGGCAAATGTGGTCTTTTCCACAGCGAACGAAAATAAACTATTGAAAACGTTTGCAATCGTTTTGGTCTGTATTTTCTCGAAGAACGAAACAAAACCGAAATTAAGATAACGGACTTGTTTCTTATGTTGGTCTGTTTGTGTAGATGAGTGGAAAAAAATCAGAACTGAAATGTACTCTGCTGGATGGCAAATGTTTTCCGGTGATTCGTTCGCAAACGTTACAGCTCGGCAACTCACAGCCGAAGTACATTAAGGAAATCGTATTGATTGTGTATTTCTGGCATTGAAATGTTTATGGTTTTGTTTGGAGTACAAAACGATCGAAAAAAGAATGCTGTTTAATGTCGAAAAAGAATGCGAATTAAGGTGAGAATACATAAAACGCTTTTCTGACTGGCTTATTCGTGGAGGAACAAGGGAGTCTTAGGTTGGCTTAGTTCGATTTTGGCCCTGCACTCCTTTGTTCTCTTCTAAAAAAAGCCAGCCGAGGACTTAAGTCAGTCTAAAAAGCTCTTTATGTGCTTGCACTTTTAGTTTTCATTGATTGAAAAAAAATTGTGGTGTGCCTAACTCCCTGCGGGCCATTCAACTGACTTTAAATATATTTTAATCTAATTATTTCGCAACCAGAGGTGATTGATAGTTAGATTACTTTTAATGAAGCCAACTTACTATTGGTCTGTTCCAGAACTTGGAAAAATCTACTAGTTTTGATTTATTTATTTATTTATTTTTTTTTTTTTGATATCATAAAGGGCAAATCGGTTATTGTGGAAAAATGTTTTATATTCGAAATGTCGGATTAATATAAAAACATATATAAATTTAGGGTCTGTTCCAAAACTGAACTGACCCAAGACAAACAATCTAATGATATTAGGCAAATCATAGCTTGCCAACTATTCACAAAAAAATATTAAAAAACGGAAACTATTTTAAAGCTAATTGCTTTAATTTTATCTACCTTCTTTTTAATTAATTTAAAGTTGTTGTTGTTGTTTGTTTTAGAACCGGCAAAATCTATTATTTTTTTATTTTTTTCGTGTTCAAAAAAGAAACTTTTACATTCTTGCAGTTCTGGAACAAACCAAGTAATGGAGAGCTGCACAATTGTCTTCTGTCATCGCAATGTGACCAAACTGCTTACAACAACGTATGTATGGACATAATGTACCCCTATGGAGGTTATATTAAGTTTGTCATTTCGTTCTTGATCATAATAAAATTCTATGTCGACATCGCTGTCCGTCTGTGAAAATCGCTCTAGCTTCCGAAAGAAATGAAGTAAGTTGATAAAATTTTACTGAGATGTGTGTTTGTTCAGCAGGACTTTGAAAATTGACTATACAGGTCCACTCTTTGGTATAACCCCCATATAACAGTGCCGACAGATTTAAGTTTTTTTTTTTTTGGCTGCTTTAGCCACAATTTTAATCCACATTTAAGAAACATCCTTACATAAAACGCTCAATGTAGGTCTAAATTTTTATGTAATCCCCATATAACAGTACCTAAAATTTTTCGATATTTTGTTGATTTGTGTCACACTTTTCACTGGACGTGCTTTAAAATTGCAATTTGAAGTTCCCAATGGGTACTACATCCTATGAGAGAAAATTGCACAGATAATTGGTCCCGAATACCGATACCTCACTATATTCCTGAATTGTTTCAAATTTCGTATGCTACAACGTGTAGCCGAAAGGTACATATGCAGTTCCAGGTCGTCGTTTTCGTACAGGCCCAATATATTTTAACTCCTTACATTCGGCGTTTTTATGATATTAGCAGTATTTTTCAACGGATTTTTATTTTTTTGAAGATTTGAAAATTTCTTCCATTTGGTGGAGGGTATTCAAAGTTCGCCCCTGCCGAACTTATTGCGCTTTTACTTGTTGACTAAATAAATCTTTGAAGTTGTTTTGTTCCTTCGTTTTTTATAGTACAAGTGGTCTCTTCACTTGTAACTTTATAGAGATTATGATGATTCAATGTGCAGCAAGCAAAATGGCAGATTGAATATGCCCTCCATTTTATGATGGAGGGTTTCAAACCGTGCATTTTTTCTATTTATCTCTGCACTATCTATTTTCATGGTATTTCCCATATAAATCGTTTTTTTCCCATTCGTAGTCTTATATATATTTTTTTCTCTTTCAATTTGCGATTTTTTAACTACCAACGTTTTTAATCATGTTTAAAGTTGGCATCACAATTTGTAATTTACAACACTTGGCGCTCCAATGTTTCTCTCACTCACTCTCACACAACACTTGCTCCACGCAACACGTTTTAACAGAGGCCTGGCCTTGTTATTGTTTACATTTTTCACGTCGTTGTTGTTGTTTTTATTGTTTTCTTTTTGTAATCGTCGTCAAATCGAATTGGATATTTGCACTAAAAACTTTCACTGGGTTGGCAGACCTATTGACGAACGCGCCTTTACGCATATCAATGAAAGAGTATTTATTACAAACTTTTTTGACATTTTGGTCGTCGACGACAACAAAAAGAAGAATGGGATGGATGGATGAATCAATGAATGTTGAAATGATGAAATTGTTGTTAAATAAGCAACTAATTGCTGGCCAATGTGCGAGAATGCTCCACCACAATTCAAGAGGGTTTGTCGGTTGGTTCATATGTTCAACGTTGAGTGACGTGTTTTCGGTATAAATTATTAACATTACATAAATGCATTTAACAAAATTTTCTCGTGGCTTTTCTCATTACCTTTGAAAAAGTTGTGAGGATTTGTTGGGAAGCTATTTACGAGGAGTTTTTTCTTGGGGTAAAGAAGATGTGCAGGTATTCGGAAACTTTTATTTATTGTTAACACATTTTTTATTATTTATTGCATTTATTTTTTAATATTTCTGTTTTTAACCGCAACGCGACCGCCCGCGCTCTCCAACTTGGCAACGTTGTGTGCCCCAACGACAAGAGATAACTGATTGGGGCTGGCGCTGAGCAACTTAAATTAAGCAATGCGCAGGTCGGAAAAATTTCAGTAATGGATTTGAAATACAGTAGACTCCGGATATATACACAAACGTTTATGGGGAAAATGACGATTTATAAGGAAAAGGGTATTCATATTCTATGAATAAAAGAAACTCAAAGATTTCTGAATTCAGGCGTGTTTCAAAAAAACCATAAAGTAAGTGAGGCCGTTGTATGGGGGCCATACCAAAACGGGAACCTCTCTGGCAATTTTATGCTTCAAGAATTGTCATCTACAAAATCTCCGTGGGTAAATGTGACTAGGATTATCAAAATTTCGAATATCGGAGGGCATTGTTGTATGGTGCGCTACAGGAAAGCGTGGACCCACATATCGAGGTTCTTCCTCCGGAGCTAGAACCCATTATAAACTATAAATACAAATTTTTAGACAAATCCGTGGAAAAATGTGACAAAAATCATCAAAATACTGAATATCCGGAGGTACCATTATGTGGGGGTTATACGAATACGTGGACCTATACATACTATGCTCCGACACAGAAGCTAGAACCCATAACGAACTACAAAATACCAATTTTTGGACAAATCCGTGGAAAAATGTAGCAAATATCATCAAAATACTGAATATCGGGAGCAGAGGGCTGCAATGAGTATGATTGAGTAGGCTTGATCACACACAGTGGAAATACAATCAAAGTCAATCAGTCGGTCAGATGCAACATGTTCATTCGAGTTACTCAAGCCAAACGAAAAACTTGTGATCAAACATGTATTGATCGAAGTTTTGTAATCGCAATCAAACAGCTCACATGAGTTATTTGTTTACGAACTTGTGTTGAATTGTTCATAACGGGTCGATCATCCATGAGGAACTTTGTCGGTTTGATTCATCCCAGTTAAGTGAGTGATTTGATTTGATTAAAACACAAATGTTCGAAACTGAGCGAAATCATGATTGTAATTTTACAAAGGATTTCATAACTAAAAGCTGTCCCCATAAAAAATTGGTGCAAATTATATTTAATAAACAGACAATGTTTTCATTTTATTTGGGTTTTTGGTATGTTAGACTTCAGTGACTTATTTAAAAAAAAAAAAAAAACAAAATTAAATTTTTTAATAAAGAAACACATCAGTGGTATTTAGAAAACTAAAAATGTTTAAATATTTTTTTTATTTTACAATATTGGTCAAGATTTTTCACAAACTTCGACCTTTTCGTTTACCTACACCTGTGTAGTTTCTACTTGCAACAATTTCGGTCGCACTATTGCAATATTCTTCCATTTCAAATATCAAAAAAAGTCAAAATAAACTGTCCCAACTTGATTAAATGGTTGAATAAACAATGACGCTGAGCGAACTCGATTCAAAGAAGACAATCACGGTTGTGATTGCTCATTTACATTCATGTGTTCGATCAACTCATGCTGCTGAACACATCAAACCGTCTCGAACGCTCATGTTTGATTGTGAGTGAAGTGATTCAAACTGAGCGTTCGATTCGATCAGAAGCGAAAACGGTCATTTCATTCAGATCAAACTAAACGACTGCATCAACAAAAATCATGTAAGAAACCGAGTATGCTTGAATTTTTGCATACTCGTTGCAGCCCTCTGATCGGGAGGTACCGTTTTATGGACATAATACACATTGTTGTGCCAAATTTTGAAGCTCTACGTCAAATAATGTCGTCTTAGAATTTAATGCTGATTCTGGTTAGATATTTACGTGGTGGAAGTTATTGTTCGTTTAATTATTGACCCTTTATTTATTATTTATTAAAAAGAAGGGAGGATCTGTTCAGGGCTGATCATTTTACATATCTTCAATAGATTGATATAGCATGAAAAATTATTTTTTTCCCAAAAACATAATCGGAAGATGTAATTCGTTGTTCATGAACTATTTTCTTTCATTGGTCATAACTCGATTATTTGGAGGCAACTGTGTGCTTCTTAAAAACAAAGAGAGAGGGAGTGAATTTGGTACGTAACATTCTCTGTTATCATAATGTTAGCATACATTGTGTTAACTGAGGAATAATTTTCCGGGATCAATGTTAGTCCAGGACACCCAATATAATTTCTCGTTACCAAATCCCCATTAAGGAGTGGATAAAAACAAGGACCATTTTTTATAATTTCATTTTAATTTTGAAATTAGTTCCGATATTAAGGTGTGGGTACATAAACAGCTTTGCATCATGGCTAGGCACATCAATGTCAAATTATGAGAGAAAACGACGGGAGGATTCGCGTGCGCTTCTGACATACCTTTACATGTCACAAAATATCCCATCGCGAAAACTTCAAGCTGCCTATGTACCCACACCTTTAGTCTTTTAAAATTTGAAATATTATCTTTTGCTGACACAATTTCTAATATACAAACATGTTTATTCTTATTTCTTTTTAGCCCGTCAAAACCGTCAAAATGCTCAAAGCGGTTACATGAACACGAACTCCACTCTAAACATACACGAAGAGACCTGCTGTAATGCGGCGCCCACAAAGAGTCCCGGAGATTGTCCCCCAGCTTATGATGACATAATACCGGCGGCGGCAGGAGGAGCTGCAACAAGTGAAAATGGTCCAAACAATACTGGCATTGCCACCATAACCATTGAAAATACTGGCGCCGTTAATGCCTCAACAAATCAGGCTGCTGGAGCTACTGCTGCTGCAACGGCCAGTGGAACCCCGGCAACAACAGTTATCGATATTGTGGCCAACGAAAAGACAAATCCAAACAACGCTGTATAACATTTGGATGAAAATGTCCTTTTTAGTTTTTCTTTCTTTCTTTGGAATATCTAGATGACAGTCCAACCATTTCTGGCATTTATCATTCATCCAACTCCTTATTGGCTTAATATTATTATGATAATCTAATAAATTATATTTTTTGGTTTTGTTTTTCTCTTGGATTTCGATAGTAGCATTACAATAACAACAACATAACATATATTACGACAATAAAATATGGCAATTATCTGAATAAAAAAAGTGCATCTAAATGTAATTTGTTAAAAAAAAAACAAGTATGTACAATACTATCAGTCGGATTTGCCGATAGATGTATACACCCAGACTTTTGACCCTTTATGGGGGAGGTTCCGAAGCTGTTGGCTAATATTGATCAATTCGTATCTGACCTAAGGCTGGTATAAATATTACACTGTGTCAGATCTGGACTCTATCGACTACTTCGTATACTTGAATTTTTTTTTTGGAAAATTTGATAAATGCGTAAGGTAACAGATATAGATAAAAATTTTTTTGGTATGGCAACATTACAAGAAAATCGAATATTTATATCCAATTTTATGCGAAATCATAAATTCCATGTTCATCTCATACTTCTGGTGGGGAGTAAATATAAATATAACAAAGAATCGCTGACTTGTTACGCAAGTTATGACAGATAAAAGTATTGAAAATTGTGCTACTTTGTGGATGAGGTACCAGAAGGGTTTTGCAGACATATGTAAATTTCACAACAGATCTGGTGTTAACAAAAATGTTTGTATATTCAAATTTGAAGAGAGATGGATGCTTACTTCGCTTTCCTTGAGCGTTTAGTTTTCCAAAATATTGAACCTTATGTGGAGAATGTACCAGAAGAAAGCGCCCTATCTCTACCATCTGTATAACAGATCTTGTGTTGATGGAAATATTGAGATGTGCCAAGCCTGAATGAAATCGGGTGTTTATTTTGTGTTCCATGAGCTTCATGGATATTTAGAATTTTCACCCTTTTTGGGGGGGGGGGGGGGGTAGATACCAGAAGGAGTGGACCAATATGTTCCATCTTTACACCAGACCTTGGGCTAATAAAAATATTGTGATGTGTGTGATTTGAAGACAATCGGACACTTACATCACATTTTATAAGAGTTATATTTATTCAAAATGTTGACCTTTGTGGAGGAGGTACTGGATGGAGTGGACCGATATTTTCCATTTTCGCACTTGAGTTGGAGCAAAATCGGAAGAAGTGGACCGATATTGCCCATCTCCGAACTCGATCTAAGTTTGATAATAATATTACGATGTACCAAAGTTTGCACCAAGCCGGTTACTAGCTTCGAGAGTTATCGTGCGCACCAGCCTGCCAGACAGACGGACGGACAACGATAGATCGACTTCAAATGTCGTGAAAAGGATTTGGTCCAAAGAGACCTAGGGTCTAAAACTGCTATTTCGCTGAGGCACATTTTGGCTGTATAAAATGATATACGCCCTCTCTAGCCATCTGTCCGTCTATCCCTCTGTCCGTCTATGGAAATCACTCTAGCTTTGCGAACAAAATGAAGCAGGTTGATAAAATCATACTCAAATGAGTATTATGTCTGCAGGACTTTTGGTACTGAGAATGGGTGAAGTAGGTCCACGTTTTGGTATAGCCACCATATAACGTTACCTCCCTTCATTCGGTATTTTGATGATTTTAGCGACACTATTCACCGGAATTGTTTCAAATTTGGCGTTTGAAGTTCGTAATGGATACTACAGCCTATGACAGAAAATTGTCTGTGCAGGTCCACGCCTTCGTATAGTCCACATATAACGATACCCTCCGATATTTGGTATTTTGATGTTTTTAGCGACATCATTCACCGGATTTGTTTCAAATTTGGTATTTGAAGTTTGTAACAGATGCTACAGCCTATGACAGAAAATTGTCTGTGCAGGTCCACGTGTTCTTATAGCCACCATATAACGTTACCTCCCTGTATTCGGTATTTTGATGATTTTAGCGACATCATTCACCGGATTTGTTTCAAATTTGGTATTTGAAGTTCGTAACAGATGCTACAGCCTATGACAGAAAATTGTCTGTGCAGGTCCACGCCTTCGTATAGCCACCATATAACGATAACCTTCGATATTCGGTATTTTGATGATTTTAGCGACATTATTCACCGGAATTGTTTCAAATTTGTCAATTGAAGTTCGTAATGGATACTACGGCCTATGACAGAAAATTGTCTGTGCCGGTCCACGTCTTCGTATAGCCACCATATAACGATAACCTCCGATATTCGGTATTTTGATGATTTTAGCGACACTATTCACCGGAATTGTTTCAAATTTGGCGTTTGAAGTTCGTAATAGATACTACAGCCTCCGACAGAAAATTGTCTGTGCAGGTCCACGCCTTCGTATAGTCCACATATAACGATACCCTCCGATATTTGGTATTTTGATGTTTTTAGCGACATCATTCACCAGATTTGTTTCAAATTTGGTATTTGAAGTTCGTAACAGATGCTACAGCCTATGACAGAAATTTGTCTGTGCAGGTCCACGTCTTCGTATAGCCCCCATACAACGATACCCTCCGATATTCGGAATTTTGATGATTTTAGCGACATTATTCACCGGAATTGTTTCAAATTTGGTATTTGAAGTTCGTAACAGATGCTACAGCCTATGACAGAAAATTGTCTGTGCAGGTCCACGTCTTCGTATAGCCAACATATAACGTTATCTCCCTGTATTCGGTATTTTGATGATTTTAGCGACATTATTCGCCGGAATTGTTTCAAATTTGGCGTTTGAAGTTCGTAATGGATAATACGGCCTATGACAGAAAATTGTCTGTGCAGGTCCACGTCTTCGTATAGCCACCATATAACGATAACCTCCCTATATTCGGTATTTTATATAGCCCCCATATAACGATACCCTCAGATATTCGGTATTTTGATGATTTTATCTATATTATTCGCCGAATTTTTTTATTCAAGTTTCGCATTTGAATATTGTAATGGTTTATGACAGTTTATAACGGCGACATTCGCTATTTTGAAGGTTTTAACAGAATTTTTAACGGATTTTATTTATTAATATTTTTTTTTTTTTTTTTTTTTGAAAATTGCCCATATCGTTCCAAATGATGGAAGGTATTCAAAGATCGACCCGGCCGAACTTACAGCTTTTTTACTTGTTTTTTTTATTAAATTATGGTTTGATTTTTCAATATTTATGAGAAGCTCCATAGGTTTTCTATGATTTTCTATAAAATCAAGATAACCTCATTTCGAATAATATTAATAATATCCAGCTAAGCATTTTTCTGTAATTTACCTTGTCAAATTTAACTTCATTGGGAACAGGTTCCTATCTCAGATTTCTTCTTAGATTTATTCTCAGATTTACTTTCTTAATTTTACCGAGGACTGATCCTTAATTGATTATTGGCTTTGATATATTACAGTGTATTAAATTAAATTTTGAGACAATTTTTTTTTTTTTTTTTTTTTTGAAAAATAAAAACCAAAATTTTGTTATTAACTCAAATTTACAAACATGTCCAAAGAAATCAGAGAAAACAACAAATTATTCGTGGATTGCAAGGACCAGGTTTCGCAATGTTCGGTGAACAGTAACAGGGTAGACGCGCTATTCGTAATTGAACCATCAACATATGTTATGTGTGCATATGCTCGGCATACGATTAGGCCATCCGACTGTCACAGAGACTCCCAGGGCTAGGGATCTCAACCCGCCAATCGAATCCAACACACTAACATTGAAAGGGGACTTTACTACAATTGCTCTACTCTACGATATACAAAATAGGAGTCATCATACAGGGATCTCGGTGGATCGATCCCACACTCGCCCACCCTACCTGGATCCAGTATTTCCATTTCTTGCGTTTCTCTGAATCCCCTTGAGCCACACGCTTCGAATCACACACTTACTTCATACCACCTTCCCCCCAAGCTATACAAACTTAGCAACACATATTAGTATCTACTGTTTACAAAAGAATCATTTTTAATTTTATTAAAAAAAAATAAGTTAGCTTTAAATATTTTCTTAATTTTTTTCTCTACTATTTTTTTTCTTACACTAAAATTGACAAACTGTATGGTATAAAAAAAAACAAATTAAGAATAATACCGGGCTTTCTTAAATCTATGGCTTTAATTACTCGGTAGAAACCAATATATTATCCTTTGCCTTGCTTTTCCCGCGCAATATTCACGCGTCTATACGAAATTACTAGCCACCTAAAAGAGCTCTCTTAACCGGCCTAATTGCCGCTAAAATTCCACGGCCTAAACTATCAGATCGAATCACAAGGACTCAAGATAATTTTACTGTAACACCTCCTAGCCTTTGAAAATAAACGCGGTATTTTTCCCTTACAAACTGATTATTACTTAAATCCTAAGAACTATAACCTATCTTATTACTAAATCTTTATACTGAATATTATATTTTTTTTCTCGAAATTTATGATTATTAACTCTTTTTTTCTTTTCTTTTAGTTCCAAAAAAAGGAGACAGCAAATTTTATGGACGTCACATATATATATATAAATATATCAAGGACAACACAACGGTAAGACACCTTTTACCTGAGCAGTGATTTATAACGTTATTGATTAATTCTTCTTATCTCTCCTTCCAGTTTACGCTTCTTTCCGGAGGAAACAGATTTTGAACGCCAGGCAAACCCTCAAATGAAGCTGGACTTGTTGACTGGTCCTTTTACAATGCCGGCGTTCTGGGCGGGATCAATAACCGGCACAGCAAAAAGCTCAAAGTTGCAGCTGGCCAGTTTACAATTCAAATCTCCACACCCTCAATGTAACTTTTTTGGCTTTTTTTTCCTGTGGACAACTTGCCACTACCTTGCGTTACCAAAAAGAAAAGGCAATTTCCCGCCGTTGTGCTGACCAAAACCGGACAATTTTCGGTGCTTCCAAAAAAGGCTTGATACACCACCGGAATATTCCTGTTGGAGCAACACACATCACATATAACAACACAATACTCAACAAACCACTGTTACAAACTACTTACACAATAAAAAAAAATCGCAACACACAAATTAAATTTTTCCACTTCTTCACTGCTCTCTAGCTAAGTTTCACCGGTAACGTCTTATTCTTAACTTTGGCTTTTCTTATGCTCGCAGCCTTTTATACCCCTCTTCTCAGTGAATCCCGCCAGACGCTCATTTTCCACGAAACACCATTTTCCTGAACCATTTTCAATTTTCATTCCTTTTTCTTTTCAACTGTCAATAGCCATTTTTTTTTTTTATTGTGAATTCTCATTTCACCTCACCCCTGAGTCTCTCATTTAAAAATCAACGGCTGTCTAACTATTCGCCCAACCCTTTTCACTTACGTTACCAACTCGCCAATTACCCCAAACAACGCCAATTTCCTTTAACCTTATACGGCAGCGAGACATCAGCAAAAACATTTTAATTATTTCTCTCGAAATCTTTTGTTTTTCTATTCTTCTGATATTTCTTAAATTTTTATTTCAACGTGCCGCTTTTTTTTTTCATAATCATTCATTCAAATTGTGTCTAAACAAAATTTTTATCATATTTATAGTAGGTTCCCACCTACTCAGCAATCATAGGGCTGCCTAGTCACTTCTTAGCCTGAGTCACCCTGTCATTTACTACCTTTATAATACTCTTTTACTCAACCCTGTTCGAGCCTAATTTCGTACGTAGCGAACCCTAACAAACCATTTCCGGCATTTTGATCCCATCGCCACCCGGACTACACACCCCGCAGAAATTACAAGCAAATTGAAATCTCGAAGCATCCTCACCATCCTCACTAAAAACCCAGGAAAACTGAGCAAATCCATTTGAGGACCAATTATGGGATGCACTACCAACAGAATTGGGATAATTTCTGCGGTGGTTGTGGACAGGTTTTGCCAAAAAACACGGCCCCATATATTTGTTGCCTTTTTGCGCCGCATGTGAACGGCCTGCAACAAAACTTCAACTTCGGCCAGAAAATCGAGGACGGAGGTGATGTGCACGGCCGCATTACTCATTTACGTGGGGACATCCCACTCCCTGAAGGTCTCATGCCGGGCATAAGCTCCGAACAGCAGGCTGGTCAAAGCCCTCCCCCTCATGCTGGTAAATATCCCCCATCGAAATAGACATGAATCGGGTTTTTGAATTCGAGACCACCGAGTTTGAAAGTGATTCGTACAAACAACTTAGAGAAATTATAGCAAATAAAAAGGAGAATCTCCCCGATCTAAAGATTGTCGACAATATGGTATTTAAAAGAGATCACAAGTCCTATAACCCAGAAACACAAGAGTTTCAGTGGAAATTGTGGGTCCCAGAGTCTTTGACCCATTCTTTAATAGAGCAAGCCCATGATAAAACTACGTCAGCTCACGGAGGCATATCAAAAACCATTTTTCGTTTAAGAGAAAAATATTACTGGCCTCTAATGGTATCCCAGGTTAGGCAATATGTGTCTAAATGTACTGTTTGCAAAGAGACAAAGCCTACCAATGAAAATACTCAGCCTCAGATCGGAAATGAAGTCGTGACAAATCTTCCCTTCCAGAAACTCTACGTTGACTTCCTCGGGAAATACCCCCGGTCTAAAAGTGGCAACGCCTTTATATTTATAGTGGTGGACCACTTTAGCAAATTTACATTTCTTAAGGCAATGAAAGAGGCAACAGCTTCCAATGTGGTAAAATTTATGGTTGAGGATATATTTCGTAAGTTTGGCGTACCCGAGACGATACATTCCGACAATGGGGCACAGTTCGTATCTAAAACTTTCAAAGACATGATTGAAACATATGGAATCAATCATATCCAAACAGCTCCATATGCTCCGCAGTCTAATGCATCTGAGAGAGTCAATCAATCAGTATTGGCGGCGATTAGGGCATATCTAGAAAATGACCACAGAGATTGGGACCTGTATCTAACAGACATAGAGTGCGCCTTAAGAACATCGATTCATACTGCAACTGGTGTAACGCCATTTTTCGCGCTGTTTGGTCATAGTATGTACACCCATGGTTCAGATTATAAATTAGCTCGGAAGCTCCACTCATTGGCGGGTTGAGATCCCTAGCCCTGGGAGTCTCTGTGACAGTCGGATGGCCTAATCGTATGCCGAGCATATGCACACATAACAGAGATGGCGCCCAACGTGGGGCCCGAAGTTAACAAAGCACTATAATTTATGAGAAGTATAAGAATGTCTAAGGGAAAAGTCATACACCTCATAAAGGGCACTAAAATTATTATTAAAAAAAAAAAAAAAAAAAAAAAAAAAAAAAATAATAATAATAATAAAAAAATAAATAAATAAAAAAAAACCACACACACACTGCTTCTGAAAATTACACTTCCCCCGTAGATCTATGTTGTAATTATCAAATTTGAAAATTTGTATGTGTAATTGTAATTGAATGTATTTATAAAAAGTATTTGTGTTGCAAATGTTTCATATTTAAAAAAAAAAGGTTAACTGAATTTAAAACTTACTTACAAGAAAAGGTTTCGTCCGAGATTCAATTGATAACAAATGAGAAGATAAATTTTGGGTATAGGTCATGATCTACAATACCCGCAATAGTAAAAGAAATAAGAGAGACAGACCCGAAAATTTTGACCTAAACCGATCGACTTATTTTCCAGAGCAGAGTAAGCAAAGACGAATAGGGTCGGACGAAATGGCGAATGAGGATAGGAACATGAGTGCTTTGCAATTTATCGATCTAGCAGACACGATAATGCGAAGAGATCAGAACACCAATCATGTGCCAACGGTGAGTGATAATTTGAATAATAATGGTCCAACTACTTCCGACTTACATGGACTAGTACAAGATGAAGCAGCGTCTGTCCAGAAGTCATTGGAAGATAAAGTTAAAAAAATGGTCGAAACAGAAATATCTGATGTGAAGAAAATGATAGATTCTTTATCAAAAGGCATGAGAGAACTATCCGACACTGTGCGTAAACAATTAATTGTACCCCCAACGGCTACAATAGCCTCTAATTCTATTACAAATAGTAATGCTAATCCGACGTCAAACAATAATAATGACGCAGTAAATAGGAATATGCCACCAATTATCCAATTTCCGAGTGCTAGTCAAACTCCATTATCAGATCAATTTACTGGCCCGATAACGAATACGTTTAGAGTGGAACCACTAGGAATACGAGTTGATAAACTTGGTTTAAATTTCAGTGGTGACCCGAAAGGCTTAAGAGTTATGGATTTTATTAAGCGGTTAGAGATCATGCAGGCTCAATATAACATTCCATGGTCTGAAGTGTTGAGGGATTTCGCCTTTCTGGTTTCTGGTCAAGCCAGAGAATGGTATTGGCTGCATAGACAAAGTAATGTTTACACCGATTGGATGGGTCTTAAAGAAGCGCTGATAAGCCAGTATCAAACCCCACAATCCAAATTCGACATACTCAGGGATTTGTTAGAAAGGAAACAAAGGCCAAATGAAAGCATCAATAGTTATTTTCACGAGATGGGAATTTTGCGATCTAGATTACTTCAACCTATTTACGAGTACGAAATGATTAAGATCCTAAGGGGAAATATACGTGAAGATATAAAACGACATGTATATCAGATGACCATTTCGTCGGTTGAACAGCTACGAATAGAATGTATTGAAGCTGAGAGAAATTTCCCTAGGCGCGAAAATAGAGCTGTAACGTTCCCCCAGCGACCTATCCGCCAAGTAAATGAAATATATGATGAAATTTATGAAAAGCATGTAGAAGTACCGGAGGAGAATATTGGTGAAGAGCTGTCAGCTATCCGGATACAAAGCCACATTAGAGTTCCAATTATCTGCTGGAACTGTCGAGAAAAGGGGCATGTTTTTATGGACTGTCCAGTAGAAGTCCGGAAATTGTTCTGCTATAGGTGTGGGAAGCCGGACACAGTAACCCCAAAGTGTCCTGTCTGTCAACAGGGAAACTCCCGAAGGGGTGTGGAAGTGACAGGGGAAACACACCCGTCAGAGAACCCTGTGAATCGGAAGAATTAGCACCCAAAAACGTCCGAATTTTAATAAAAAACAACGATAATATATTTAGAGATAAGAGTAGTGTAGAATCGAAAATTTTTTCTGCAGGTCAGAGGCATTACATTCCATTAGAAAATCGCCAAAGAAATTATGCTAAGGTCAAGGAGAGAATTTTTAACTCAGAGTTTACTGTAATCCCGAAAAAAATTATTGAATTGAGACAAAAATCCAAGAAGTGGCGTGAGCAGCGAAGATATTTGATAGAAACTATTTCGAGAGTGACTGGTATTGCCTCAGATCCCAGAGTTTTCTCGGAAATCAGTATGCAAGGAAAAATCATGAATGGGCTCCTAGACACCGGCGCTTCGGTTACTATGTTAGGGAAAAATTGCCGAGAGATAATAGAAGAACTTGGCATTCCAATTATACCAATGTCCAGCAGGGTAACCACCGCCGGAGGTACACAGTATAATGTTTTAGGGAAAATTAAAGCCATCATAAAATACCAAGAGCAGGAAAAATTTATGACACTGTATCTATGTCCTCAATTGGAACAAGAACTATATCTTGGAATAGACTTCTGGCGAACATTCGAATTAGCCCCTGATGTGATAGGAACTGCTGAAATTAATATAGAAAAAGTTTTCAGGGATATGACTGATACGGGTCCCGACTACAAACTCAACCCTCACGAGTTAACAAATGATCAAGAGAATCGATTAAAATGCATAGTAAAAAAATTCAAGACCTTTGAACAAAATGGGCTAGGTTGTACTAGTTTAGAAAAGCATTCGATTAAGCTCGTGGAAGGTGCGGAACCGGTTAAAGACCGCCACTATCCAATGTCTCCAGCGGTTCAAGCTATCACGTACCAAGAAGTCGATAATATGTTAGCACTTAATGTTATTGAGGAAAGTGAAAGCCCTTGGAGCAATCGTACAACTATCGTACGAAAGCCCGGAAAAAATCGTTTCTGTCTGGATGCTCGAAAGTTAAATAAGCTCACGGTCAAGGACGCATACCCCCTGCAAAACATTGAAGGAATACTAAGTCGCATTGATGAAACTCATTACATTAGCAGTGTGGATCTTAAATATGCGTTCTGGCAAATCGAATTAGACGAAGAAAGCAAGCCGTACACCGCTTTTACGGTCCCAGGTCGTCCATTGTATCAATTCCGTGTGATGCCGTTTGGATTGTGTAATGCTGCACAAAGGTTATGTCGACTGATGGACAAAGTCATTCCCCAACGACTCAAGGAGAATGTCTTTGTGTACCTGGACGACCTGTTGATTATTTCAAGTGATTTCGACGAGCATCTTCGTCTATTGAATGAAGTAGCCGATTGCCTTGACCGAGCGAGTTTAACAATCGGGTTAACCAAGTCAAAATTTTGTTTTCGTCAGTTGAGATATTTGGGATTTATTATTGGAGAAGGCATGTTGCGTACTGACCCCGAAAAAGTAGAAGCAATTCGAAAAATTAGCATTCCCAAAAGTGCTAGGGAAGTGAGAAGTTTTCTGGGTACAGCAGGATGGTACCGAAGATTTATTAAAGACTTCGCGTCACTTTCGGCTCCCCTTACTGATACCCTGAAGAAATCGCCCAAATTCGTAATTACGGAAAAGGCAAAGGAGGCATTTGAAAACTTAAAGAGGGCCTTAACTTCCGCACCGGTGTTACGCCACGCAGATTTTTCCAAACCCTTTTTTATTCAATGTGATGCTTCGGAATATGGCATCGGCGCTGTTCTATTTCAGCTGAATGCCGAAGGACATGAGCATCCGATCGCTTTCTATTCGAAAAAACTCAATAAGTGTCAGAGAAATTATAGCGTGACAGAGAAGGAATGCTTGGCGGCGGTGATGGCTATCAAAACTTTCCGTCCTTACGTGGAGCTAATGGAATTCACCGTGATAACAGATCACGCTAGTTTACAATGGCTGATGAGTCTAAAGGACCTCAGTGGTCGTTTAGCTCGCTGGTCATTGCAACTTCAGGGATTTAACTTCAAAATCGAGCACCGAAAAGGAAAGGAAAATGTTGTCGCCGATATGCTATCCCGCCTACCCAATGCCGACGAAATAGACATGAATCGGGTTTTTGAATTCGAGACCACCGAGTTTGAAAGTGATTCGTACAAACAACTTAGAGAAATTATAGCAAATAAAAAGGAGAATCTCCCCGATCTAAAGATTGTCGACAATATGGTATTTAAAAGAGATCACAAGTCCTATAACCCAGAAACACAAGAGTTTCAGTGGAAATTGTGGGTCCCAGAGTCTTTGACCCATTCTTTAATAGAGCAAGCCCATGATAAAACTACGTCAGCTCACGGAGGCATATCAAAAACCATTTTTCGTTTAAGAGAAAAATATTACTGGCCTCTAATGGTATCCCAGGTTAGGCAATATGTGTCTAAATGTACTGTTTGCAAAGAGACAAAGCCTACCAATGAAAATACTCAGCCTCAGATCGGAAATGAAGTCGTGACAAATCTTCCCTTCCAGAAACTCTACGTTGACTTCCTCGGGAAATACCCCCGGTCTAAAAGTGGCAACGCCTTTATATTTATAGTGGTGGACCACTTTAGCAAATTTACATTTCTTAAGGCAATGAAAGAGGCAACAGCTTCCAATGTGGTAAAATTTATGGTTGAGGATATATTTCGTAAGTTTGGCGTACCCGAGACGATACATTCCGACAATGGGGCACAGTTCGTATCTAAAACTTTCAAAGACATGATTGAAACATATGGAATCAATCATATCCAAACAGCTCCATATGCTCCGCAGTCTAATGCATCTGAGAGAGTCAATCAATCAGTATTGGCGGCGATTAGGGCATATCTAGAAAATGACCACAGAGATTGGGACCTGTATCTAACAGACATAGAGTGCGCCTTAAGAACATCGATTCATACTGCAACTGGTGTAACGCCATTTTTCGCGCTGTTTGGTCATAGTATGTACACCCATGGTTCAGATTATAAATTAGCTCGGAAGCTCCACTCATTGGCGGGTTGAGATCCCTAGCCCTGGGAGTCTCTGTGACAGTCGGATGGCCTAATCGTATGCCGAGCATATGCACACATAACAGAGATGTGGCTCTGTATCCGGATAGCTGACAGCTCTTCACCAATATTCTCCTCCGGTACTTCTACATGCTTTTCATAAATTTCATCATATATTTCATTTACTTGGCGGATAGGTCGCTGGGGGAACGTTACAGCTCTATTTTCGCGCCTAGGGAAATTTCTCTCAGCTTCAATACATTCTATTCGTAGCTGTTCAACCGACGAAATGGTCATCTGATATACATGTCGTTTTATATCTTCACGTATATTTCCCCTTAGGATCTTAATCATTTCGTACTCGTAAATAGGTTGAAGTAATCTAGATCGCAAAATTCCCATCTCGTGAAAATAACTATTGATGCTTTCATTTGGCCTTTGTTTCCTTTCTAACAAATCCCTGAGTATGTCGAATTTGGATTGTGGGGTTTGATACTGGCTTATCAGCGCTTCTTTAAGACCCATCCAATCGGTGTAAACATTACTTTGTCTATGCAGCCAATACCATTCTCTGGCTTGACCAGAAACCAGAAAGGCGAAATCCCTCAACACTTCAGACCATGGAATGTTATATTGAGCCTGCATGATCTCTAACCGCTTAATAAAATCCATAACTCTTAAGCCTTTCGGGTCACCACTGAAATTTAAACCAAGTTTATCAACTCGTATTCCTAGTGGTTCCACTCTAAACGTATTCGTTATCGGGCCAGTAAATTGATCTGATAATGGAGTTTGACTAGCACTCGGAAATTGGATAATTGGTGGCATATTCCTATTTACTGCGTCATTATTATTGTTTGACGTCGGATTAGCATTACTATTTGTAATAGAATTAGAGGCTATTGTAGCCGTTGGGGGTACAATTAATTGTTTACGCACAGTGTCGGATAGTTCTCTCATGCCTTTTGATAAAGAATCTATCATTTTCTTCACATCAGATATTTCTGTTTCGACCATTTTTTTAACTTTATCTTCCAATGACTTCTGGACAGACGCTGCTTCATCTTGTACTAGTCCATGTAAGTCGGAAGTAGTTGGACCATTATTATTCAAATTATCACTCACTGTTGGCGGACCATGAAATTATACATTTAGATCGTAACGACAAGATGGAACTAATCCGAAATAAAATTAGACAGAATATGCATCAGGCTTATCAACAAAGCGCAAAAAGGTATAACGCAAGGGCTCGTACGATTATTTTCTCTCCGGGTCAAGAGGTATATAAAAGAAACTATGTTCTTAGCGATTTTGGGAAAAATTTTAATGCTAAGTTTGCCCGGAAATTTACGAAGTGTCGTATAGTAAAGCCCATAGGAAATAATATGTATTCTCTCGAAGATCTAAATGGAAAGGCGATTGGAATCTGTCATGCAAAAGATCTTAAAAGATAAGTGGAAAAGAAAGTCTTTTCAATCCCCTTTCCCAATTCAATTTTTATAAAAAGAATTCTAAAATAACTCTCAAAAACTATTTCACATTTGTTACCAATTCTATATCACATTTATCATGGTTATGGTTTAATTCAAAATCGAATGAATCAAAACAAAACATAGAAAATGTGTCTGAGGAAACTAAATACGATAGTAAAATCACCTTCGTACTGAATTCATTCGTATTAAGGTTCAAAAATATCAGCTGATCTGTTCCCCTAATTGGGTAATTCAAGTTAATCAGACTCTAGTTTCGCGTTTATCACAGCTGTCTAATTTCTTTTACAAAATATTCTACGCGACATATAAATTTAAAAAAAATGTACTTAAACACCCCCGGTGGCGATAAAAATAGCACAATCTGGTTTATTCCGGCATAAATTAATGAAAGATTCCCATACATAAAAAGCGAACATACATAAAACTACATTCTACCAGACAATCACGTAGACACCACGATTATGGTATTTGTTTACCTATCAATCACATCAGCATATACCGCATACAAAATCCGTTCTTCGGCAACCACGACGACAAGACAGGCATAGGCACAAATATTTCCGCATGCAAAATGTTTCACCACCTATTAAGGAATGAAAGTTATTAAATGTTCAAAACAAACAAAAAAGTACCGCAATACATTGCTAGGGCTATGCCCGCTTTCTGTCAAAATACTTCAAAATTGTATGCGACAAAATGTTTTGATAATTGTTATTTTTTGAATGCGTTATTGAACGCACGGATTTTTTTTCAAAAAATGTGATCAAAACTGTTTAATCCTTCAATTCCAGGACAAAACAGGGTAATATTTTGAACGCCGGCCACGCAGTGTTCGTTTTTCCAAACATTGACCTTGAAAATATTTTTTTTTATTTTCAAAACAAATAATACACAATAATGACAGAAGTCGGGCACACTTGGAAAAAAAAATTGTAATCAGCTTTTAGCTCTACCTTACCTTTTTATTGTACCATGATTTCAATAATTTGATCAAATTATTTGTGTATCAAAGTACGTATAGATTCCAACTTTGAAGATTATATCCATAACCAAGAAGAATGTGTGAAATTTTGATGGAATCGGAGAATTTTTCATTGAGAGCTGGTGGGTATTACCAGTGTAGATCCGCCGGAGAGGACAAATATATTCCAACTCCACACAAGGTCTTGGGTTGATAGAATTATTGGGTTGTTCCGGATGTTTACCTTTTTGTAGTGAAGGTCCCAAAGGAGTGGGTCGATAAATCCCATCCGTTCCTCTGAGCTTGTCTTAGTAGAAATACTGAATGCGGGATTTTATAAATAACCGAATGCGTATTGTAAAATTTATGAGCGTTTTTGATCTTCCCAAATGTTGACCTGTTATAGGGGAATTACCAGCGAGTTTCCCGGACTCGGAACTCGATCGATGTTTGGTAGTGACACGATATTTTCAGGGTGTCGGATCGAGAATTATCAGGCGAACCAGCAAGACATGTTTCACAGATCTGATGGACAGATTAGAAAAATAAATTAATTTATGTGGTTCAAGGGGATTCAGAGAAACGCAAGAAATGGAAATACTGGATCCAGGTAGGGTGGGCGAGTGTGGGATCGATCCACCGAGATCCCTGTATGATGACTCCTATTTTGTATATCGTAGAGTAGAGCAATTGTAGTAAAGTCCCCTTTCAATGTTAGTGTGTTGGATTCGATTGGCGGGTTGAGATCCCTAGCCCTGGGAGTCTCTGTGACAGTCGGATGGCCTAATCGTATGCCGAGCAAATGCACACATAACACATATTGGAGATCATCGGAAATAATTGTTGAAGAAACAAATTCCAAGTGGCTTCCATCTTTGAAATCAACATTATCCTTGTGTAAGGATACTGATTCCGTAGGGAATGTGGCCACCGAGAATGAGAGCAATGATTGCATTTTAATTGAACCAAAAATTGATATTATTGATTTAACAAATGTTTGATATTTGGGTACGAGAAGAAATCTAAAATTATGTATGTATGTGTGTATTGGAAATATATATTTAATCATAACCTCTCATTGAAAAAAAAACCTAGTTTAAATTGTGACAATAATATCATTAAACAATAGCTTTCATAAATGGCTATTCACAAAAGACCTGTTGGGCTTTAAAATGCACGAAAGACCATTCATACGAGACCCTTACGTAGTCTCTATTTCATGGAAAACCTTTATAAGACCTTTTATTAATATGAAATCTTTAGATGACCTTCAATGCACAGAAAACCTTCAAAAGGACTTTTATCGAATTCGAAAATGGACAATATCGATCCACTTCATCAAGTACCTTTTGAATAATTATAACTCTTATAAAATGTGATGTAAGAGTTACACACATCACAATATTTTTTTAACCCAAGGGCTGGTGTGAAGATGCAATATATCAGTGGACTCCTTCTGGTAACTCCCCCACAAAGGGTTAAACTTTTCAATATGACTATTTGAAGCTCATAAAACGCGAAATTAACATTCCACTACACATCTGATTCGATTCCATTACTTCTGGTACCTCCCACACAAAGGGTCAAAGTTTTAAATAATCAAAACGATCATAAAATCCTAAATAAGCATGCGGTTCTTTACAATTACACAAATTACAATTATTAACCCAGATCTGGTATAAAGATAGAATATACAAGGTGGGATATAAAAACTGCTACGAAATCAAACGCCATAATTTTTACATTTTTTAAATTGAATTGAATGAAAGCAAAAAATGTCGGAAATAGCATCAAATTTTAGAAAAGGTTTAGATTTGTTCGAATCGGTAATCTTTGGCAAGAATTATGGCCTTCCAACGGCCAATGAAACCGTCACATGCTGCTCTGCGGTATTTTGGCCCATTCCCGGCGAAGCGCTTGCTTGAGGTGATCGACACTTTGGTATTTTTAAGTGCCAACCTTGCTTTCCAAAATACTCCAGACAAAATAGTCCAACAGATTGGTATCCGGAGATTTTGGTGGCCATTGTGCTATGGAAATGAAGCGAGGAACTTCATTTTGTAACCATTCTTGGGTGGCGCGTGCTGAGTGCGATGGTGCTGAGTCCTGTTGGAATGTCCAAGGTCTGCGGCCAAAATGTTTGCGTGACCAAGACAGTTCACCACTTTCGGCCAAGCGAAGCAACTCTTTAGGTCTTTTGAGTCTATTTTCTTTCTGTTTAGGTGTAAGTTCTTGGACTTTGAAGTTTCCATGGCTTTACCCCGACCTCATTTTATAATATTTGCCGAATGGAATATTGCGATATGTTCAGCTCACGAGCCATATTTATACGCTCCACCTTGGAAAGGAGGGTATATTAACTTTGTCATTCCGTTTGTAACATCCTTAAATATTCGTCGTAGACACCATAAAGTATATATATTCATAATCAGCATAGAATTCTAAGTCGATTTAACGATGTCCGTCTGTCTGTTGAAAGCACGATACAGCCCACATTATTTGACGTAGAGCGCCAAAATTTAGCAGAACAATTTGTATTGTGTCTAGGATGGTTGGTATTGAAAATGAGATATATCGGTCCATGTCCCCATATAACGGTACCTCCGGATATTCGGTATTTTGATGATTTCTGCCACCTTTTTTTCACTGATTTGTTTGAAAATTGGTATTTTTAGGTCATAACGGGTCCGTGTACGTGTGGCAAAACATGACATGTATGGGTCCACGTTTTGGTATAGCCCCCATATAAAGGTACCTTCCGATATTCGGTATTTTGATTATTTTTGCCACATTTTTTCACGGATTTGTCTAAAAATTGGTATTTGTTGGTCATAATGGGTTCCAGCTCCGGTGACGAAACATTGCATGTATGGGTCCACGATTTGGTATAGCCCCCATATAACGGTACCTCCCAATATTCGGTATTTTGGTGATTTTTGGCAATTTTTTTCACGAATTTCTCTGAAAATTGGTAGTTGTAGTTGTTGTCATCGAAATTATAGGTCCACGTTTTGGTATAGCCCCCATATAATGGTACCTCCCGATATTCGGTAATTTGATGATTTTTGCCACATTTTTTCACGGATTTGTCTGAAAATTGTTATTTCTAGGTCATAATGGGTTCTAGCTCCTTTGGCGAAACATTGCATGTGTAGGTCCACGATTTGGTATAGCCCCCATATAACGGCACCTCCCAATACTCGGCATTTAAATGGTTTTTGCCACATTTCTTCTAATGTTTCCTTTACCCTAAGGTGGAGGGTAGTTAAAGTTTGGCCCGGCCGAACTTAATGTTTTTTTTACTTGTTTTTATTTTATTTTCATTATTTTTCGAACCATTTCTGCCAATACGATTTCCCCAAAAGAAATCGAAAGTTCTATAGCCTCGACGAAAATAAAATAATGGTAATACTGTTACTCATATTTAGCAGTATTATTCGAGTAGGGCTATTCCGATGTAAAATCAAAACAAGTAAAATAGTATCAGTCGGTTTTGCCGACAGATGTATACTCTCAGCCTTGAGTTACGAACGTGACAGATTTGGACTATATAGACTACTTCTTGTACTTTATATGAGGTATGTGCACCTTTTCGGAAAATGGAAATATGCGTCAGGTAACAGATACAGCGGACCGAAGTATTCCATTTTCACACTTCATCTAATACAGATAAAATACATCATCCTAGTCTGAATAGAATCGGATGATAATTTTGCGTTTTATGAGCTTCATGGATACTCATAATTTTGACTTTTTGTGGGGGAGGTACCAGAAGGAGTGGACCGATATATCCCATCTTCACACCAGATCTTGAGTTAGTAGAAATAATGGGACGTGTGTAATATGAAGAGAACTGGATGTTTATTTCGGATTCTTTAGAATGGAATCGTGTTCAAGTGTTTTAAGAGCGTGATGAATATTCAAAATTTCGACCTTTTGTGGGGGAGGTACTTGATGGAGTGGGCCTATATTATCCATTTTTGCACCTGACCTAGAACTGACGTAAATATCAGGATTTGCAAAGTTGGAACAAAATCGGATTATCGATTCTCTTTCTGTGCAGAAAATATTTTTTTTATATATTTTTTTACATTTTTTATTTTTTTTTTAAATCTTGATCATTTGTGTGGGAGGTACCAGAAGGAGTGGACCGATATATTCCATCTTAACACCAGACCTTGGCTTAATATAAATATTGAGATGTGTGAAATTTGAAGACAATCGGACTCTTATATCACATTTTATGAGAGTTGTAATTATTTAAAATTTCGACCCTTTGTGGGGGAGGTACCAGAAGGAGTGGACCGATATTGTCCATTTTTACACTTGACCTAGCACTTACGCAAATATTGAGATTTGTAAAGTTTGAGCAAAATCGGATTATCGTTTCTCTTTCTGTGCAAAAAATATATATTTGTTAAAATTTCGACCATTTGTGGGGGAGGTACCAGAAGGAATGGACCGATATATTCCATCTTAACATCAGACCTTGGGCTAACATAAATATTGGCATGTGTGAAATTTGAAGACAATCGGACTCTTACATCACATATTATGAGAGTTGTAATTATTCAAAATGTTGACCATTTGTTGTTGTAGCAGTTTTACACGTTCTGTTGTTTTTTTTTTTTTTTTTTCGACTAATCTGGTTCTTCCTCAATGTCCAGGTTTAGGAATTCTGCTATCTTTATGGGCTGTAGCCATAGATCCTCTGGACGGAGTTGGGTAGGCTTGGCAGGACAATTAAACAAATGCAGCGTGTTGTGCGGGCCTGTATCACACGCTGGGCAGGCGTTTTGCACATCCTCATCAATTCGTGCCCAATACGAATTGAGACGGCTGCACCATCCTGAACGTAGTTGGGCCAAAACTACCCTGGTTTGCCTAGGCAGCCGACGTTCTTCAGCTGCAATGGATGGGGGGTGGACTCCGAGTATGGCATTTACACTGTAATTATTGACTACCTCAGCGACTGCATCAGTATGAATGCTATTCAGACCTGCTTGATAGGCTTCATGATCTAGAGGCTCTCTCTTATATCGCTGGACCTCTCTCTCTAGATCGTGCAGGTCCTTCCTGACACGCCTGGGTGGGGGAGTTCTATCCACCATATGGTGGTTAGGGTGACTCCCGCGATAACACCCAAGCAAGTACTGCAACGAAAGCATATGATTATGCTGACGTAAGGGAAGAACCTTCGTCTCCTCATGTAAGTGGTCCACAGGCGTCATGAGGAGGCACCCTGTTGCAGTTCTCAGGACGGCATTCTGGCAGGTCTGAATACATTTCCACTGCGTTGCACTTGTATTCGCCGACCACACTGGAGCCGCATAGCTAACCACAGACCGACCTATCGCTTTATAAGAGGTCAACAAGGTTTCTTTATCCGCACCCCAAGTGCTGCCGGCTAGCGCCTTGAGGACCTTGTTCCTACTTTTCATTTTATCGCAAATAGCTGTGGCTTGCGCGGAAGACTTGAACATGCTATCGAATGTGACCCCAAGAATTTTGGGGTAGTTGGTGGTCGGAATTATATGCCCCTCGACCTGCACATTCAGCTGTGTTCTCATCTCCGCAGTCCATGTGGTAAATAGTGTGGCCGTCGATTTAGTGGCGGATATTTTCATATTCCTCGCGTGGAAGAAGGCGGCAAGCTCCGCGAGATAATTATTCACCCTGACACATATGTCATCAACTACAGGACCCGACGCCATGATCGTACAATCATCCGCATAAGTTACGATCTCGATGCCGTCTGGAGGGCGCGGAATTCCGGAAAGGTAGAGGTTAAACAGTTCCGGAGATATCACCCCACCTTGGGGAACTCCCTGTTTCACTCTACGAGGCTTGGACTTCTTATTCCGGAATTCCACGTACGACTGGCGTCCACACATATAGTTGACTATCCAACGTTTCAAACTTGGCCGGAGGGTAGTGTTCTCAACGTCCTCGAACAGCGTGGCATGGTTGACCGTATCAAAGGCCTTTGATAGGTCGAGAGCCACCACTACTGTTCTGTGGCACGGCCTGTTCTGGTTGAGTCCTCGACTGATATGTGTGGATATGGCGTGCAATGCTGTTGTAGTGCTATGTAGTGGACGGAAACCGTGTTGATGGTTAGCAACTGAATAGCTTCCTCTGATACTGGGGAGGAGTAAGGCCTCGAGAGTCTTTGCTACTGGCGACAAAAGCGAAATTGGCCTGTATGATTCGCCTTTGCTGGCATCCTTGCCAGGCTTCAGTAGCGGGACCACCCTGCCCATTTTCCAGGCATCGGGAACTATGTGGGTGGCTAACGACAAGTTAAGGACTTTGGTTAAATACTCAACTCCCGGCGTATCCAGTTGCTTCAACATTACCATTGATATTCCGTCCGGGCCCAACGCTTTAGATGACTTAGCGTTTCGGATGACATTCGCAACATCACCCATCGTAAACTGTGGAGGTACATCCTCGGCGGGAAGAGCTCTTATACGACGTAGTACTCTTCGCCTCGCCCTATCACTCTCGGGGTGCTCGACAAATTGGCGGTTAAAACAGCCAGCGCACCTCTTCGGATCAGTCACAGTTACGTCGTTAAATGTGACTGCTGTCCTATCATCCTTTTTCCCAGGGTTCGAGAGTGACTTTACCGTTACCCACAGTTTACTCAAATCGGTTCCGATGTTGCAACACTTCAGATGGTCTAGCCACTTTTTCCGCTTATGCTCCTGTACCAACCGGTTGACTTCCACTGTCAGTTCACTGACTCTGGGATCAGTAGGGTTGGTACGTCGGAGCTCATCACGCTCATTCGCTAATCCCGCTGCCTCTGCTGGGAAATTTGGTCTTACTTCGGGTATTCGACCAGCAGGTATATAGCGAGCGGCTGCAGCTTTGATGATGTCCCGGAAAATCCTTTCAGCTACCCGAACATCAGAAGGATTGGGCAGTTCTCTGAAGCGAAGGTTGGTGAACTCTCTGAACTCGGGCCAGTGGGCTTTCCCATGGTTAAGGAAAGTGCGGCGTTCAGAGGTTATGAAATCGGGCGATCTGCTGATGGAGACGATTATCGGGAGATGGTCTGAGCCAAGAGAAATGACGGGTTGCCAAGTCACGTCATTTATCAGACCGGGTGACACGATGGTTAAGTCTGGCGAACTGTGACACTCTCCTCTTATTCGGGTGGGGGCATCCTCGTTTACCGTGCAAAATGTGGAGCAGTCAATCTGCTCTGCCAACGCTGATCCCCTCTGGTCATTACCTAGGACGGAATGCCACAACTCATGGTGGGCATTGAAGTCCCCTAGTACCAGGCGGTTATTGCCTTACAAAAGTGGGCTTATATTAGGCAAGTAACGCGGTTCACAGCTATTAACCGGCGGGATATACACATTAAGCACCTCTACCTCGGCAGTACCACACTTGACTGCTACCCCCATACACTCCATGTACGGGTCACTAGAGACTAGCTCAAGCGAGATAGGTCTGTATTGAACAGAATGGTGTATCAGGAACGCTAATCCCCCACCTCCACTTCTGGTGCGATCTTTCCTCAATACGTTGTAACCATTGCAACGTTGTAAGCTACAATTTTCATTGAGCTTGGTTTCCTGCACCGCTGCGATCTTGATATTCCTCCGATTCATAAAATCCACTATCTCATCAATTTTACCTCGGAGTCCGTTGCAATTGAACTGCAAGAACGATGCATTGTCCGGAATTGGAACAGCAACATGTGGCGTTAAGTGCTGCGGTAAAGGTTGCTGTTCTGGAGACTGCGGGGGAGTTCCATACTCCGACGACGACTCGGAAGTTGACGACGAGGTCGTGGACTCACTGGGGACTACGTTGGTGCAGCACGAAGCAACATAGTCCCTATCGCTATAGTCTCGCAACCGGGTTAAACCGGAACAATTTCTAAAATGCACCCATCCTCTGCATCCATTACATCGCACCGAGACTGATCTATGGTGGATGGTGTTTTGGCAAACCGTACAGAACCATGGTCCGGGGTTTTCCTCAAGCCCGGCACGGACCAAAAGAATCCGGAGCAAGCATTCCGGGATGTGCTGCTCCCAAAACAGAAAAATAAACAAACACGAACATGTATACACTGGGTTGGCAGCCGCTGGCCGAAACTGGAGTGTTGTTGTTTCGGGTCAATCCGGTGTCGTAGAACCCGCTGCCGTGGGATTGTTGACCATTTGTGGGGGAGGTACTTGATGGAGTGGACCGATATTGTCCATTTTCACACTTGACCTAACACTGACGCAAATATTAAGATTTGCAAAGTTGGGGCAAAATCGGTTTATCGCATATCTTTCTGTGCAAAAAATAATTTTTTTGAAAATTTCCACCTTTTGTGGGGGAGGTACCAGAAGGAGTGGACCGATATTGCCCATCTCCGAACTCGATCTAAGTTTGACAAAAATATTACGATGTATCAAGTTTGGACCAAATCGGATACTCCCTTCAAGAGTTATCGTGCGCACCAGCCAGACAGACAGACAGACGGACGGACGGACATCGCTAGATCGACTCCAAATGTTCTGAAACGGATTTGGTCCAAAGAGACCTAGGGTCTAAAACCGTTATTTCGACTAGGCACGTTTTGACCGTATCAAATGATATATACCCTCTGTAGCCATATGGCTGAGGGTATAAATATAAATACAATAAAATCATTAATACGATATTCCCTAACAGTTAATTAAACAACGTTACTAATAATGTAAAGTAAATTACAAAAGGAGACTGTCGATTATTCTTCTACCTATTATCAACTCCTATCGTTTGGGGGACACACGTAGACGTGACACTCTCTCTATCACATAGAGGTACAGTTATATCTAATTATCTCTATCGCACGATAATTAGACATAACTGTACCTAATCAAAGCAAAATTATACCCTTGACATTTAGAGAGGTTCTATCGTTTATTCCCAAATACCTATAGCATTTTCAGATTAAATGAAACCTTTTGCAATTCAAATGAATCTTTTTGCAGCGGGAATGAAACCTTTTGCAGTGGAATTGAAACCTTTTGCAGTGGAAATGAAACCTTTTGCAACCGAAATGAAACTTTTTGCAACCGAAATGAAACCTCTTGCAACCGAAATGAAACCATTTGCAACCGAAATGAAACTTTTTGCAAATCAAATGAAACTTTTAAATTTATAGAAGGAAAAATAACAAAACATTTATATTTTAGTAGTTTTTAAATTAAATCAATTAATTATAACTAATATATTGACAAAGAGGATTTTTTATTGATTATAAATATCTACATTTATTTATATTATTTCTTAAATTTTCAATTATTGTATTAAAAAATGGTTCTTTATTGATTTGATATAAAATGCTTCCATATTATTAAATTCCAAATGCTTAACGCTAAAAAGAGAAATTTAAACAAATTTTGGCCTTTATAGGTATGGCCAGGACTGAAATGTGAAATTAAGCTTTACCACAATTTTTTATAGTTATAGTATACTATTAATCTTTCCTAATAAAGGATTCCCGCTTCGCAGCTTTATTGATTATGGAGATAAAGCAGTCGTGATTTCAATAGACAGATAAGTGGAAATCATTAAATGAACTATGATCATGATTGTATATACTTTATGGGGTCTACGACGAATATTTAGAGGTGTTACAAACCGAATGACAAATTTAATATATCCTCCTTTCCATGGAGGAGATTATAAAAAGGTACCTAATTCGGGTCCTTTGAAAAAAATACCTTGAAAAACTTTTTTCAATCTTTCTGCATCTACACTTGTGTTTTATGGAAGCTTAAGAAAAAAATTTATAAAAACATAGTTATTAATAATCAATAAAAATTCCTCTTTAACTATATATTAGTTATAATTAGTTTATTTAATTTTAAACCTACTAAAAATAAAAATGTTTTGTTATTTTTCCTTCTATAAATTTAAAAGTTTCATTTGATTTGCAAAAAGTTTCATTTCGGTTGCAAATGGTTTCATTTCGGTTGCAAAGGGTTTCATTTCGGTTGCAAAAGGTTTCATTCCCGCTGCAAAAGGTTTCATTTCCACTGCAAAAGGTTTCAATTCCACTGCAAAAGGTTTCATTCCCGCTGCAAAAAGATTCATTTGAATTGCAAAAGGTTTCATTTAATCTGAAAATGCTATATCTTGAAGTTTTCTATCTATAAAACAAATTTGAAGGAGTTCCTTATTTTTAGAAGAAATTTCAAAAGAGGTTTTTTTATGGGATTCCAAACAAGCGTTCATTTGTATGTACGTCTATTAAGAATAGCTGACCCTGAGAAGGTATATGGAAGATTTTTAAAAACAACAAAACAAATGCTACAAGACAAGAATTCAAACATTGTTTTTTCATTATTATTAATTTTACAATACATGTAAATTTAATTGGCAAAAAAAGAAGAACTTATAGACAACGTTAAAAACTAAACAAAAAATATAAACGCATTATTAGAATTAATATTTAAATAAAAAAAGGTAGTATTAAATTGTATATATGAAATAACAGGGCGAAAGAAGAAATTTATTATTTCAACATCTGTTTGCCCACAAGTAGATAAACCGAAATAAAATACTCATTGATAATTTCTTGAAGTAGGCAGTTGGTAACTAACTATAATTAACTGTGATGTATGTGAAGAATACACATTTCTATTCATTAAAGACTGTGTGTGTAGCGGGGTGTGGGGAGTGTTACTCCCAAAAAAAACTCTCATTTAAATTTTACAAAAAATAAATTTTATGAAGCCAAATCAAAAATGTTGAGAAGGTAATAGTTTGGTAGCTTGGACTTAATTTCAGGTACTTATTTCAAATTTATTGTAGTATTTCATAAATTAATAATAAAGATTTGCCAAGATTTATCTCAATATATTTTCAATGGAAATATATTCAAAAATCTTGGGGTGCATGTGATGACAATTAGATGAGTTTAAGGACACAGAAAAATGGTTCATATCAATTCTCATCACATGTCCTATTTATTTTTAATTAAACGACAACAAAAATAACCCTCAAAACGTAAATCCAAAAGCTAAGAACTCCTTTGGCGTTGAGTGAACGAACGAACTAGTTGTGTATAACAATAATAATAATAATAATGATGAATGATAAAAGTACGTAAGAAAACATTTTATGAGCGATTAAGTATCATATCCAAGGTGGGACCCCATTTGCCATAGGGATCTTTGGGCAATATAAATATATCATTACACCAGGTATAACCAATCACCCGTGTCTCAATGATTTTCTTGAAGGCCGGATTCTCGTGCAGCAAATCACGATAGTTGTCATTCGAAACAATGGCAGCATCCATGGCACAGGCCAGTTGTAAAATAAAACTAGAAAATTAATAAAAAAAAACAGTGATTAGAAATATATTCATTGTTGGAATTTTTATTGTCTCACCGATCATCATAACTGGTACTGGTAAGTCCAGGTAGATTTTTACATGGCGTTTGTACAATTTTGCCACTTTTATGCAAACGATCCAATTCCGCCGGATCTGTGGATTTATTTTGATTCATACGAAACTGTGGTATAACCGCCTTGACTTCATGGCCCATGCTCTCGAAATACTCGATGGCAATTTTGAGACCCTTCACCGAGAAGCCCTTGTCCAGAGAGTGTCTGAAAAAGAGGGGAATTGAAATTAAAATGCGGTTTGGGCTATATCGAAAACTTCTTTCGCTTCATATGAGATATGGGATAATTTTAAGAAAATATACCCAATTTAGGCAAAATAATGAATTCCATATTCATCTCAGGTTTCTGGCTGAGATAAATATTTAGATATAGCAAGTTGGAAAGAATCGTTAATCGTGTTTCGCAAGTTATGACAGATAAAAGTATTGAAAATTGTGACCCTTTGTGGGTGAGATACCAGAAGGGATTCGCAGCTATATATCATCTTCATATGTTTGTTTGTAAGTGAGAAGTTTGAAGAGAGTTGGATGCCTACTTCGCTTTCTTTGAGCTTTTTTTTTAAAAACATTGAACCCTATGTGGGGAGGTACAAGAAGAAATGATCTGACCTCTCCAATCTTTATAGCAGATCTTGTGTTAGTAGAAATAATGGGGTGTGTGAAATTTGAAGAGAACCGGGTGCTTATTTCGGATTTTATAATCGCTTTGGTTATTCAAAATTTGACTCTTTGTGGGGGAGGTACAAGAAGGAATTGTCCGATCTTAACAATCTTTTTAACAGATCTTGTGTTGATGAAAATATTGAGATGTGCCAATTCTGAATGGATATTCAAAATTTTGACTCTTTATGGGGGAGATACCAGGAGGAGTGGAACGATATGTTCCATCTTTACACCAGATATTGTGATGTGTGTAATTTGAAGACAATCGGACTCTTACATCACATTTTATAAGAGTTATTCAAAATGTTGACACCTTGTGGGAAAGGTACTTGATGGAGTGGACCGATGTTGTCCATTTTCGCACCTGACCTAGCACTGATGCAAATACTAGGGTTTGCAAAATTGGATTGTCCTTTCTCTTTCTGTGTAGTATTTTTTTTTTTTTTTTTTTGATTTTTTTGATTTTGAATTTCGACCATTTGTTGGGTAGTTACCAAAAGGAGTGGACCGATATTGCCCATTTCCGAACTCGATCTAAGTTTGGCAATAATATTACAATGTACCAAGTTTGGACCAAATCGGAAACTGCCTTCGAGAATTGTGCACCAGCCAGAAAGACAGACGGACGGACGGATCTCGCTAGATCGACTTCAAATGTCCTGAAACGGATTTTGTCCAAAGAGACCTCTTGTAGTAAAGAACGATAATAGCACTCTTCCTCAAAGGATGGAAACTAAAAATCTCCCTTCCATGGAGAGGACATATGCATTTTTCTCAGAATGTCCCCTTAAAAGAATCTTCTCTTCAAGAAATTGACTTTAAGTGCTCTGAGGCAGTGTCTTTCATAAAAAGGCTTAACGAAATATAATATTTCCCACCTCTTAAAGGAAGGGAATATGTTGAAAGGGAACATAAAAGCTCCCTTTTTTTGGATGGAATTTGAAAGCACCACTTTTTTAGAACTGATCTTAAAAGATCCCGTTTCCTTAATCTGAAAATAAAGATAGCCCTTGGTGCAAAAGGGGATCTTAAAAAGAATCGTGTCTTTGGAAAAGTCTTTTTCATAGACATCTTTGTTTTGTAGATAAAAAACAACCTTCATCAAAGGAAGGGACAATACATTTCCTTAATTTCCTTTTATCCCTTAAATAACGAAGAGCCCTTTTACGGACTTCCAAGATCCAAATGCAATGTTTTATACATCACTTTTTACATATCTTAGATGGATATATATATGTGGCCTTTTACAGACCTTATATGATAGCAGATAGGGATATATGACATTTTTAAAGGCTCCTTGAAAAATAATTAACGGTACTGGTCTCCTTAAGGTAGAAGGGCTTTTACAATTTGTCCATGGAAGAAAGGCATGGTGTAGGTCTCCTAAAAGTAGATTGTTTTCCCCACTTTTATGTGGGGACCCAAAAACGTATTAGTGCATTTCGCATTTATATTTGAGTTCAATACTCACTCAAAATCATCTTTCATATTTTCAGTTCTCTACTCACTTGAAAGCAACATTACTGCCATCGATGATTACAGGACGTTTCTTGGCGGTAAACCCCTCCCCGGCATTGGGGTTATAGGCATTGCTATTATACACCTCCAATTGTTTCTTTTCATTTCTGGTAAATAAATCACTATACAAATGTGTTTTTGTGGCAGTCTTGGCGGGTGGTGCGGCAGAGTTTTGAGGCTTCTGAAATACAAAAACCACAATTTATTTTAATGACAATTAAGGTGGCTTATTCAAAATAGACTTACCACATTATTTTTACCATCATTCAAGGGTATAAAATCATTGGAATCTGTTTCCGATATAAACACCACCGAATCATCGGCAATGGCATTCGATGCACTCTTCTTTTTAATGGTATCATCAATAATTTCACCCTCTTCTTCCTCACTTGAAGAATCATCGCTACTGGATGATTCACTGGATGACGATGCATTGCCTGTTTTGTGATTCGTCGTAGATTTTTTGCTGCTATCTTTCAGGGTTGTATCATTGTCAAGAACAATAACATCATCATCATCATCGCCGTTCTCCATCCTCTTCCCGGCCTCCTTTGTATTGCTGGAATTTGATGTCTCACTCAGGGGTTTCCTGGGAATATATTTAATATTTCCTAAAAATGCATTACTATTAACATCAACAAAAAATAAATCATTGGCCTTTGTGCTGGTATTATTGGCAGCAACCTGAGCAAAGGTTAAATGTTGCTGAGGGGAATTTGAAGCGAAATGATTGTCATTGTTATTGATCTTTCTACGCTTTGAAGGTAATATTCTTTGCTGATTTTTTACAAGGGGAGTTGATGAGCCACGTTTGGAAAATGATTGGAATAATGATTGATATTCTGGTACGGAAGATGCCGGTGGTTTGGGTTTGTTATTGGTTTTGGTTTCCTCTTCATCACTACTGCTAGTGGTGTCATCGCTATCATCATCATCGTCATCGATGATAATTTGTGTGGAATTTTTTTCTATCAAAATACAATCATCGTCGTCATCGTCACCATCATTCTTGTTCTTCTCATTGTCTTTGTTCACTTTGTGGACGGGGGCTTCTTTCTGTGATTTGTTGTCTACTCCTTTGGAACTATTTGGTGCTTTGAAAGATGTTTTTGGTTTATTATTTCTGTTATTTCTCAGATTACAATTGCGTTTAATCTGTTTGGGAGATTTCATTTGTTTTCTAGCCGACTTGTTCAAATATAATCTTCCACCACCACCACCAGAGCTTTCGTTTTGACTCTTGGTCAGATCAAGCATTATCATTTTGCTGCGTTTGACCAGTTTTTTCTATAAGGAAAGGATGAAAAGTTAAATTTCAAAATTTCTACAATTTATGATATAATGGGGCACACTTGCAAGGGACTTGTTGAAGGGGCTAAGAAAGAAAATATGTAATGTGCAGTTAAAACAAAAAAAAAACGGCCCGTCCGAACTTACTGCTTTTTTACTTGTATCGGAATATTTTTACCCACAAAGAACCCACAATATAAAAATACAGCTGGTGTGGTTAGAAAAAACAAACAAACAATTAGAAGGAGCCTTTACATGGGACTATACCAACAAGTAGACCTGTATTGATTTTTTTCTGCGAGAAGTTATGCTACCAACTGCGAACCCGAAAATTCAAAAATTAAGAAAATTCAAATTACAGCCAAATTATTTTGAAATTTTGTTCAAAACCTTTGTAAACTCAAAAATCAGGAGGTAGAGTCACCCTTACTTACATCCCAAAAGCAGGGAAATCAAGTCACTCGCCTCCTAAGGACTACAGATCAATTAGTCTCCCATTCTTTCTATTGAAAACACTAGGAAGGCTGATCGACATAGAAACGACAGGAACGAGCAAGGAGAGGCTTGATTGCACTCTATTCTTGCAAGTAATAATTAAATGGTTGTACGAGTCAATTGTACGCCCTATCCTATCTTGTGGAACTCTAGTCTGGTGACATTCCGTGGATAAGTCATCTTATTTACGTTGCATTGACAAAGTTCAAAGAGCGGCATCATTACCAATAACAGTTGCCTTCAAAAGCACCCCTCAGGCTGCACTCGACACCCTACTGTGCTTAAGCCCTCTAAGCATACACGTATAGGAAGAGGCAATTGGGTGGTCTTTTCGACATTCTGTGATCTTAGGGCACTTAAGAAATGTGGGAGTGAAGCCAACTCAATTGATAGATTTCACCATGGTTGAGCTTTAACCCACCCGACATCCACGTACCTTACAGGGACGCCAGGGTCGGTAGCAATTCACCTTTCCGCCACATAGCTGTTTATAGCTGACAGTTCAAAGATGGAATGTGGAACGGGAACTGGTGTCTTCTGTGACACTGTAGCATGTTCCAGGCGGAAATCTTTGCGCTCAAAAAACCATAGACTTATTGGTCACGAGGAACAACGAGGTTAACGGTCCGGTGTATATATATGTCGATAGCCAAGCGACACTGAAAGCTTTAAACACTTTTAACCCAAGTTTTGGGCTGGTTTGGAATGCAAGAGATCCTTGGAAAACACTGGCAATGAGATTACAGACAAATTGGCTAAGCAAGGGCCCGAATCAGCTATCATTGAAATTGAGAACTCGGTTAAAGCACTCCTGTGCCATTTCTTCCGTGGTAATTTATAGACATTACTCTGAGAGAATTCAACCAAAATGAAACCTGATTTAAAACTTGTGTTGGCCATCATCACAGGTCACTGCAAGGTAAGGGCAATTACCTCGAAATGGAACAGCGATGATATTGATTACTGTAGAATCTGTCAAGACGAGGAAATAGTTGAGACGATCAACGAACAACTGTCACACGATTTTTCTTTGTTCTCTAACACTCACCCTACAGCAATTCTTCAATTAGCTAGAAGACTTAAGTGGCTAAAGACGACACGGCAAAATTTCTTGCCGTAGATTACTCTTATAATTATAATTCCTATTCCTTTTTCACTAATCTTTCTTTCTTTCTGCCCTCTTCGCTTTGGATGAGTACAATGGACCAGCCGGTCTCCAAGTGGAGCGGTTATCAAATGGCAACCGCGCGTCCTTTAACCTAACCTATATGTAGACCTACAACTGATTTGAATTTAAAAAAGAGCTAAAATCTTTGAAATACCGAAAACCACATGTGATTTTAACAGATGGACCAACAACAGTTGGATTGCCGGACAGCCAGAAATATAGACATGGCTAAATTGACATAGAATTTTGCTCTGATCATATATACATATATATACTTTATGGACTCTCCGACAACGGACGGAATAACAAATTAAATATACTTTTGATTTTATGGTGGGTGGGTATGTATATTACAGATCTTTTCTAGAAAGGCCTTCTTCCGACGAGTCCATTACATGTGTGGCACATAGAGCCTTTTGTCTTTAACACTTACCGCCTTATCATCTCTAAATTTTTGAAACTTATTTATGTAACCCGCCTTCAGTGGACTCTTCTTCCAAACTTTCTGTGGCGATTTTTTCTGATTGTTCATTAACACGGCACGGCTTGGACTTGGAATATCATCATTATTTTGCTTCTTTTTGGAAAATTTCAAAGAATTTTTCAATTAAAATAAATTAATATGAATAACAAATATATAAATAAAAATTCCAAAAAAAAAGAAAGAAATAAATTATAAATAGAAAATAATTTGAAAACATAAGAAAAAATAATTATTAAAAAAAAGGAAGGTTTAATACTTACCCTTGTTAATGGAAAGTAAATTGAGATTTGCCCTTGAAAACTGTATCGAAGGGATGAATCCAAAGACATTTGATAATGAATTTTATTTATCATATAAACGATTTTAAATGTTAATGTGTTCATCCCTAGGATTTTTGTCCGCCTTGTTTCAATGGGCAAGGGAAATAACTTTCACATAAATATCAATATTATCGTTTGGGGAGGAGCGAAAAGGCGCATCGAAGGGCTAAGTTTAAAATAATAAATTATGCAATTAAAATTTAAATAAAAACCAGTAAAGAAAAAATTTTAAACCCGCTATTCATATTTCTTGGGGCTATCCATAACAAATAATCGTTTTTATGGCGAATTTATAAAATTTAAATAATACCAACTATGATCGTTTTTGAATGGTACCTGTAATTTAAAGCCGAAAGCAACTAATATATCGGAGGTATATCCACCTCTTAATTTCTACTAAATTTTACGATGGCATTTGTGTCTGAACCGATATTCATCAAAATCCTTACTATTTTAACAGATAAACTAGAAATGAGGTGAAAATCTGTAGGAGCTATATCCAAATCTGAATCGATCTCTATAAAATTCGGCAGAGGAATTTGTATGATGTATTTGATAGCTGATAAATCAAATATCCTTGTTGTGAAGAGAATTCAATGGGTGAAAGCGACTTAAGCACAAAATCGGATGAAACACATATATATGGGACCATAGCCTATATATACAGGGTGAGATGAAATAACTGCAACCCACTTTAGACTGCTGTCATTTCTAAGCCAATCGTCCCACAGCTATTAAAATTATTCCACAGCTCATTATATTGTTTACAAGCGTACAAAAGCATTTTGGTGAGAATTTTCCAGAAAAAAAAAGTTATTCGTGATGGAATTCAAGCGTGATAGTGTGATTTCTTTATATTTGGCTGAATATCCACAAGTGGCACTCCACTCGAGCATTTAACCGTGATACTGGTAACCGTGATGCTGGTAGCGTAGCCCGACGTCAAGGAAGTGGACGGAAGAAAACATCAACATCAACAGAAATGGTTCGAAAAGTAAAGAAGCGACTTGATCGAAACTCGCGTCGCAGTGGCCGAAAAATGACACGTGAGTTCAATATACCGCAATATTCCATTCGGCAAATTGAGAAATGAGCTGGGGATAAGGCTATTGCAATTTCAAAAGGTGCAAGAACTTACGCCGCGACAGAAAGAAAATATTGCTTCGCTTGGCCGAAAGTGGTGCACTCCCGAATTAGGTTTTCTCCGATGAGAAAACCTTCGTTGTCCAGCAGTTTGAAAACAAAGAAAATGATCGTGTTTACTTGCCAAAGAGGTCAGCTGAAAATGTGCACCTTCGGTTGGCCAGCAGAACTCAAGCGCCGGCCATGGTGATGGTGTAGGCACCATAACAGCCGATAGCCGCTCTCCGCTCGTATTAATCGATCGTGGCATCAGAATAAATGCCGAATAATATCGCGAAAATATTCCTGGAGGGTGTATTTAAGCCTTGGGCCCGCAAATATGTTGGCCGCAGACCTTGGACATTCCAACAGGACTCAGCTCCATGGCATTCAGCACGCGCTATCCAAGAATGGTTACAAAACAAGGTTCCTCGCTTCATTTCCAGCGCACAATGGCCACCAAAATCTCCGGATACCATTTCGTTGGACTATTGTGTCTGGAGTATTTTGGAGAGCAAGGTTGGCACTTAAAAATATCAAAGTGTCGATCACCTCAAGCAAGCGCTTCGCCGGGAATGGGCCAAAATTCCGCAGAGCAACATTCGGGCAGTGTGTGACGGTTTCATTGGCCATTTGAAGGCCATAATTTGTGACAAAGGTGACCAATTCGAACAAATCTAAACCTATTCTAAAATTTGATGCTATTTCCGATATTTGTTGCTATCATTCAATAAAAAAAAATGTAAAAATTATGGCGTTTGACTTTGTTGCAGTTTTTTTTTTTGTCTCACCGAGTACTGATAAAAATATTATGATTTGCAAAGTTTGCACAAAATTTGATAATCCGTTTTGGTTCTAAAAGGTAAAGTGAAGTGCCGAGAAGAAAGGAGGCCAAACGCCGAACTCAATCTTAGTTTGATAATAATATTACGATGTACCAAGTTTGGTCCAAATCGGATACTCCCTTCGAGAGTTATCGTTTGAATTAGCCAGCCAGGTAGACGGACGGGCATCGCTAGATCGACTCCAAATGTTCCGAAACAGATTTGCTCCAAAGAGACCTAGTATTTAAAACCGTTGTTTTGATGAGGCACGTTTTGGCCGTATTAAAATTATAAATACCCTCCATAGCCATATGGCTGAGGATAAAAAATAATTTCCTAAAAAAAAATCTTCATTTGACATTTCTTGACTTTATAAAGATTTTCATTTCACATTTTTATAAAACATGAATTGAGTCCCAGCCCCCGCAATACATAAAAAATCTTTTTGTCAACTCTTCTTCTCATCTAGAAAGTGGAGACCCAGGGAAGGGTGTATATAGAAATTACCTTAGTCACAAAATGTGATAATGTTTCCATATTCTTTTAAAGAAACCGCTATATTCTTCCTTATTTCCTGTCCAACATACCATATACCATTAAAATCGACCGAGGGCATAAGTTGTTTGAGACCCCTTCTCGCGTTTTCCAAAAGAATCTAAATAAAATGGAAAATAATTAAAATGGTTTTTTTCTCTCTCTTCCCCAACACGATAATAGGCGAACTGATATTTAACGATGATGATAACTCAAATCTATAATTTTAAAAAATTATATTTTTCTTCAGTTATCATATAATTTAATTTACTTTCCATCGAATACTTACCTTTAACAGTGTAAAGTCTTTATTTATTTTTGTAATGTATTTCAGAAAAAAAAAAAATACATAAAACAACCATTCCGCAAATAATTCTTTGCATAGTTTGAGGTGTAGGTAGGTGTATATATTTGTCTCGAATATTGTTGGCATTTATAATTACACGTCTTTGTAGTACATTATTATTAAGCAGAACACAGTTTTTTAAATACATAAATATATATAGTTGTCATCATCAAAACGAAAGCTGTACCAGTACCTCAAGATGAAGATGAACTTCTTTTAGGAGAAAGAAGGCAGATTTGCCCTTGCGATGTTATTGTCAGTTTTGGATTAGTTAGATAGACACATGAAATCAGTATAAGATAGGGAGAATTATGAAAAAAGACCTGAATATTTATGAAAACTCTTCAATATAAAAAATAATAATCCAATTTCTTGCTATAATTCCTAGATTTAATTTCGCAGTATAAAAACCAATTAAACAATGGACGGACAAATGACGTTGGGATTTTTATGATTTTGGTGTTTTATAGAAAGGGAAAGCCAATTTGTATGGAGGTAAAAATGTAAAATTTTAGATCATATTTAAAATTTAAATGGATTTTGGGATTTTTAAAAGCTGGGCGACTTTCCCGATTGACTTATTTGAAAGCAATCTAGTAAAAATACTTATTATACATTTGATGTCTTCAACAAGGGCCTGTAGTGCGAAATAGCTATTTCTTGGCCCTAATAATGTCAATTATTTATTGAATTTTATCAGCATGAAAACTACTACTCATTTCGTGGGACATGACCTTGTTGATTCAATAGGTTAGTAACCGGATTTGTAATATGTATTTCTGCTGGGAAGATCTACTCTCTCATTCTGGCACATTACCATTTCACAGTGCAATTTTTTGTAGCTTACAATGATTTCGGGAAGTCTGCTTGACATTAAAAAGTCTTATAATCAGGGTAATGAAATAAACAAAAAAATCTTATGGTTTACGAAGATTCTGTCACATGAAATGAAGCATGTTTTTTTTTTTCTCAAAACTTTTAACCTGGTACAATATTGAACAATAACCAAAAAAAAAAAAAAAAAAACGCTTTGCTCCAAAATAAATATTCTACAAAAAAAACCGCATGGAACATTATCCCTCGCTTAAGTACAGAAACGAAGGCTGAGAAGACAAAAAACTCTCGATAGTAACTTTTTCTCTAACAATTTTCTAACTCTTTCAATTCCTGTTCAATATTTGAACGTGCTGCTTTGGCATATTTGGTATTAAATTCAGGTGTCTGATAGATGTCCAAGGCCAGGAGGGCATTTAAAGTCTGAAATGAAAGAAAGATCCATAAAAAACAGATTAAAAAATCAATAAATATTAAAAAAGAATTGAGTGATCACAAAATATTACCATCGATAGTGATATACAGGGTGAGATAAACAAACTGCAACAAAGTCAAACGCCATAATTTTTACTTTTTTTTAAATTTTATAGAATGAAAGCAAAAAATGACGGAAATAGAATCAACTTTTAGAAAAGGTTTAGATTTGTCCGAATTGGTCACCTTTGGTGCAAATTAACGGCCAATGAAACCGTCACACTCTGCCCGAATGTTGCTCTGCGGTATTTTGGCCCATTCCCGGCGAAGCGCTTGCTTGAGGTTGTATTTTGTTGGTATTTTTTTATGCCAACCCTGCTTTTCAAAATACTCCAGATACAATAGTACAACGGAGTGGTATCCGGAGATTTTGGGGGCCATTGTGCGCTGGAAATGAAGCGAGTAACCTAATTTTGTAAACATTCTTGGGTAACGCATGCTGAGTGCGATGGTGCTGAGTCCTGTTGGAATGTCCAAGGTCTGCGGCCAAAATGTTTGCGTGCCCAATGCTTTAATACACCCTCCAGAATATTTTCGCGATAATATTCGGCATTTACTCTGATGCCACGGTCGATTAATACGAGCGGAGAGCGACCATCGGCTGTTATTGCGGCGCACACCATCATCATGGCCGGCGCTTGAGTTCTGGTGGCCAACCGAAGGTGCAAATTTTTGCTAACCTCTTTGGCAAGTAAACACGATCATTTTGTTTGTTTACAAACTGCTGGACAACAAATGTTTTCTCATCGGAGAAAATCAATTTAGGAAGGTCACCATTTCGGCCAAGCGAAGCAACTCTTTATCTCTTTTGAGTCTATTTTCTTTCTGATGTGGTGGAAGTTCTTGCACTTTTTGGAATTTCAATGGCTTTACCACGAGCTCATTTTTCAATATTTGCCGAATGGAATATGGAATGGAATCACAAGCCATTTTTCGGTCCGCCCACTTCCTTGAGACACTAAAGACTTATTTACATTTAAATGCTGGAGTGCTCTAACGATAGCTACTTGCGGTTTTCCAGCCAAATATAAAGAAATCACACTATCACGCTTGAATTCCATGACGAATAACTTTTTTTCTGGAAAATGCTCATCAAAATGCTTTTGTACACTAGTAAACAATATAATGAGCTGTCACTGGAATAATTTTAACACCTGTCGGACGAGTGGCTTAGAAATGACAGCAGTCTAAAGTTGGTTGCAGTTTTTTCATCTCACCCTGCACATTTCTGGAGAAATTTTAAAAGTTATGATTTTCCTCACTTTGCTTGAAGATGAAAATTCATTGTTTCTTTAAAAACAAATTAAACCCCTCCAATTGAAAACCCTTTAACTAGAGAAAGACAAAAAGTCGCCTTCGCAATAGGGCAGTTTGATGGCATTCACATCGAAAGCAACTAATATTCCCAGATGTCCTTGATGTATCCATATGTTAAGCATATGAATTCAATATTTTTGTTGGCAAAATTTTCTTTGTGATCACTCAATACAGAAAGGGATATTTAGTGACTTCTTTACTCACCTTACGTCTCAGATCTTCATAGTTACTTTTGCCAGCATTTAACCATTCCTGACGTGACAATTCGGCATAGTTTTTATACACATCGGGTGAGGAACTGGAAAATGGAAATTGTTAAATAATATAAATGAATAAAATGGTTTCAATATGTCTGACTCAACAACTTACGCCAGTATCAATAAATCCAAATCCTGTAATATGGCCATATCCTCATCAATGTCTGAGGTTATTGGTTCGCTACTCTGCTCACCCAACAAACGACAGACAATCTGTTTCATATCATCCTAAAATAAGACATTATTAATAAACAAAAAATATCAAGGTAAAATGATTATCCACAATATTTACTTACATCCTCGACCATGGCATCACGACAAAATTCCCGAAATATTTCACAATTTTCTTGTACACAATTTTTTTGTAAATCAAATTCATAGTATTGGAAAAATGCAGCCAGCACAATGTGCGGCTTGGCATGCTCCAATTCGGGCCATTTGTGGGCCAACATAAATGACCAATTGTGATAGACACGTTTACTGTCTGCCTCGCTTAATTTGCTGCGGATGCGTTCATACCAGGAAAGTATGCTGGCCTCGGGCAAATCATAATGATTGCAGGCCTTGGACCAGACGTCATACAAGTCACAAGTGGTCATAATTTTTTATTTAAGTTTTCTTTTTTTTTTTTTTTAAGGTACTGACAATATTTTTTTTATTTTAGGAAACTATTGATTTGTAAAATTGATTATTATATGAAAATATCACTTGAAATATGTTGGCTAAAAGATTAATTTTTTTGTTTTCCTTTATTTTCGTCTAACAAACTGTATGAGTCAAAAAATTTTCCTTTAATGAGTTGTTGAGTGCCCCTGTTTGAGTATGGGCGAAAAAGGGTGGCTTTGTTATGCTAACAAGTTAGGGGGTGGAAAGCTTGTGAGGAGATGTTTAAGCTTTTTTTGGGGGGTTTATTTTAAGGGTTGCCATCATAAGAAGACAAACGCAGAGAATACAAAGGAATTTTGTGGAAATTGTTTTGAAATGTTGTTGGGGTTGTTTTGAGGTACTGTTCAGGTGTTTTATTCAAATCATCCCCTTTAAATGAAAACAAAAAGCCTCAACTGTGTTTTAACTGACAAATTGGAAAATCTAGTACAATCTTCGTGGGAAAGGGTATTTGTGAAAACCTCTGATGAGGGGTTAAGAGCCACAAATATCAAATTAAAGTCGATTTCATTGGAAATTGCGGTAGAAAACTTCAAATCAGGAGTGTACCTACATTGAATATTCATTGAGACTAAGTAATCTAAAATGGAGGCTGAAACCTTCAAAATGATATCGAAAATTTGGAGGTACCTCTGCATGGGGGTTACATCAAAAAGTGGATCTACATTGCATGTTTTTTAAGAAGATTAAGCAACCCACAAAGAATTCAATATATCAAATCACAGCTGAGTTGAATGGGAAGTTGGGTGGACATTTCGAAAAATCAGGAGGTATAGTTAAATGGGGGATATATCAAAAAGTGAAAGAACATCGCATATTTTTTGAGAGAAGTTAATCTAACCAAAAAGCACACGGAATATGGTTTTGCAGCTCCAACATACCGAAAATCCGGAGATACAGTTTTATGGGTCCTATACCAAAAATGGACTTACATTGATCGTTTTTAGCGAGGAGTTGAACTACCTACTGAGTAGTCGAAATGTTAAACAACGGTTGATTTGGGAACCGAAGCAATAAATAGTGAAAGTTAGAAGGCACTTTTTTAAATATAGAGGCTGACTCCTACAATCCTGAGCCCTCTGAAATCAGGAGGTACATTTATGTGTGAGCTATATCAAAAAGTTGCCCAACATTGATAGTTTTTTGGAAACGAGTTAATATATCCAAAAAGCAATAGTAATATCAAATCACAGCTGATTTGGAATATCAGGAGGTACCTTTATATATGGGCTATACCCAAGCATGGAGCGATGCATACCATTCAATACCAAACATCCTGGGAATAATTTCAACGCAATTGGAACATTCCAAAGCCACATAATTGGATAGTACGAACTTTAAATTGATTTCAACAGATGAGTAGACACGATATATAGGGACTGAATTCTCCGAAATCAGGAGGTACATTTATATGGGGGCTTCATCAAAAAGTGGACCAACATTGATAATTTTTTGAGACAAGGGAATATATTCAAAAGCAGCGGTAATATCAAATTACAACTAATTTGGAATATCGAAAATGAGAAGGTACCTTTATATATGGGCTATACCCAAACATGGAGCGATGCATACCATTCCATACCAAACATCCTACGAATAATTTCAATGCATGTGGAACATTTCAAAGCTCCTTATTTCATAGTGCTTGACATGACTACATGACTAAACCGACATAAAATTTACGCTGATCATGAACTTGCATACACTCCATTTTATGGTTGAGACCAAATTCTTGTTCTTTTTAAATGGAAATCGTTTTCTTTATGAAGGGTTTTATTTCAAATCTTTATAGCACAAGCATTGTGGCATGGTCGAATCATTTTTAGAACTTCTTAATCCACAAAAGGAACAACTCTAGTTTAGTAAAAACTTCAATTTTTCGAAATTTTTCCAGAGGTAAACTATTCTTTTTTCTTGGGGGACGGCCCCGGGACCCCAGATTTTTGACCCGAAAGTTTGGGGTCAAGTCCCCGACTGGACCCGAAACCAATTATGAAAAGCAATCCTCCCACACCGGCTAATCCGAACCAAAGTTTTCTAAAATTTGATACCTTTTGTAAGTAGGCGGCCTTCGCCCGGGGCTTGAGATTTTCTTCTCTGAGTATGTCCCATATCGGCTAACGCAAACCAAATTTTTCAAAACGTGATACTATTTGTAATTCCAGCGACGGCTACGCGATTAAACTTTTTTTTTTTTTATCGAAAACATAATTTTAATGAATTGGTTAGAATGAAGTTATGCGGATGGAAAGATCCATAGAAAATTGTAGAAGCTGTAAAGTTGAAATTTTACTTGGTTTCTAAAATCGTCGTTAATTCAAATTTTATTACTTCTTTTTAAAATATTTCAGCAGTATCAGCAATAATAACAAGACTGCCAAAGGATTGAATTGCAAAGCGATGTAGAATTAAAAAAAAATGTTTTGACTGGTCGTAATCCCATGATGAATAAATGGAATTACCGTTAAACAAAAACACATGCCATTAATGGTAGCTTAAACAACCGAGTATGGCCCTTCGCCATTTCAAGGAACACAATATTTCAACAATCAACACAAACTACACAAACTACATAACTATTTAATTAGAACTCCAATAACGCAATTTCCCGCCTCAGAATATCACCATACTTACAGCCGCAGTCTTGTCACTTGGTGTTGTTGTTGTTGGGCCATCCCTCTTCATGACCTGGTCATGAGGAAGCACATTATTTTTTCTTGTCAACATAGCTTTGCCTCGGCCAATTTTACTTTGATTTTGTTTGCGTAGAATTTTCTTGTTCTGGCGAAAACTTTTACGTGATTGTTTCCTGGCCAAACGTCTTGTGTTCCTTCTGGTCATAATGCCTGATGAAATAGTTTCGATTGGCGTGCTTCCTTGAAACAAAAATATTGTTTTTTTCACGTTACAATCAAAACATCGAACACACACAAACGCACTTCTGCACTAGGTTTTGACAGTTAAGTAAAAACAAGCAATCAAATGTGCCATCAAAATGAAAAGCGTTCCACATAAATGTAGTGATGCCGTATTTGTGCAAATTATAGAAATAACATTTAAATGATCTTTATTTTAAGAAATTGCAATAATATTCTATTTTTGCAGTTTTTCCATATCATAAAGGAAAAATCGTTTGTCATAGTAACATTTTACCAATTTTGTGGCTCAATAGCGAACTAAAATACATCAAATTGGCAAGTGCACAACCTTATGTGACATACATTCTTATTAAAGATAGCCACCATTATCAATCGCCTCCTTCGCAATATTTCCACCTTCTTTATCGTATTCTATTCTAAACAAAAGAATGAATGACAAGGAGAACGTCATTGAGACAACAGCAATCAAAATATATTTTGTAAACAAACATTATTTTTAGAATTTTATTTAATTTAATGGTAATTCAGGCTTTTGGCCATTATTAGAAACCATATTTTTATAGGTACTATTATTTCTTCAAAATTACTATATCTTCAACCGATTCCGACTAAATTACTCCTAGAAACAAGTACGTCAAATTTGGTGAAGATCGATTCAAATATAGCCATAGCTCCCATATATATATATATTGTTCATCCGATTTGTTATATTTGTTACCGACAGCCGTAATATGCTCTCCGTAACCAACGATATTAAGGGAAATATATCAAATGCAGCTCAGAAATATCTTTGCCAAATTTTATCAAAATCGGTTCAGATTTGGATATAGCTCCCATATATATCGCAAATGGGCAATGGACAAGTCCGAATTTAAAAGATAATTTGAACTTTAAATTATAATTATAATCATAGCGTGTATGATTGAACTCTCCCATAAAAACTTTTAATTGTTAAGCTCTACTAAATTAGCAAAGTGGATCATAAATGACATTTCGTGTTCAGAAACAAAGACATTAAATTAATACCAAATATCCCCAATATCTTATTGGTCAAAGGTCCAATTAGACCCACCAATTGAAGTGGAATTGTAATAAGAAAGTATATTAAGTTAGAAAATAAAAGGAAGAAATTGCGCAGTGCCAATCCAGTCCATCTGCCTCTTCTGCCGGTCTTGGTTTACACTCAGGCTATGCCTGGGAAGTGATTCAATAAAGTGCATTACCTTCATCTGAGTTAATGTATTATCCGTATTGAATCCGTACCGTGTATACTCGGATCTGCAAGCACACCTTGATACAAATCGATTTGTAAATGTGTTATCTCCATATTTTCCAAAATGAAAATATTATTAGGTTGTAATATAAATTATCGCTTGTTTTGTTTTTCCATTTTAGATGTTCCATTATGTCTAGAATTCGACAGTGCTGCGTCCCTGGGTGCGAGAACTCTCTCATTAGATTTTGCCCCCAGGAAATAAGTATGCATGGCATAAAAGATTCATGGAGGACAATGTTATTAGAAAGGCATGGAATACCAACAAAAAAGACGTCTCGAATATGCGGTAGGCATTTTGAGCAGAATATGTTTTCTAGAAGAACATATCCGGTACAGCTTTCATCTTATGCAATGCCAGTTTTGTATTTGCCCACATTGATAGCTGATGAAGGTAAGTTCTTTTTAGACAGTGTTGCATAACTAGCTCTTCTAGCTATTCTAAATTATGACTGAATTATAAAATACTACTAGCAATCAACATAAGCAACGCTTTGCCAAGGAATGTCTGAAAGGTTATCAAAAAATATTTGCATTTAAAGTTATGTTTTAAGGTCTTAAAGGTAGGATCATATAGGATATACATATGGTTGGGGGTATAGAAATTAATTATATGATACGTCCCAATTAAAATAATAAAATAAAAATACGATATAAAATACTTCTTCTTGTGATGAAGTGAAATATTTCTAAACTTTGTCACTGTAAAACTAAACAACGTATGGCCAAAGATAGGACAAGACAGAGACAATATGAATAACCCTGTAAAAATACGTCTGTTGTTATGATATATTAACAATATTAACATGCCTGCCTCTGTAATGAGCTGTTACTCTTGTATTGTAGACACAAACCATTTGCTCGCAATGCAATTTGTCTAGTCTTTACCATATTTAAGGTCTTTGGTATGACTTTGAAATTTTTAAAAGTATTTATTCCAAATTTATTTTAAAAGTATTTATTTATTTATTTCAATTAATCAATTTTATTTTTCAATTAAATTTTGTGATTTCATCGCTCTGTGCGACGCTATGAATATTTCATATGATGTATAATTGTATATATAACACCTATATTTAACAATAATGTATACCGTTGCATGTTTCTTATTTATCACTAACTGTACTAACTGTTATAACAATTTATATAATTTATAGGTGTTAATTTTGGAAACAATGTTGAGGGAATCGTTTCTAATGAGAGGTTAGATATTGATGAGTTCAAATGTGAAGTAAATGTAGAAAATTTAGAAATTAATAATAATATAAGTAGTGTAGTAGAAGAAGAAGAATCAAGTATAAACAAAGATATCTGTTTGCAAAGAGAAAATGAACTTTTACTTGCGAAAGTGGCGGCACTTGAAGAAAAAGTTGAGTTTCTCCTAGCAAATGGAATTTTCCCAGGGAAGGAGGCAAGTAAAGCCAGTATTGCATTTGCTCGCGTCATCACAAATGACTCAACACCCCCGTACACACCTGAGCAGTTAGATGTAGTACAACACCTTCAACTTCTATCAAAAGAAAATTATGAATACATGATAGATAAGTTTAAATTTGCTCTCCCCAGTACCGAAAGTGTTCTAAGTTGGCAAACGAAACCAACTCTCGTGGGATTTGACGATGATGTTAAAGAAACTTTGCACACTATTATTGAAGGGATGACTGAACAGGAACGTACGTGTGCAATCCAATTTGATTCATTAAAAGTTACTGACACGGACAGTAATGTCGTTACATATTCTTTAGGACTGCAGCTTAGTGGGTTATGTAACGAGTGGAGGATACTATTGGGCTTTTTACTAACACGGGAATATAGCATTTCGGTACTGGAAGGTGTACTTCGAGAAGTACTCGTTGGGCTAAAGGGACTATCATTGAAAATAGTTTCACTAATTTGCGATAGACATAGTGTTCATGTTCAATTCTTCCAGCAATATCGCGGCTACCTTGGACCAAATCGTCTGTGCTTTCCTCCAAATTCAGAAGATACTTTACATTGTATGTTCGATATTCCCCACTTGCTAACTAATTTATTAAATTACTTTTTCGACAATCAAGTTTTTATTAAAAGCAGGTTGGGCAAACAGATAGATGTCGCTTCTCCCGCACTAATTTTCAAAATTTTTGAGTCTAAAAACGATTTAGATGCTAGTAATATTACTTGTTCGCAATTGCAAAAAACTCATTTTGCAACAAGGTACTACAAATCGTATTCATACGAAAATAAGCCAATGGATAGAGCGACAGCTATTTTTAACAGAAACGTGCTTGCCGCTCTTGACAGTGATATATTTTCGGAAACCGAGCAAGTAATGGTAGAGGCGACCAAAAAATTATTTGCTGGTATAATACCAATTGTAGAGCTTTGCACGAACAATTTCATAAATAATGATAAAAATGAGGCGTGCGCAATAGCTTATAGATCCATATTTTTTTTGCAATTTGTTGAGTGCGGCAACATACCTTTTATGCTTCAGCAATCATTGGAAACAATGACGTCTCTATTGCTGGAGTATGAAGGGATTAAACCTAAACACTGTGTCAATGATGGCATAGAGTATGACTTTGCAGAAATTAGGAAACGTTGCGGTGGTAGACCTGCTTTTAATGATCTTATTAATGTTAAATCTAGATCCGATTGTGTTATTAAACTAACCAGATCTATTGACAGAACATTATTTTGGTCCGAAAAGTGCTTTAACGCGTAACGTCTTTTTTATTAATACAAGCCACTTGATTTGTTTTCATTTGATACAAAAACAAGACGCACGTTAGAAGCCTCGCTTTGTGCTTTTTTTTTTTTTTGTTAATACATTAAAATGTCTAACGTATAATAGTATCTTCTTTTGCCACTCATTAGCCTTTATTTGTCCGATTGATACGTTTGGTTTGGTTGTTCCGTTCACGTCTGTCTGATATTTGGTTTATCGTGCATATTGAGCTTTTGCTGCTTGTTTTCGAGTTGCGTTTACCTACAAAATGATGATTAGGGGCTCTCTGTTGGCTTATTGGAATATTTTTTTTAAAATCTTTTAAATAAGTCACAATAGAGCAGATAATCAGAAATATACGAAACGTAACAATGGTTTGAAACTTATTTTTTTTTGTACTTTTGTATATATAGCCGCAGTTGTAGTAATTAGAATTTTTACTGTTTTAATGTTTTTAATACATATATTTATTTTCTAGTTATAGATGGGGGTTATATGGGAAAGTGAAGCGAATACAAAACTTTTGTACACAAAGCCTCTCCTTTCCAAATGTCAACCTCGCCCACACATGGTGGCCCCTGTTTTCGCTAAAGAGGCTCTGGCGAAAAACTTACTCGTGGATTCTCCTGGGCTTTCATAAAGGAAATATTTTTTATTTCAAATTTTCGAGCATCCACTCGATGGACCCTGTGTGGATTCAGAATTAATAACCGACATATATGCTTCTTCTTTTTCAGACGCTCCCCAACATACGTACTTGCAACGTAGATGTACTAGGTAATCGCATCAGCCATGTACTAGGTAATCGCATCAGCACCATTAAATGTCAAAACAAATTGTAATGAAGAATTCGCCCTAAAAGTACCTTTTTATTGATTGCCGGCCAGAAATCAAGAACTTTGTTAATTACTAATAAATTAAAGCTGAAAAGTAAGTAAGTAATATATCTTGCATATAATTGAAGATGTAGTTTTAAATATTCAATATGAGTGCAATATGTTTCCAATGAATATATTTATAAAACAACCCAAGAGTGACGCACAGAAAACGAAAGCCCCTGCTTAAATAAACAAATAAAAAATATTAACTGATATCTTCATAGATATCCGATATTGTGTCATAGAGTATCTAATATCGCAATAAAGAAAGATTCAAGCAACGACGACAACAAGTGGTTGACATCAATTGAGTGGGGTTATTAGCAACAACGAGCAAGCATCCTTGAGGGGTCGACGGTCTACTTTTTTTATTGGTTGAAAAAAACTTTACGAAACGTAAGTCATTATTTGAAAATGATGATGATTAATAATTGCACATGTTTTGTGGTATGAAAGTAAACAAATTTTGTGTGTTTTTATCCGGCCGCTCCAGTGGGTTATCTAGACGATTTGGACGATTTCCCCGAGGACTTTGACGACGACATGGATTTCTGGAGTATATGTTTCATGTTCTTTTTCGTCTTTGTCATATTTAGCTGCTGTGGCTATTGCTGTACAAAAAAGCGACGTGGAACTGTCTTATCTGGTGAGTTCAATGGTATCTCTTGTTTGTTACTTGTTTTTCGTTTATTATCAAATTGATAGCTCTATATTATAATTTGTATCAACTCCATAACAAGCCAAATGACAAATGGATGGTTGAAAGGCGAAACGCAGTTGTTACCAATTCCATTGTGGGATGCGGTCCTGGGTTTCGCGAAATTGATTGTGTGTTTGTTACACTAAATTTTAACACAACATAAACCTAGTAAAGACACCAGGCACATAGCATAAAAATTATTGGAACAACAGCGTCGCCAATTATGTATCGTCAACTCGACTGACACAAGAATTGTATCGCCTTGTTCATGAAATGGTGTTCTAGTTCTTAACTCCGTAAACAGGACAGGCGGGGAAAGGTTGCGTAAAAGAAAAGTAATTTTTTGGGATAGAATAGAATTGAATTAGGTAAATGTCAAAAATGCTACTTTAATGCTGATAAGAAATCAAATATCTAAAAATGCCAGTTTTTTTTGGAAATGTGGTCGAATGTTTATTTCATATGTCCGTCAAATGGCAACCTATACTTAGTGTCATTTCCTTTTCATGAAATTTTTGCATTACCCAAACGCAAGGTGGTGATGACCTAATGTTCTCTCAATAGCTTCGTGAATTTCATACTTAAGGTTTGGATCGGCCCCAAAAAGAAAAATCGAAAAATATCTTAGAGCTAACATGGTTTTAGAAAGAGCTAAATCTTTCGTTGTCCATACCAATTTCATAGAAACGCTTTGAAGATGGAGAATCTTATTCACAATACCTCTATGTTTGCGACTCCCGTTGTGATTATTCTTCGACCAACCAGCTTTCAAATTTCCCAACAGCAGGACTAGTAAAAGAGCACGTTGATCTCCTCCTCTCCTATCCTACTGGTCCCAGAATCAGTGAATTGATAGTGAAAGTCAACCGTTTCATCTAAATTACGTTGAAGAATTATGGCCGTTTTAAAGTTTTCTATAATTCATGCTTAAAAATGTGATCACAAATGATAGCTTAAAACTTCAAAAACTCGAAATTTAAGGAGTTCTGGTCATTTTAAAATTTCCAATAATTCATGCCCAAATAGAGAGGGAGTTCCAATATCCTAGATCAAGAAGCCTATCAGGCAGATCTGAGTGGCATTCATACTGATGCTGTCACAGATGCTATTAAAAGTCATCGTATGAATGTCGTTCTCGGAGTCCACCCTCATCCAATGCATTTGAGCATTGTCGGCTATCTAGGCAAACTAGAATCGTTTTGGCGCAATTAGTTTCAGGATGATACAGTCGTTTCAAATCGTATTGGGCACGAAGTGATGAAGATCTACGAAAAGTCTGCCTGGCATGTGACGCCCGCCAAACCTACTCCACTCACTCCAGAAGATCTTTGGCTTCAGCCAGTAAAAGTAGCCGAATTTCTGAAACTGGAGTTGGAAGCGGATTAGAAGAACACAAACAAAAATGTGAATCTATAACAAAAACAACATTGGCAGTTATGTTTAGATTCGCAGGATCTTTAAAGAAGTATATGCGTCCAATGATGTTACCAGTCTAAAAACTGCACCAAACTGTGATATTTTCTGGATCCATTGGTTGCTTTTTCAATGGGTTTTGATATTTTCGTTGATGTTGATAATAGCGACTACGTTGCCTTATTTAAATGACGTTTTATGAAATAAACTGAAAAATATCATTATAAAATGGAAAAAAATCAATCCATGTAACAACTTATTAAAATTCTCGGTGCTCTTGTTCTGAATTGGAAGGGAAGAGCAGAGACGGATATAATTACACTTGCTGTTCTCCGTTGTTATTTATAATTATTATCAGGGTTGCTGTTTCTTAACACCAAAAATGAGTCACGAACTTTTCTTTTTCATTATAACTAAGGGATCACGTGTACATCATTATCCACCATGTTATGCATCGGATCATATGTGTGCTTTGAAAACCAGTGCTAAAAGATAATGTATTTCATCAGCTAATTATATTCGATTGTGGTGTATTTGTGGAAAAACAAGTTCTAGACATGTTCCTCCAATATGTTATTAACGTCGAATTGATTTTAATTTTATTGTATGAAAATCAGAGGCGAAAGTTGGTATTGGAATTCAACCACAGGAATTGATTAAATTGATGTTGTTTGTAAGCCTTTTGTTACAAAAAAAAAAAAAATAATAATAAAACCTCTTTAGTTTATATCTCGTTCAAGACGAGCCGTTTTCCCATGCTTTTGTATCACCATCAGGTTCAGCTGCATAGTTTTCTTGAATTCGATCAAATGGTAAAATCGTATGTAAATCCTCAAAGATAATAACACAAAAATACTCATTTTTTTTTTTTTTTGAAGGAAAGACATATTTCAGACACCGATATTCCCTGGTCGAAATTCTCGTCCCATTTAGCCCTTTTGCCTGTTAAATGTTGAAAAATTGCCTAGCCCTTCTCTTCCCTATTTGAAAGTACCAATCACCATTCCAGACATTTTAATTTTCATGTATATTTTCTTGGAACTCAATACCATTCCTACTTTGTGGTGGCTAACATTTTGTCTTTTCCTTACGAAGACTCGTCTCCATTACACCCCGAATATAATTCTTGTCACATTGAATGAAAGTGTCTTTGGTAACTTGAATATTCAATAATAAACGTTTTAGTTCTTATCTTATCGACGAATGGGATTTGTAATAGAAATGAGTGGACATTTCAATTTTGATATAACATATCAATTTTGAGTTGGAAATGTTTATATGCAAAAAAAAAAAAAAAAAAATTGAAAAATAGATAAACAAATAAGAATTATATCTTCAAAAGTTTCACCGTTGATTTTGAAAGTGTACTAAATAAAGAAAATTAAAAAAAAAAAACAAATAACGCTCTTTGAATGGAAATATTTTGCCAATTTTTTATAAATTCAATAGCGCTCTTTTCGAGGAAAAAAAATCAAATATGTTGTCTATGTCATAAACATTGTCGGTTTTAAGTAACATTTTCAGGACTATTTTTCCTTTTTATACCCTCAAGTCATATGCCTATCATTTGATTGGTGGCCACTATCTGCCATATCGAAATAAGGGTTTTAGACTTTTCGGACCAATTCCGTTTTAGAACATTTGTAAGACTCTCGAAGGGAAAATCCGATTAGTACAATATTATTATTAAACTTAGATCGAGTTCGGAGATTGGGCAATATTGGTCCACTCTTTAAGGTACCGTTCGCACAAAAGCTCAAAATTTTCACAGAAAAATGTTTAACGTATGGAACAAGAAAGGATCATCTTATTTTTAGATAAACGTTGTTAAACCTGATATTTATACCAGTGCTAGGACAGTGGCGAAAATGGACAGTATCGGTCCACTCCATCAAGTACCTCCCCCACAAAGGGCTACCATTTTTTAATAATTAAAGCTATTATAAAATGTGAAATAAGAGTTCGATTGTCTTTAAATTTTACAAATCTCAACATTTCTACTAACACAAGATCTGGTGTGACCAACAGATATAACCGGTCCCTCCTGCTAGTACGGGTCAAATTTTTGAATAACCATGACGCTCATAAAAGGCGAGATGAACAACCGGTTCTTTTCAAACTTGGCACATCCCAATATTTTTACCAACACAAAATCTAGTGTGAAGATCGCACCACTCCTTTTGGTATCTCCCCTACAAAGGGTTAAAATTTTGAATCATCATTTCTCTTAGAAAAATGTGAGATAAGAGTCCCATTGAATTTCACACATCCCAATATTTCTTCCAACTGAGAGAAGAACGCGTAGAAAGGATCGCTCCTTCTGATACCTCGCCCACAAAGTTGTCAACATTTTGAACATTCATGGAGCTAATAAAACACCAACTAAATATCCGAGTCTATTTAAACTTTGGGACAACGTAATAATTCTACCAACAAAGAATCTACTGCGGAGGTGGATGCCGAAATTTTTAAAAATTATCACTTATATATATGCGAAAAACTAAGCGTTATCCTCCAAACATTGTGTACCTCAATATTTCTATCAAAAACAACATCTAATGTAATAATGATATATATCGGTCCATTCTTCCTGGTTATTCCCTCGAAAAATTTAAGAGGTGATCAACACTTTGGTATTTTTTAGTGCCAACCTTGCTTTCCAAAATACTCCAGACAAAACAATCCAACGTATTGATATCCGGAGATTTTGGGGACCATTGTGCGCTGAATATGAAGCGAGGTACCTAATTTTGTAAACCTTCTTGGGTGGCCTTAGCACACCCTCTAAAATGTTTTCGCGATAATATTCGGCATTTATTCGGTCGATTAATACGAACGGAGAGCGACCATCGGCTGTTATGGCGGCCTACACCATCACCATGGCCGGCGCTTGAGTTTTGGTGGCCAACCGAAGGTGTAAATTTTAAGCTGACCTCTTTGACAAGTAAACACGATCATTTTGTTTAAACTGCTGGACAACGAATGTTTTCTCATCGGAGAAAACCAAATTCGGCAGTTCACCACTTTCAACCACTGCGACGCGGGTTTAGATCAAGGCGCTTCTTTACTTTTCGAAGCATTTCTGCTGATGTTCCTATTTTATTCCGTCCACTGCCTTAACGTCGGACTACGCTACCAGTATAACGGTACGGAAACGAGCGATGGTACGAGACACAAAGAATTTATTCACATTTAAATGCTGGAGTGCTCTAACGATAGCCACTTGTAGTTTTCCAGCCAAATATAAAGAAATCCCACTATCACGCTTGAACTCCATC